AAACGCATTGATCAGAAGGCAATGCCACTGTCCTGTATACCGGTATACGTAGACATTCCCAGTCATGTTTCTGCACTGACAGGGTTTAGAATAAGCGTGTCCCACTGTACTGGTTGAGTAATGTGTACTGGCTAGAGACCAGTTATCGCAGAGGACCAATTATCGCCAACTCCTCTTTATAACGCGCACATGATCACGTCTGTTTTACTTTTGCTCGATTTTATTAGAAAAGTGAGAGTGAGTGAGTTTGGTTTAATGCCGCTTTTAACAGTATTCCAGTTATATCACGGCATGTCAGCTTAATGTGGGAGGAAAGCCCGAAGTGATGCAGGTCACAGACTTTTACCACTTCGGTGAAACCCACGAGCACGGGTATGGTGCTGACAAACCTAGAAACATAATCGGGGCAAACCGGGATTCGAAACCACAATCATAGGTTTCTGGCGTGCCCAAGGGACGCAACTCTGCACAGCGAATCACGGCCCCTTAGACGACTGGGCCACCCATGCCCCCTTATTTGAAGAAAGAAATATGTATCCAAAAATGATGAACAAAACTGACTCGTGAAGAAATATTAAAAAAACCAACCATATTATCACCTTGCTCAAATACAACGTCAGAAGAGACACGCAGGTGGTGTCATGTGACTAATTCACTGTTGGCGATATTTTTTCACGTTATAACAGAAATCTACTGAAACTTTTCCACGGACAGAAATATGTGCATTTGTTCATAGTTCCACACAAATCAAAGTTATTTGCACAGTTAACTTTGTACAAGGAATATTTTAGAAATAACTTGAAAAACATGGTGATAACTGGTCAGTGACCAGTACAGTTTGACATGATGTGAGCAATATTACAGAAACACATCACTTCAGGGTCACATCACACTGCTCATCTCATTCTCAGCATGGACAGGACGCCATATTGGAACTAATTTTGCTCACATGTCAATCACATGACATGACAACCCAAGTCATGAACCTAATACATCTGCTCAAATTGTTTTCTGTTTGCTTTACATGGTCTTGAAAGTGTATGCCTATTTTCGTCAAGTACAGAATACATGGTCATCAAAAACTTCCATGTTACACAAACTGCATACTCTGGGATTTGATGAGATACAGTTTTGTGTAAATTCATGAAAAATCACGACTCCATTGCTGCTGAAGGTATTAGTCTACCCCATAGGCGAGACAGCCCTTGCAGAGTAGCCATGCACAATATCCGCAACACCTTTTTGCCCATCTTGGGAGATGAAAGTGATGAACAGTTATATTTGAGTATGCTGAAAACACCCAGTCAAAGCATCAGCATTTACAGATGCTGTCACAGTGAAGCCTCAGACTGAGGCAAAGACAAAGGGAGATAATTCACAATGCTGCAGCTCAACATTCCTCACAGCAATACCTCATTCACAACACTATGTATCAGAATGGTAACAAAAGTGGCAGGCACTGCAGTGGAGCTTAGGTGATGCTGGTCAAGGGGAGATAATTACATGGCATTACATTTATTCAGAATAATATAATTGTTTACTTGACCAACTCCATATCAGGGTGACAGTGCTAACTATTTGTCACACAAATACAACTATTCGATGCCTTATTTTAAAAGTTCTTATGAAATGAAAAAAATAAAAATAAAATAAAATATGAGTGAGTATGGTTTTACACCGCTTTTAGCAATATTCCAGCAATATCACGGCGGGGGACACCAAAAATTGGCTTCACACATTGAACCCATGTCGGGAATCGAACCCGGGTCTTCTGCGTGACGAGAAAACGCTTTACCCATTAAGCGACCCGACCGCCCCTATGAAAAATCCTGAAATAGCAAAAGGTGTCGGGTCTCTTTCTCTGAAAACCAAACTACATAATACAAACAGGCAGACGAAGGCATAATTAGTCTATACTCCGCAAATGATGGATATAAAAAAAAAACAACTTCAAATTTCATGTTCTGTTCATTTATTCAAGAATTTGCAAAATCTTAACAACTATCACCTCTCTCGTGATTGAACTCATGTATTTGACTTACTATAGATATTTACAAAGGTATTACGACCCACCAGTAAATCAGTGAAGAAATGAAATTAATACCATGTGTCCTCTTGACATTATAGAACACTGACCATTCAGTCGAATAACACGGACACCCCTAAACTTACAGGTATGAAACATGACGAAAAAAGCCACCAAGTGAAACCCTTTAAACATGATCATTATTTACCAAACACATATTATAGATATATTTCCTTGATAAAATGTATGTGTCACCCTGTGTCAGTCTACTATGTTTCGGGTTTTTCTCACTTCATGACCTGGGCACTATGTACCCCTTTTCCTTTTTTAAAAAAATTAGACACTGTATATCGTAAATTGCCATAAAGAACATGATTACTATTTAATTACTTTATAGTCTGTCATTCCACAGGAGCAATGGCTATCAGTCTTAAACTTATTTCAAGGCCTTTTCAAAACTCCCTCATGCAAATTCAAGGCCTTTTCAAAGATCTCTCCCCTGAATGTGCGTCTGACCTACCACACATCACATCCAAACAACTGCATATGAGTCAGTGGTATGCATCAGGCCCTTTCATTCAGTGTGTTATGGATTCAGGCATATTCAACACCAACCCTGCTAACAGAGGCATCCAATCATTAGAAGGGATTTAACTCTGGTGAATCAAGAGATTAGACAGTCAGTGCCAAAAACTTCCACTAGCCCCAACTTAGCTCTTAGCACCATTTTTAGTACATATTAATATTATACAGTCCATTATTTACTAAGGTTACTAGACCGAACTGGTTTCAACAGGCCTCTGACTTCTGACTAGTGGCTAAAGTCGCAGAGTGTTGGGAGGGTTGTTTTTTCTTAACCTTTTAAGACATCTGAACAGGTGTTATTTTTCAAAATATGAAAAGATAATATAATTTATTTGAGATGGGAATTGACTACAAAACTTCAAGACCTTTCCTTTTAAAACATGTACAAGGGATATTATCCATTTTTAAAGCAGAATAAACATTCAAGGACTTTTCAAAACATATCTCCAAATTGAAGTAATTTTCATGCCGGTGCAAAACGTTGGATAACATTAGGGATCAAACATAAAACTGGTCGATCTCATCACGTGTATTTATGCAGCCATGGTAACATTTCAAAAGGAAAGCCTTATTAACTGGTAATTGTAATTGTAATTGTCATATTAAGACCATTACAATCATGATAAAGGGACCAATTCATAATAATCATCTGTGTACGAAAGTTTGATGACACAGTTATAAATGAAAATGAAACCCAAATTACCACGAGCACACAGCACCTTGTTATTTAGCTTTCTTTGTGCCAGTAAAACTTAAACTAAACTGGCTACAAAGAAAAACTACAAGTGTTAAAAGTAAAACCAAACCGAATTGACAACAGAAATGACAAAATATACTACAGTTAACTCAAATAATTCATTATGTATGTGTAACAACTAACGAAGTAAGAATGTCTAACAGTAAACATGGTAAAGTACTGAAAAGGTTCCTACCTAAACATGCAAAATAAACCAGTTTCAGGAAATTAAATTAAATTTCAGTAACATATTAAAACTCCAAAAATAACATTCTAAATGAATACTAAAATGTACCGGTAACCAAAAGTAACGATTATCAAGTTCCTGTATACGTAAAACGCTTCTTGTTCTAGAAGCTTGCACATGAGACTTATACATGGCATACAACATGTACAAGCATAGATATCTGTGCAACTAATGATTAAATTTCAGACAAACAAATAAGAGTTACATAAAGCACACACATTAAAACAATGCCAATATCTCCTTGGCATCTTCTCAGCTTGACATTGGCATGCAGAAAACAACTTCTTTTGCCAGCTTTTCATGGACAACATGTTTTAGTGGTGTCACAGCTCACATTAATTTGTGGCATTTTTGCATGAGTGAGTTGGCTTTATTGCCACTTTTAAACAGTACTTCAGTCAGTGAGTGAGAGTATGGTTTTACGCCGCTTTTAGCAATATTCCAGCAATATCACAGCAAGGGACACCAGAAATGGGCTCCACACATTGAACCCATGTCGGGAACAGTACTTCAGTAATATCATGGCCTGTCAGCTAGATGTGGGAGGAAAGCCTGAAGTGAGTGATGCACTGACGTAAATCATCAAGCTAAGAGTGAGTGAGTGAGTGAGTGAGTGGGTAAGGATGCCTTTAGCAATATTCCAGCAATATCACGGCAGGGAACAGCAGACATGGGCTTCACAAACTGTACCCATGTGGGGAAGTGAAACCGGATGTTTGGCATGATAAGTGAACGCCTTAATCACCAGGCTACCCAAATGCACCTGAAGCTGGGAAAGAAGGGAACATTCACAGTAGTTGTCTTCATGTGTAGGTACTTGAAGGGACAATAAAATTGGGTGAGTGAGTTGGGTTTTAACGCCGCTTTTAACAGTATTCCAGTTATATCACGGCGTGTCAGCTTAATGTGGGAGGAAAGCCCGAAGTGATGCAGGTCTCAGACGTTTACCACTTCGGTGAAACCCACGAGCACGGGTATGGTGCTGACAAACCTAGAAACATAATCGGGGGGAACCGGGAATCGAACCCACAACCATAGGTTTCTGGCGTGCCCAAGGGACGCAACTCTGCACAGCGAATCGTGACGCCTTAGACGACTGGGCCATCCGTGCCCCCGAAAGGGACAATAAAATGTTGGGTAGTGAGAAAGGTAAAGATGAAAATCTTATAATTAATTTGTTACGGTCTAAGGAGAACAGGAGCAGTTGGTTTGTTGTTTTACGCCGCACTCAGCAATATTCCAGCTATATGACGGTGGTCTGTAAATAATCAAGTCTGGACCAGGCAATCAAGTGATTGATATCATGAGCATCTATCCACGCAATTGGGATCGATGACATGCTTCAACCAAGTCAGCGGGCCTGACTAACCGATCCTGTTAGTCGCCTCTTACGACAAGCATAGTCGCCTTTTACGGCAAGCATGGGTTGCTAAAGACCTATTCTACCCCAGATCTTCATGGGTCAACAGGAGTAAGAAGAATGAGTGAGTGAGTGAGGTTGGTTTAATGCCACTTTGAACAGTATTTCATGTGTGTGTTATCAAACTGCCCAACTGTTAAGGTATCATAAGGACTAGTAGAAATTTGCCCTTTTTAAGGGTTTTGCTATATGTTATCATTATAAGGACTAGTAGACTAAAAATGGTCATTCCCCTGATGCAAGTCAGCACAGAGAATTGCAGCACCTTAGACAACTGAGCTATCCACACCCCCAGGATCCTTTACTTCTACTCATTCTACAACAGGTGAAGCCCTAAAACCCAGCTATGAATGCAGACAATACACAATACACAGATACAGACTATCTTAAGATTATGTAACTTGAATAGAGACATTCCCTCACATCCATTGTCGAGGCTTGCAAATTGTTACCTGTTTTGCAACTGCAAGCTTAAGCATGTTAAGTCCTTTTGTAAAAACAAGCTTTTCATCACAATCATACAAATTCAGCTCACACAAATTGATCTCACTTGGTCGATCTATGGTCATAATTAAATACCCTACGCCCCTTGAATGGAAACTTTCCGCCACCCTTCCCAGACCTATTATTTTGAGGATTTTTTCCTCTGGAGCGTTTTGATTTCTTCTTTTTCTTTTTCTTTCCAAGGGGCACACCAGGGCACGCTGGAAGCCCACTGTTTCTATCAGCTTTCGGTAACATCTCCTCTACCTCAGTTGGCATTTCCACATAGAGAACCTTCATTGCAACTCTCTGCTTCCCTGTACCGTGTTTGTATAACAGATGATCCTGGCATTTGTGAAAGTCTGTGAACATCGATTGGGGTTTGCAATAAAAGCAAATGAGCAGCACTCTCTGATTGGCTTCTGGTGGCTTGTAGAGGACATGTCCAGATGATCTGCAATGGTTATATAGGTGGGAAGGCTCATTGAAAACCATTCCACATACTGGACACTGAGGAGGAAGATAGAAAGTGACCGTTTTGAAAGCTCTCACCACCCCCAGACCGTAAAGAGGCTTGTCCATCTTGTGAATCTTTTGGGAGTGACTGTAGCATGAATGGATGTCAATAAACATTTCTTTGCATGCTCTACACATTGGAATGAGGTTTCGAAATTTACCATCTTCATAAGTGTGGGTCATTGGTTTCAAAAGCCCCCTTGGCAAGAAGGCTTGATTTTGTACGACGCCTTCATATTCACTGGCAGAGAAGTGCAGATTGTCCTTTAAGTGACTTCGCATAAATCCAGCATCAGTGGACGTGAATCTGCACAGATCACATTTAAAGCCTACAACACAATCTTCATCGCTATCAAAGTCACATGTATCTGAAACTTCAATTTCTTCATCGTCACTACTTTCATCAAGGTCATCACATTTTTTCAATTTCTTAAAACTTTCCAAATCAAACAATTCATCATCACCTTCCACCATGTCCACTTTTCGTTTTCCACTTCCTGATGTTGATGGCATTTCATCAACATAAGATGTGTTTCTTTGCGAGTCCATACTCCCAGTTGGTGTACTTCTATTACTGGAGTGACTTTCATTTTCATCCCTGTTATCACCATTTTGAACAACTCGATTCTCCCTAATGATGCTTGGCCAGCCTCCCTCAGCAACCAAGGCACAGGATTGGGATTCATAAGACACATATGTTCTTGGATGTGGCTCACAACCACTGAACACACCAAATGAATTCGGATTGATTCCACACTTTGTCCTCACTCTGTCCAAAATGGCACCAGGCATTGAATACACATCCCTTATTAACTCAGCCCTGGCCGCCTCAAGCTCCCTCTTGTTGTAAGGCCCATAGTCGCCCTGGATATAGACAGAGGGAGGTGTTCTCTGGTGTCTGAATGGATACATTATCAACCTTTCACAGTTCTACATTCTAGTAGAGGTTTGAAACATGAGTCAAGGTCTGAAACAAAAGAATGTTTAGTTATAAGTGAGTAAATGGTGGAAACCATTTTATAGTTCAGAATTGTTCTCTTAAGAAGGTTGTCAAATATCAAAAGTTTCCAAACTCGCATGCTGTATTCAAGATATCTAAAATTATACCTATGCTTTATAGTAACCAACTGGTAAAAGTGAAACTAAAAGAAAATGAAATGGATCTATTTCACCATGAAGGCATGGATGCTGTTTTGACCTAATGATATTATCTTCAACCGAACAAATGTGTCAACAGTTCTAAAATCGGATGAGGTTATGCTTGGACTCCGAAACAAACCCTAAATTATTCTACTCACAACACTAAAATGTTTCGTGTAACAAGTTTCACTTCCACTGAAGGCATGACTCTTCTTCCGGAAGTATTCTCTAATGTGTAAGTCAGGAAAGTACATCTTCCGCTAAATACGGACATTTCATTGGTTGAAAGTCAACGTGTGCAGCTGAATGAAAAATGGTTCTTGTTTCTTCGAAGAAAAATCATAAGAAATAATAATGAGTTCCCATATTGACAACATAATACCTAGACTAGCAGAAGCTGTCGAAACTGTTATGAACCCGTCTGTAGGGCACAATGACCGTCTTACAGCTCATAAGGTGTTTTTTAATCCTGTTTGCCAGTTATTATCTCACGAGATGATCCCTTGAAATTATATAAAATTACGATGAAAAGGGCGTATATTTGCGTATAAAATTCAGCCCAGGCAATCATACTTCAAAGATGGGTAATTTAATATATGTTGTAATGGGACAGCACCCTTTCATATTTGCTAATTGCTGTAGCTCCCACGTCTCACCAGTTATGTCTGCTAGGTTAATTAATGTAATTCAATTTCAGTTTAATTAATTGGCGAGAAAATATGACTATAGAATATTTTTGTCGCCTTTAAGAAACGAATGAATTTTTTATCTTTGGTCAGACTTGACACACATTAACTTTCACAGCCTTTGGACTTTTCATCACATTGTTCACACATATTTAGAAAACAAACAATTAAATCAGGCAATTTATGAACTGACAAGCCAAAATCAAATTTCAAATATAGTCATATGAACAAAATTGTATGTCATATGTAACAATTAATTAACATACCAAGAAAAAAAGAGATGTTCTTTTGACAACACATCAAGACGCCCGAGTACCTGTACAATGACAAAACATGATGATGATACAGGTTTATATCTTCCAGTACCAATATATGGTATAATTGCTCTATAAGTAAGAATTCATGTATTGAAAATGGTTGAGTTTAGTCATGGAGGTCATTGATTTTAGTCTGCTGTTCTTATAATTTAAGTTACTAGCCTAATTTATTAAGGTAGATCGCTCAATCACAGCAGCAACAACATTTGCTATTGCACAATTTGAAGATTGTTTTAGTTTTAGGTTAGCTCCCTTTGATCAGGATTATTGTTTTAATCAACTGACAATTGCTTAGCATTACATATATGTTCTGTTGATGTGCAATTGAACTCAACTCTATAATGCATATTGAATTTGTTTCAGTATTCTGAGTGCTTGACGTTATTCGCAAAACAAAAATGCATGAAGCGTACCATACTTATTGATGGATGAAGACACAATACTAACATTTTGTAAGATGAATTCTTATCATTTGCAGATTTGTGAAGAATTCAAAGAATCATCCCCAGATTGTCTTCCTTGTGGTTTGGTTTTAGCAGGGAAACAGTTTTCTCCTATTCTAAGACACTTCGGTTTACAGTTAGTTGAACACTGTATCAAGTAAGTACGCATTGTTTTAGCATGTTTAGTTGGGAATTTTTGTCTCAACATTAGGGTTGTGGGGTAATGATACACTCATTAACAATACACCGCAATGTCCCAATATGATGAACATATTTGGTAATGCCAGTTTAACCAATAATGGTTTGAAACTTTCAGTGAGTCAGTATGGTTTTATGCTGCTTTTAGCAAAATTCCAGCAATATCATGGTGGGGGACACTAAAAATGGGTTTCACACGTTGTACCCCTATGGGGAATCAAACCCAGGTCTTTGGTGTGATTCGTCACGATATGGCTGAAATATTGCCGATGTGACGTTAAGCTTTAACTCACTCACTCTTTGGTGTGAGGAGCGAATGCTTTAAGCCTTTAACACGAGGCTACCCCAATGCCCCGACCGCTTGAAACTTTTACTTATTGTCAGAAAATAAAATGTTGCAATTCATTTTCTTATTCATTGACTCTCATTTGTTTGGAGGCTCGGGTGGCCCAGTTGTCTAAGGCACTGCAATTCGCTGTGCAGATATACTTCCCTTAGACATTTCAGAAAGTGTGATTGTGAGCTTTAATCACAATGAAATGCTAAAGGTGCTGAAAAATCTAGAAACATACTATGGGCAAAAGCCCATACACTATGTTTCTAGATTTTTCAGCACCTTTAGCATTAGCGTCTAAGATCAACATTGCTCTGTTCTATCCACCCATTCAAGCTGACATGCTGTGTTATGATGGAAGTACTGTTCAACTCACTCATTCTTCTTACACCATGTAAACAGTCAAGTATTAAAATAAATTGAAACTTTTATGAAAAATAATTTATTTTTTTGTTGTCATGTATTGTTTTGTATTGATAAGAAAGAAACATGACAATCATGATGCATCAATCAACAGTGAACCAATATTGCCCTGCCCTTCCTGATAGTCATCAGAGTATCCAGTGATATTTATAGTGTTTTATTGTCACAATACAAGTTATCAGACTATGAAAAGGTTCATGTTCGATATGACATTTACAATGGCTGAAACATCTATTGTTGTAGGTTTCGATGGCATACGATGTCACAAAATGATAAGGATAATTTGAAGAAAAGTTCAATGGAATTAGTAAACCAGGTTGGTATATTTATGCAATGATTTTTTCCAATTTCACAACACAATTGTTTTAGTTACATACTGCGATACGATGAATGTAAATATTTTGTCTTTAGTTGATGTAGTGTGATCAACAGATAAATCACAGGGCACACACAATAACATGATCACTGCTTGTCACCACAAGGCACACACAATAACATGATGACTGCTTGTCACCACAGGGTACACACAGTAACTTGATCACTGCTTGTCACCACAAGGCACACACAATAACATGACTGCTTGTCACCACAGGGTACACACAATAACATGGCGACTGCTTGTCACCACAAGGCACACACAATAACATGATGACTTCTTGTCACCACAGGGCACACACAATAACATGACTGCTTGTCACCACAGGGCACACACAATAACATGACTGCTTGTCACCACAAGGCACACACAATAACATGATGACTTCTTGTCACCACAGGGCACACACAATAACATGATGACTTCTTGTCACCACAGGGCACACACAATAACATGATGACTGCTTGTCACCACAAGGCACACACAATAACATGGCGACTGCTTGTTAGCACAGGGCACACACAATAACATGGCGACTGCTTGTTACCACAGGGCACACACAATAATATGACAACTTCTTGTCACCACAAGGCACACACAATAACATGGCAACTGCTTGTCACCACAGGGCACACACAGTAACTTGATCACTGCTTCTCACCACAGGGCACACACAATAACATGGCGACTGCTTGTCACCACAGGGCACAAACAGGAACTTGATCACTGCTTGTCACCGCAGGGCACACACAATAACATGGCGACTGCTTGTCACCACAGGGCACACACAATAACATGGCGACTGCTTGTCACCACAGGGCACACACAATAGCATGGCGACTGCTTGTCACCACAGGGCACACACAACAACATGGCGACTGCTTGTCACCACAGGGCACACACAATAACATGATGACTGCTTGTCACCACAGGGCACACACAATAACATGGCGACTGCTTGTCACCACAGGGCACACACAATAACATGGCGACTGCTTGTCACCACAGGGCACACACAATAACATGATGACTGCTTGTCACCACAGGGCACACACAATAACATGGCGACTGCTTGTCACCACAGGGCACACACAATAACATGATGACTGCTTGTCACCACAGGGCACACACAATAACATGGCGACTGCTTGTCACCACAGGGCACACACAATAGCATGGCGACTGCTTGTCACCACAGGGCACACACAATAACATGGTGACTGCTTGTCACTACAGGGCACACACAATAACATGGCGACTGCTTGTCACCACAGGGCACACACAGGAACTTGATCACTGCTTGTCACCGCAGGGCACACACAATAACATGGCGACTGCTTGTCACCACAGGGCACACACAGGAACTTGATCACTGCTTCTCACCGCAGGGCACACACAATAACATGGCGACTGCTTGTCACCACAGGGCACACACAGTAACTTGATCACTGCTTCTCACCGCAGGGCACACACAGTCTTCTGGAGGAGGAGCTACATATCAAAGATGGCGTGTCTCGGATCATGGTGGAGCTAATCAAAAGGGAATGGCCTCAACTCTGGCCATCATTACTCACTGAGCTGCATGACCTGTGTCAGTATGGGGTATGTAGAGACACAAGGGTATACGACTACCTCCATGGTGTCGGGGGTTTGATTCCCAGTCGCATCATACCAAAAGACGTTACAAGATGGTGCTTAACACACACACATGCACACACATCGCTGTATATATGTGAGATAATTTTGACTGCAATGTTAGTCCCGAGATCTAAGATTCTCCCTCGTGATGTTACTTCCTGTGCTTGTATGCCCAGTGGTGGGAGACATGTTCTTACCGCATCACTCCCACATTAGGCAAGTGACTTTGTTCCAACTAGCAATCTCATTAAAATCAGATCTTTGTTCTCGCTTCCACTAAACAAAGATCTGAGGACATCGCATTATGGGTCATGTCAGGCCGACCTTGTGCGAACTAGACCGACCAATGGAGTGACCAATCAGAAGGCAGCTTTCTCGTGCTTAACGGCACAAATTTCAAATTGGCGACTACGCTTCGAAAAATATTTTGACAAATTCTCGATTACAAATTTGAAACCTGAACAAAAAAACATTCTGGAATGCCTAATAGATGGTCTAGATTGTAAGGATTCAGTCATTAAACCCGTAACTATCGTTCGGAATACACCATGTTAAAGTTTTCGAGATTGCATGACTAGAAATCACATTCCGACTGTCACTTTCATAATCTGGTAAGCGACGCACTGATTGGTCGGATGAAAGGTCATTCTGACGAGACCCGTAATGGGATGTCTTCAGATCTTTGTTTAGCGGTAGCGAGAACTAAGGTCTGATTTTAATGAGATTGTTCCAAATAGCAGCGTTAGAAATCGGCACTAGTCCTGAAGCCCTTGCCAAACTGCCCAATAGTTAAGGTATCATAAGGTCTATTTATAATTCGCCGTTTTTAAAGGTTTTGCTATATGTTATCATTATGAGGACTAGTGGACTAAAAATGTTAGTTTCTACCGCTGACTTGGACTCTGAACACCCAGCAGTGACAGGGTGTCCAGGTTGATAAGTTGTAATGTGAATGTACTGTGAAAGAGGCTGATTCTATTGTATACTCCTCAGGGAGCTGGGAAGCAATTGGAATGCACACTGATCGGTTGACTTGGGAAATAATGTAGCACCTTGAGCAAGCATGAGTGTGCGGTGGCTAGCACAATAGCACCACACACATTGATATCTTTAGCCTGAGACCGCCTCTGTGGTCTAGTGGTAAAGCGTCCGCCCGGAGAGCGGAAGGTCTTGGGTTCGATCCCCGGCCGCGTCATACCAAAAGACATTAAAAGATGGTACTTGTTGTTACCCTGTCTGGCGCTCGGCATTAAGGGGCTAAAGCAAGGACTGGTCGGCTCGGAGTCAGTATACTGTGTCTGAGAGGTGCATTCATGTTAAACTGCGGCATGGTATCTCAGTGGGCTAGCACTATAAATTGGCATCAGTCCGGTCTAGTACAAGCAGCCACATACACCCACACACACCCGCCGCATGCACGTCGCTATATAAGTGCAATAATCTTGGATGCGACGTTAAACCCAATTTCACCTCACCTCACCTTTAGCTTGAACCCGTGAGGATTCCAGATTACAACTGATGCCCAGCAACGTAAACTGGTTGTAAGAGGTGACTAAATTCATCTGGTGGTCAGGCTCGTTAACGTGGTTGATTGCCTGTCATAGCTTGGATTGTTACTCATGTTGATAAGTTTGTTTTCTGGTCCAGACACGATTATTTACAGATTATCATTATATACCTGGCATATTGCTGAGTGTATCATTCAACTACAAACATTATCAGCCTAGCATGCTGTGATATAACTGAAATCCTGTTCAGGGGCCCATTCTACAAATCAATCTTAACGGTGAGCCGATTGTAACTCTCATTCTTTATCATTGACTTACGACAATCATACAGTTAAGATCACTTTGTGGAACCAGGGCCCCTTTACTCAGTGATTACTTGTCTCATGTTTCTCACGATTCCAGATTATGGTTTATTCCTCAAAGAGTGTCATTATGAGCCGAAGATGTGTATCATTGGTTGCCCACCCATAAAGATCCAGGACAGAATAGGTCTTAAGCAACCCATGCTTTCCATAAAAGGCGACTGCGCTTGTCATATGAGGTTACTAACTGGATGAAATGGTCAAGCTCATTGACTTGGTTGATGCATGTCATCGTATCCCAAATATGAGGATCAATGCTCATGATGTCAATCACTGGATTGTCTGGTCCAGACTGGATTATGTACAGACCGCTGTCATAAAGCTGGAATATTGCGGAGTGCAGCGTTAAGCAACAAACAAACATTGGTTGCCTGTTTAATCATTAGTTTGCCTTATTTAGACTTGATTATATACAGGTGGGTGTGATATAGCTTGAATATTGCTGAATATATTCAACATTGACTCACTGACTGACTCCCCCTCAGGAGACTCAGACGGAGCTGGTGCTGATGATCTTCCATCGTCTGGTGGAGGATGTGGTGGCTTTCCAGAACCTGCCTCATCAGCGGCGGCGGGAGGTGCTGCAGGCGCTCACCTCCCAGATGACCCAGCTCTTCCACTTCTTCCTAAGCCTGCTGGAGAACAACACCTCGCGCTACCGGAAGCTGGTGAGACATGCACTGTACAACTGAAACCTGTGTCACTCAAACAAGCCTCAAAACAAAGCTAAGGTGGTGAATAGGTCCAGATTGTATATAAAAAACAACAAGGATTTACCTGGGGTATTTATTTTTGGGGTGCAGGGGACTCACAACCTTAAATTGTAGGAGTCCCAGGTAAAGAAATTGGGGTCCCAGAGAAATGTGAAATATTGAGTATATAACAATTTCAAATAAAGCAGAATCCCTTGTTTTTATCTTATTTAATATGTAATATCATACATAATCTTTATTTATGTTTTCATTTGAAGACATATTCAAACTTTCCTGACTGCCTTCGTGGTCAAGTGGTAGAGCATCCGCCTAGAGAGCGGAAGGTTGGGGGTTCGATTCCGGCCACGTCATACCAAAAGACGTTAGAAGGTGGTACTTGTTGTTGCCCTTCCTGGCACCTGACATTAATGGATCAAAACAAGGACTGGTTGGCTTGGAGTCCATATACTGTGTCTGGGTTGGGTATTCATGTTAAACTGCGGCATGGTATCTCAGTGCTCTAGCACTATAAAATCAGCATCAGTCTGGACTACTACAAGCAGACACATGCATGTACGTTGCTATGTAAGTGCAATAATCTTGAACGCAACGTTAAGCCCCATTTCACCTCACCTCAAACTTTCCCTGCTGAAAAACATTCGCAAATTTTGTTCACCCCAATCAATATGGAAACATTTACTCTGTGATATAAAATTTTGCATGTTCAGAGGAAATCAATGTTTTATAGGGTAGCAAATTATGAAATGGCAGCACTCATTCCTATACATGCATACAAATTTTCTGCATCTCGGTGGAGGCACTCTGTGTTTCTTTTGCATCCATTTTCAATTTTTATGCATATCGGACACAGGATTACGAGTCCTGTAAATGCCTGTATCATAATAGAAAGGAGATATGATATGATACATTGGATAATTGAGAGGAACATTATATTATCACTTCATCCTAGTTGATGGACTCCTGTAATGAGAATCGACTGTATGTCATAGATGCTCACTGAAAACTGACTGGGATATATAGCGAAGTCTTCAAAGTAACACGGCATCCTCTGTTTCAACAGTCAGGATCTGAGAACGAGTTGGAGAAGCTGCAAGCCCAGGCATCGTGTCGTGTGAGTGAGGCAGTGCTGTCAACTCTCACGGGGTTTGTGGACTGGGTCAACATGTCCCACATTGTCGAGAGAGAAGGCCTCCTCTTGCAGCTGCTCTGTTTGTTGCTAAGCGTCAGCAGTCTGCAGTTGTCTGCAGCCGAATGTCTTCTACTTATCGTCAGTCGAAAGGTGAGGAATTTTTTAAAAGGGAACATTTTCTGAAATTTTAAGTGAAAATGTATTTCCACCACATCCTTTTCAAAGCCAAACGAGGGGAGGTTGGGTAGCCTAGAGGTTAAAGCATTCCCTTATCATGCTAAAGACCCGGGTTTGATTGCCCACATGGGTACAATGTGTGAAGTCCATTTGAGGTGTCCCTCACCAAGATCTTGCTGGAATATTGCTAAAAGCAGCGTAAAAACATACTCACTTACTCACTCTCTCACTCTCTCACATACTCACAGCCAAACCAGGCTTAAAGATATGTTGTTTTTTAAGCCCTTTAAAAGCTGACATGTTTTTCCAAAAGAACTGCCTATCCCAGATTTTAGATTTTAAAAGTGTTTTGGGCTATCCTAGCTTCAGTAAGCATATAAGCTTCTTGCTGCGTGTGATTTCAGGGTAAGCTGGAAGAAAGGAAACCTTTGTTGGTGTTGTTCAGTGAAGATGCGATGGCAACCATACTTAATGCTGCAGTGTAAGTAACATGTTTTACACCATACAGCAAGATATGTTTTACACTGTACAGTACAGTAAGATATGTTTTACACTGTACAGCAAGATATGTTTTACACTGTACAGTACAGTAAGATATGTTTTACACTGTACAGTAAGATATGTTTTACACTGTACAGTAAGATATGTTTTACACTGTACAGTAAGATATGTTTTACACCATACAGTTAGATATGTTTTACACTGTACAGTCAGATATATTTTACACTGTACAGCAAGATATGTTTTACACTGTACCATAAGATATGTTTTACACTGTACAGTAAGATATGTTTTACACTGTACAGTAAGATATGTTTTACACCATACAGTAAGATATGTTTTACACCGTACAGTAAGATATATTTTACACCATACAGCAAGATATGTTTTACACTGTACCGTAAGACATGTTTTACACTGTACAGTAAGATATGTTTTACACCATACAGTAAGATATGTTTTACACCATACAGTAAGATATGTTTTACACCATACAGTAAGATATGTTTTACACCATACAGTAAGATATGTTTTACACTGTACAGTAAGATATGTTTTACACTACAGTAAGATATGTTTTACACTGTACAATAAGATATGTTTTACACTGTACAGTAAGATATGTTTTACACTGTATAGTAAGATATGTTTTACACTGTACAGTAAGATATGTTTTACACCCTACAGTAAGATATGTTTTACACCATACAGTAAGATATGTTTTACACTGTACAGTAAGATATGTTTTACACTGTACAGTAAGATATGTTTTACACTGTACAGCAAGATATGTTTTACACCCTACAGTAAGATATGTTTTACACCATACAGTAAGATATGTTTTACACTGTACAGTAAGATATGTTTTACACTGTACAGTAAGATATGTTTTACACTGTACAATAAGATATGTTTTACACCATACAGTAAGATATGTTTTACACTGTACAGTAAGATATGTTTTACACCATACAGTAAGATATGTTTTACACCATACAGTAAGATATGTTTTACACCATACAGTAAGATATGTTTTACACCATACAGTAAGATATGTTTTACACTATGCAAGGTTAGGATTTGTTTGGAAATGTCGAATGTTTATGCTAAGGTTCGAAAATTTGCTGTGCAGAGTTGCATCCCTTTTATTATGGGTTTGAATCCTTGATTATGATTCTTGGTTTGTCAGACCTGTACCCAAAGTGGTAAACATATTCAGCCTGAATCACTCCGGCCTCTCCTCCCACACTTAGCTGACTCAGTGTGATATATGTGAAAACTGTTCAAAGCAGCAGTAAATCATTAACAAGTGTCATGCACTTGTTGATGTGGGTTGATGTTTTCATGCTGACTTTGTTGTCAACTGGTTTGTCAGCTCCTGATCAAACTGTTTTCAATGGACCTTTAATATACTGAGGACTAAAGTCATGATATTGCTAAAGTCTAACATTTTTCTCACTGATGAATTAGAATGAGACGGCTCTTTGTAGGATTGTGTCGTCCGAACTGGACCTGAAATGAAGCAAATGGGTCCGGGGTAGTTTTGAGACATTATGCTCGGGATAATCCAGGAAGTTTCTGATCCGAATTGAAGTTCTTATGTTTTCATTATAGACCGACCTGTGAAGATGCGGGGTAGAATAGGTCTTCAGCAACCCAATCTTGCCATAAAAGGCGACTATGCTTGTCGTAAGAGGCTGACTTGGTTGATGCATGTCATCGTATTCTGATAGCGTGGATCGATGTTTATGATGTCAATCACTGGATTATCTGGTCCAGACTCGATTATTTACAGACCGCCGTCATATAGCTGGAATATTGCTGAGTGCGGCTTTAAACAACAAACAAACAACAGTGTAAATACGCCTTCAGATTTGGACTCAATTATTTAGAGGGCGCCGTTATGAAGCTGTAATAATGGTGAGTGCAGCTTTAAACTACAGCCAACCAAACAAACAAACAAACAAACTTTATCGACCACTGGCTTGTCTGCTCCTGGACAACTTTACTGAAGGCTGTTTATGGATGAATACTGAAGACCAAACTACCAAATTCCCCCCTCACTGTCTCCATTGTTTATTGCAGTGCTGCAGAGAAGTCATCCCGAGATGAGTACTACTACCTATTCCTGAAGAGGCTGTGTCAAGTGCTCACTGAGACGGGGAAACAGCTCTGTGTTTTATGGGTTAGTTCAACCAGCATGCTTGTCTACACACTGCCTGTTTATTTGTTTGTTGTTTAACACCTCAATCAGCAATATTCAAGCTGTATGATGGCAGCTTGTAAATAATTTGAGTCACCAGACAATCCAGTGATCGAGATCGTGAGCAACAATCCACGCTGGTGGGGTATGTTGACATGCATCAAGCAAGGCACAGAGCCGAGCCTGATTCAATCCGTCGCCTCTTACAGGCAGCATGGGTGGGGACCTATTCTACCAGGGAACCCCAAGGGTTACACAGAGATGTTTTAGAAATGAAAATAAACAATATTTCGATCTATTGTTAATGGATCGAGTGGTCAGGCTCAGTTACTTGCTTCATGCAGATTGATGCTTATGTCTATCTATCACTGGATTGTCTTGTCTAGATTCGGACCCGTGAAGATACGGGGTAGAATAGGTCTTCAGCAACCCATGCTTGTCGTAAAAGGCGACTATGCTTGTCGTAAGAGGCGACTGACTGGATCAGGTGGTCTGGCTCGCTGACTTGGTTGATGCATGTCATCGTATCCCAATTGTGAGGATCAATGCTCATGATGTCAATCACTGGATTGTCAGGTCCAGACTCAGATCATTTACAGACTGCCGTCGTATAGCTGTAATATTGCTGAGTATGGCTTTAAACACACATGAACACTTAGTACCAAAGCAAGGCTGTGTTCAGTACACAACAACAAAATAACTGACAGTGAGCACAGTGGTTACTAGATATCTTGAATGGTAGATGATGTGTCGATACAGATTGGTCAAACCTTGTTTCTTTTTTCCAGGGCTCGACAGAGAATGTCACCCAGCCTCCCAACTTCTCCACCTATCTTCAAGCTCTCTTGGCATTCTCAGAACACCCTAGTCAGGTAGAGAAGCTAGGTTGTCAAAACTTAGTTGTTTACATAATTCATTGCACCAAAGACCCGTGAAGATTCTGGGCAGAATAGGTCTTCAGCAACCCATGCTTGCCATAAAAGGTGACTATGCTTGTCGTAAAAGGCGACTAACGGGATCGGGTTGTCAGGCTTGCTGACTTGTTTGATGCATGTCATCGATCCCAATTGCATGGATCTATGCTCATGATATCAATCACTGGATTGTCTGGTCCAGACTCGATTATTTACAGACCGCCGTCATATAGCTGGAATATTGCTGAGTGCGGCGTTAAACAACAAACTAACCAACCATTACACCAGAAATGCCTGAAGCATCATTAATGGGTATCCTTTGGATGAGCCAAACGTGAGACTCAAATCCATGGTGGGACTCATGTCTGTCAGATTCTCAGATGTGTGACATACGTCCTAGGTACAGGAGGGCGTTATCGCGGGGGATGACTGTATTATCGATCAGCTGCAGCCTGAGCACAAACATGTGAAGAAATGTTGGAATGGATATCACCATCCTGACACTGAAAGTATGGGTGTGCACAGGTTAAATAATAAAAATGGGAACAAGAATGAACCACATGATTAAGCTGAGCTGCCATGATATTGTTGAAATACTTTTAATCACAACATTAAATCCAACTCACTTATGTTTAGAAGGTCAGCAGTGATTTATAAGTTATTGAGGACATTTTTTCTCTTGGGGGTGACCTGCTCGGCCTCCCCTGGTACCATGCTCTGAGGACCAACCAAGGTTTACTTCTGGATATGTATGAGAAGCCAACTGACTTGTCCAGGCTATGGTGATGCTGGAAGTAGGTCAGTGCACATGCAGGGGTATTCAATGCTGTTGTAGGGTGGGAGAAAACTACAGAATACCTACATGAGCCAGTTGCCAAGGGGAAAGGTTGGAGTTATCTTTTTATTTTTATCACTATTAATACAGGTCTGTCTGTCACAAGAAAAGAATTTAAGAAGGTACATGCTTTGAGTTACTTATAATTCACTGCTCATTTATATAACTTTTCCATTTTTCAGATGTTAGGCAGCTACACTCAGACACTATGGAGTTCACTTCTTCGTCATGAAAGTATTTCAGAGGATCCAGTACTTGTCTCCTTCATACCTCACCTGGTCAAGTCCATGACAAAAACACTACTGAAGGTCAGTGTTGGTCAGTTGAAAAATTTGACATCCAATTACTGCTTTGTCAAGGACAATGAATGGGTCATCCATTGTTCAGGATATAAAACAATGACAGTGTTAAACCATATGTTGACTTAGAAAAGATCCTTTGTGGGTTGGGGGCGGTCGGGTAGCCTAGTGGTTAAAGCGTTCGCTCGTCACGCCAAAGACCCGGGTTCGATTCCCGACATGGGTGTGAAGCCCATTTCTGGTGTCCCCCGCCATGATATTGCTGGAATATTGCTAAAAGCGGCGTAAAACCATACTCACTCACTCACTCACTCACTCACTCACTCACTCACTCCTTTGTGTCAATCATACATTTTTTGCATTTCTAACATGCAATGATAATAAAGGATAATCTAGTGAGACCTGTCAATCACTGATGAAAGCAGTAGGTATCTTTCCAAATGTTTGGCACTTACAGATAATCTGGAATTCCATGTGTTGAGAATACATTTCCACTTTGTGGAAACATTTACGATGAAACAGTTAATGTGTCACTATTTATTTCTCAGTAAATACCACTGAACATATTGTACATCTCCCTGAGTTCGTAATAACCATAGTTTTCTCTATGTCTGGATATTGACCTTTCTGTACAGTCATCGTACTTCCTGAGACAGTAAGCCACTTTAATACCAATAGGGTTAGAAATAACAGAGTTCATAATAATTGTATGTGCAAATATTAATTCACGGGAACCAGTGTACCGTTTACATCCTCCAGACAGCATTGTTAACATCATTCAAATCTTATTGTGAGGTAAGGTCGGAATGACATCATAGACACGATGTCATAGCTGAAGATTATTGACGTCAACTGACAATTGTAGCTTCCTAAGACGGTGGTCATGATTTGTTTTAAAGAGGAGCTGAAAAGATATAAGAAATAATGGCTTATAAAGTTACACATGCATATGTGTCATATTGATTTTATAAAGAAGAGCTGAAAAGATATAAGAAATAATGGCTTATAAAGTAACACATGCATATGTGTCATATTGATTTTATAAAGAAGAGCTGAAAAGATATAAGAAATAATGGCTTATAAAGTTACACATGCATATGTGTAATATTGATTTTATAAAGAAGAGCTGAAAAGATATAAGAAATAATGGCTTATAAAGTTACACATGCATATGTGTCATATTGATTTTATAAAGAAGAGCTGAAAAGATATAAGAAATAATGGCTTATAAAGTAACACATGCATATGTGTCATATTGATTTTATAAAGAAGACCTGAAAAGATATAAGAAATAATGGCTTATAAAGTAACACATGCATATGTGTCATATTGATTTTACAAACTCATGTAAGAATTCATGTATAACCTGGCTCTCGCTCAGGATATACAAGAATTTTAACACTCATTTTGTAAAAAAAATCAGTATGGCACACATGCTCGTATAAAAATCTCTATATGGTACAGCAACAATAGACCATGGTGCATGTGACAAATATTCTGATGTGTAGACGGCCTCCGTGGTCTAGTGGTAGAGCGTCCGCCCGGAGAGCAGAAGGTCCAGGTTCGATCCCAGGCCGCTTCTTACCAAAAGACGTTAAAAGATGGTACTTGTTGTTACCCTGTCTGGCGCTCAGCATTAAGGGGCTAAAACAAGGACTGGTCGGCTCGGAGTCAGTATACTGTGTCTGAGTGGGGTATCCATGTTAAACTGCAGAATGATATCTCAGTGTGCTAGCACTATAAATCGGCATCAGTCCGGTCTAGTACAAGCAGCCACACACACACACGTGCATGCACGTCGCTATATAAGTGCAATAATCTTGGACGCGACCTTAAACTCAATTTCACCTCACCTATTCTGATGTGTTGGCAGGTTGGTTTCCCCAGTCAGAACAACTCTCCCAGCTGTGAATATGCAAGGTTGGATTTTGACAGTGATGAGGAATTCAACATGTTCTTTGCAAGTGAGTGCATCCCATAGTTTTGAACACAATGGTTTTCTCCTCTATGATCTTTAAAGCTTCAGAGAAAAAGAGAGGGTTTAGAGTTATGTGCCTATCAAGATCACAATATGAAACATAACAGTAATTATCTTTATGTTTGTCTTGGTGATCTAATGAATGTGTCCCCTGCAGGGTACAAGGTGGATATTGCAGTCACGCTGCGTCAGGCCACGCTGCTCGAGCCCAAGATCACCTTCAGTATAGCCATGGAGTGGCTTCACGAACAGCTGCATAAACCTGTCGCCACGGGGGAAGGTAGGGATATCTACAGAATATCTACGTAAGCCTGTAGCCATGGGGAAGGTAGGAGTGACTTCATGACTTCACGAACAGCTGCATAAACCTGTCGCCACGGGGGAAGGTAGGGATATCTACAGAATATCTACGTAAGCCTGTAGCCATGGGGAAGGTAGGAGTGACTTCACGAACAGCTGCATAAACCTGTCGCCACGGGGGAAGGTAGGGATATCTACAGAATATCTACGTAAGCCTGTAGCCATGGGGAAGGTAGGAGTGACTTCATGAACAGCTTTATAAACCTGTTGCCACGGGGGAAGGTAGGGATATCTACAGAATATCTACGTAAGCCTGTAGCCATGGGGAAGGTAGGAGTGACTTCACGAACAGCTGCATAAACCTGTCGCCACGGGGGAAGGTAGGGATATCTACAGAATATCTACGTAAGCCTGTAGCCATGGGGAAGGTAGGAGTGACTTCACGAACAGCTGTATAAACCTGTCGCCACGGGGGAAGGTAGGGGGGACTACAGAATGCCTCAACAGCTACGAATAAGAAAAGATTACTGTATGCTGCTAGACTGCTAGTACCCCATGCTTGTCAGTCCAACTTAAGATGGATGACTGTGTGTCAAGGTGCGCCAGGGATGGTGTGGATTATTGCACATAAAGTCAACTACTGGCCACCATCATATGAGTTCAGCATCAAACAAGAAACACACCTAGTCAGCTTGGTGTCACACTGTGGTCTTTGAGTGACGTGCTATCCATTGCTGGTGCAGGTCAGGACAAGAGCTACTGCACGTTCAGCTCGCCGTCCTTCCTCGAGTGGGATGCCCTGACTGTGTTCCTGGAGAGTGTCATGTCCCGGCTCTTCATCTCCCAGAAACCCAAGCCGGAGGTTCAGGAAGGCATCGACATGCTGCAGAGAGTGCTGGACTACCAGACACAGGTCAGGCATTGCTTCACACATACTTCCTCTGTTTGTTGGCCAATACACCAACAGGTTAGGGTTTGGAGTGTCCAAATTTTCTACCCGGGTACCTGACCCCCTATTACTCGACCCAACCCAGGTACCCACTGTAGGTCTCAAGAGTTGGGAACAAAATGTCTGATTGGGAATTGTGTTACCACAGCCCTGGCAAAAACTATTTGTATACATTTATCAAACAATCAGATCATGCGAACACTGAAGTTCACTAAAGCTTTATCTTTACTCAAACATATACTAGTAAAAGGAATGTGTGCATCATCAGAAAGAAATGCCAACATTAGTGGCTTGTAGTGTAACCACTATGTTATAGTGAGTTTTTGTTGTTGAACTATATATCACATGACTAACCACGGGTCCGGGTAGTCGTGTTGATACCCTGGTCCTACTCACGACCCACCCAACCTAAGCACCCGAGTTACCCATCCCAGCCCTACAACAAGTCTGTCTCAAGTCTCCAATGCAATAACCCCCTGGGGATTCTGGGTCAGAATATGTTGCCATTTCCCTATTCATGTTGTAATAGTTGATTGTGTGGTTATAATGCGTGACATGGATGAGTGTGTGGCATTTTTCTGGGAAGGCATATTCCTCATGTTGTCATCCGGGGGCACGGGTGGCCAAGTCGTTTAAGGCGCCGCGATTCGCTGAGCAGAGTTGCGTCCCTTGGGCACGCCAGAAACCTATAATTCTTGTGAATACCTCACCTCTATCACATCAGTGCCATAAATTCCTGTTTATGCTGAGAACCACACTATAAATTTTTATAAATTTTCAACAGACGTCCACTACACTGCCAACATATCCATAGTTGTGAGGGAAACCCTATCCCTTGCCAGAGGCGCCACTGCGCATGCGCAAGGCGGGAATCTAGTCACTTCTTTCCTGTGTGTCCAGATGACAACAAGGAAAATATTTTGTTGCACATCCGTACACGTGATTGAGTTCCACACTTACAAAGCACATTAGATCTTCTCAAGCTTCATAGGCTACAAGCAGTGAGCAGTCTACAAGCAGAGAATGGGGGTATAAGAAGATCGGAAGTTCTAGTAAGTAATTAGTTAGAAACGTTTTGTGGGATGAGATCTTCATCTCAAGGACAGACACCCGTCTGTTCAGGCTGTGGGCAACACCAGATACCTGGTGACCCTCACCCTAGATGTCTATCATGCAAGCAACTGCACACAAAAGTCAAGGTGCAGCTATTGCGAGCCTCTGTCAAAGGAGAAAATTGACAAGCTCTACAAGGCATGTATCAACAATCCTGATTACAAAGATTACTAGCGCATCAAGTAAAAACAAGTGATTAAGCTCTTGGTGGCCATATTAATCACGTGGGTTACAAGCGAGTGTCGCGCGAGGGCGCCGTCTCACCTTATGAGGAGAAGAGAACGCGTCGCTCATCCCACTCTCCCAAAAGTTGAGGAGCAGATGCATTTTACCGGTCAAAAAGAAAGTGCCTCTAACTTGCATCCAGCAACGTATGGTACGGTCGATCATCGAGTTTGGACAGAAACTAACGATCTTCACCCTCTGCCGCGTTCCCCCTTTTAACTTAATTGAGTTCGGAATTCAATGTCTGTAATGATGTATAAAGCGTAAAAGCGCGAGTGTCGCGCGAGAGCGCCGTCTCACCTTATGAGGAGAAGAGACCCCGTCGCTCATCCCACTCTCCCAATAATGTTGAGGAGAAGATGCATTTTACCGGTCAAACAGAAAGTGCCTCTAACTTGCATCCGGCAACGTCTGGTACGGTCGATCATCGAGTTTGGACAGAAACTAACGATTTTCACCCTCTGCCGCGTTCCCCATTTAACTTAAATGAGTTCACGGAAAGAATAACAAAATTCAATGTCTGTTATGATTGACGCACGCATGCAATCTATGACCCGGCTTGGCCATACAGGGGTCGATCAGATTGATAAAAGCGCATGCAATCAATGTCTCAGAAAATCTCATATCCAAAAGAATCTGTCGCACAACCCCGGCTTGGCCATACAGGGGTCGATCAGATTGATAAAAGCGCATGCAATCAATGTCTCCGGAAATCTCATATCCAAAAGAATCTGTCGCACAACCCGGGCTTGGCCAACAGGGGTCGATCACAAGATTCAAGAGACCTAAGGATCTCCCAATAAAGTTGAGGAGCAGATGTACCTCACAGGTTTTTAACTAAAGGGATTCGGAGAAATTAACCAACTCAATGTTGTAATAATTGATAAAAGCGCACGCAATCAAGGGCTCAGGAATAAACTCTAAAAAAAATTGATTGCACAAACCCGGCATGACCAAACGGGGATTGATAAGCACGAGATTAAGTGAGATATAAGGCTGAATATGGCAGTACTTCCTCATACAGCAGACAAGCAAGCCTACGCTGTATCTGATTATTATGAGGACACAGGAGAACAAAAAAGAGATAGATTACCTCCCTACCACGTACACCATAGGGCAGATCGTGAATCACGGACATTGCATCGCAGTATGCTCAGAAATACACACCATTCACCCTCTAGCCATAAGATAGACGAACTGACAAAGCTCGTGCTAATCAGGATAGAATTCCTAAGCATGCGCCATCTCATACTGCCACACAGTCCAGTTACACGGGCGGAGAAGCGAGGGAGATGTTACGTCACTATCACACAGTTATAGAACACGTGATTCCCGCACGGCCAGTCGTAGATCAGACGACCGGGATTACGCTACCCTCAGCCATATGACCCAGTCTCAGCACAGCCCGAGTAGGGGGTGCGGATCTATTGCTAATACTGTTTTTTATACAGTGGGGATTCTACTACGGAGGTTAATTATAGACCAAATAATTATACCATTAACATATCATTGCAGAACTCTATAAATCTAATGCCCGCCCTTTAAAACAGATACAAGGACAAAATACCAAGATGACCTTGTTAGAACGTGACGGGTAGGAGGTACCAGTCAGTTGATTCTAGAATTCCTTACCCTTCCCTGTTCGTCATATATTGATGACGTCATCAAGAATCGAATATTCATTAAATGCTACTTTCGGCACTTAATGTTAGACTGGGTATGCCTGCCATTAATAAGAGTGATTACACAAGTTGCCCCTGCGCACAGCAGCCGAGCATCGTTGAACTTTTCTACTAACGTCATACCCCGAACAATCAGAACGTAGGCCTACACTTAGACACCCCACGGAGATGACACTACAGCAGACCGGATTCATCAACAGCTCACTGGAACACATTCTGAAGATGCAGGAAGATCTTCAATCAGCAACCGGACTAACGTCAAGAAGCACAGTTCCTGCTAAAGATGATCATCCCACTTCGCAGAGGAGGAAGCAGAAGCAGTCCCCGAAGGGGATACCACCGGAAATGCCTTCAGACCCTACCGACATCGCTTGCCCAATGGACAACGATTTAGAACTACAGAAGATCAAAGATACGACCACATCGAATCCAGTCGAACTAGCCGGTCTCACAGACATCGACCCAAGATTACACAAGTTCAGCAAGGGGCTATCAGCACCTTAAAAGAGTCAAGAGACCACTCACGGGTTCTACTCCCCAGTACTCCAGGTACCTACACTTTGCAGTCAACGGTCAGAGATACCAGTTCAGGGTACTACCATTCGGCATATCCTTAGCCCCATGGTTATTCACCAGGATCACCAATCCCATCATCGGTTTGCGCCCATATAAGCTCATAAGGCTTCTCGTATATAGACGATTTCCTATTGGCCGATCAGGACAAGCGCAATTAGTTTAAACACAGTGTGCCTCACTACTAACAATCTTAGGTTTCCTGGTTCACCCTCTAAAACAGAGCTAGTACCCACACAGGCATCACCTACATAGGCGCAAGATTCTACTCAACAAGGGGCATAGCAGCACCCACAGAGGACAGATATGCAAGAGTAGAGCACATGATAACAAGCCCACTCGATCAGGCCGTCAAGTCGAGACGCTGGTGGATGTCTCGCCTATGCCCGCTCACATCTATCCAAGATTTAACCTACAGAGGCACAAGGTCTCAGCCTTTACTGAAGGAGGTTACATGTTTATATGCCTTGGTGGACTCAGTGAGTTGCAAGATCGAAGTAAGACACATTCCGGGGAAGCTAAATATACTAGCAGATTACCTATCCCGGAAAAACAAGATAGTACCCACAGAATGGTCACTACATCCCGAGGTGTTCAAGTGGATAACCCAGCTATGGGACAGTCCAAACATAGATCTATTCGCCACATGTCTCAACAACAAACTACCAGTCTATGTCAGCCCGGTACCAGACCCACTAGCACTCCAAGTCGATGCGCTCTCCATGGAATGGAAGGGAATGTTTGCTTACGCATTTCCCCCATGGGCTCTCCTAGACAGAGTACTGAGGAAAATAGAGGAAACGGACTGTGTCATAATCCTCATAGCCCCGGCCTGGCCAAAAAGGGCTTGGTTTCCGAGACTCCTACAACTGCTGCTAGAAGTACCTCTGAAACTCCCAGTACGTCCCGACCTATTGAGACAACCAAAGACGGACATATTTTACGGCCGCCTCGACAACCTCCATCTTCACGCTTGGAAGTTATCTCGCATAAGATGCAAGCAGCCGGTTACTCTGAATCAGCTGCACGAAGAGTGGCTAGCTCATGGAGACCAACCTCATCTGCGATATACAATAACAGATGGGACAAGTTCGTCGAATGGAGAAGAGGAAAACAGTTACATGGAGATATAACGATACCTATAGTAGCCGATTTCTTGCTCCATCTCAGAAATGACAAGAATTTACGACACGGCACTATCGAAGGATATAGATCAGCCCTGTCATCAGTATTACAACACGATGACCTATCTATAGGTACCCATCCAGTACTAAATCGACTTATGAAGTCTTTTGCCCTGGAAGATATAAAAGTACCACGTACTTTTCCTAAATGGGATCTATCTATAGTATTGTCGGCATTGATGAAAGCACCGTATGAACCCATGAGTAGTGCGACATTACTATCAGTCTCCAAGAAAACTGCTTTTCTCTTAGCCATGGCTACGGCGGCTCGCGTGTCAGAACAACACGCTATTGACATCTCCACTGTAACCCATACCAAAGAATGGAAATCAGTGTCGTTCAGATCGCTCCCTGAATTTATTGCCAAAAACCAGTCGTCAACCTTCGGCCCACTCGGACATCGGCAATACACAATTCCAGCCTTAAGTAAAAGTGTGGACTTCCCGGATAGATTGCTTTGCCCCATAAGAGCCTTGAGATATTTTATCACAGCGACTCAACCCCACAGAAAGCAGAGAAAACGCCTATTTATCTCTTGCAAGCCCTCGTCAGAAAAGGACATCGCAAAGGGCACTGTAGCGGGATGGCTAAAAACAGCTATCACAGATAGCTATAAAACGGCACAAATCTCCACTCCGATTTGGGGTAGCTGCAGACCCCACGAAATCAGAGCACTGGCAACAAGCCTAGCCACATGGAATACTGCATCCATCGAACAAATCGTGGCCAGCTGCCAGTGGAAGTCCCACAACACTTTTTCAAACTTTTACTTACGAGACATACAGACCGATCTAAATGGACTATACACTCTGGGGCCTTTGGTGGCTGCCCAGGTGATAGTTACCAAATAAAGTAACCTGTTCCCTCCCTCTTCCAGGAAAGGGAAAAGAGAGGGGGGGGGGGGGGGGTGAAGATTTCAGAAGTACCTCAGGAACTCAGGGTAAGTTGTACTTTGTTACTGGACTGCGCTATTGAGTTAGTAAAACAGGGCAAATGTCAACACTGAAATCAGAGATCGAAGGATTAAGTGATATACGGTAATCTACATGATAGGAAGGTTAATGTATTACCACCGGAAGTGACGTCATAGGAGTCATCACACCGGAGAAACGTTAAGATACGTTAAATATCACTATCCAAAAGGGCATAACGGTAAACCACGTCATAAGTGATACGGGAGAATAGTGACACCGGAAGTGACGTCACAGATGACATCATCACCGGAAGTGACGTCACAGATGACGTCATCACAGGAAACGATGTCACTAAAAAGTCTAAGTATCACAAGGGAATATACATATACCCTTCACATGACGCCTTGAAAATTCTATACGTCTAAGTCTTATAAGTAGACTATTAGACACATCCGTTTAAGACCCCTTTTGGCATATAATCCTTGGTTTTACCACTTCACTAGCCAAATATCTATGGGATGCTAGATACCAGAACCCGCCGGTCCCTCTGGTGTATACTGGCACTGATGTGATAGAGGTGAGGTATTCACAAGAATTATCAAACAATAGTTATCATTGTGAATAATTCTAAGAATACCACCTCTATCACATCAGGAATTAATCCCTCCCACCTCCCCAAATATCTGCATCTAGTTGATGAGAGTATGGGTTGAAAGAAGTGACTAGATTCCCGCCTTGCGCATGCGCAGTGGCGCCTCTGGCAAGGGATAGGGTTTCCCTCACAACTATGGATATGTTGGCAGTGTAGTGGACGTCTGTTGAAAATTTATAAAAATTTATAGTGTGGTTCTCAGCATAAACAGGAATTTATGGCACTGATGTGATAGAGGTGGTATTCTTAGAATTATTCACAATGATAACTATTGTTTGATGATCGTGGGTTCAAATCCCGGTTCACCCCGATTATGTTTCTAGGTTTGTCAGCACCATACCCGTGCTCGTGGGTTTCACCGAAGTGGTAAATGTCTGGGGCCTGCATCACTTCGGGCTTTCCTCCCACATTAAGCTGACACGCCGTGATATAACTGGAATACTGTTAAAAGCGGCATTAAACCCAACTAACTCACTCACTCACTCACTCACTCACTCATGTTGTCATCCACTTGTTTGCCTGCCCCGCACTCAACTATTTATGGGCTGTTATAATATAGAGCTGGGATGTTGCTGACTGCGACTGGAACAACATTCCTTCTCCGAAATGTTAACATGGGTCCAGAAACTTAACTCTCATTACATTCACTGATACATTACCTGAATATTTTATTTGTTCATTCGTTCATTCCATTGTTTGTGCGATCATTTGTGCAATCGTTCATTTGTTCACTCGCTCGTTTATTTATTTTCTTGTTAGCAAAGGGGAACAATTATGTTAATAATCTTCATGTAGCATATTTTCACATGAAACAAGTAGTTAAAAATCACACTTTTTTCATGACCTGTTTTCACACCCTATACAGGTAGTTGATCTGCAGAAGTGGTCCTGTGGTTGTCTGTTTCAGGACCCTCTCATCCTGTCCTGCTTGCTGTCATGTGTGTCTGCTCTGTTCCCGTTCCTCACCTACACACCAGAGAGACTGCCGGTGGTGCTGGAGAAGGTGGGTGGACTCTCATAGTTCCTCTCACTGTGTCTGTGTCTGTGACTGTGACTGTGTCTGTGTCTGTGTCTGTGTCTGTGGGTGAGTGAGAGAGACTGCCGGTGGTGCTGGAGAAGGTGGGTGGACAACATAGTTCCTCTCACTGTGTCTATGTCTGTGTCTGTGTCTGTGACTGTGTCTGTGTCTGTGTCTATGGGTGAGTGAGAGAGACTGCTGGTGGTGCTGGAGAAGGTGGGTGAACAACATAGTTCCTCTCACTGTGTCTGTGTCTGTGACTGTGTCTGTGTCTGTGTCTGTGTTTGTGTCTGTGTCTGTGTCTGTGTATGTGTCTGTGTATGTGGGTGAGTGAGAGAGACTGCCGGTGGTGCTGGAGAAGGTGGGTGGACAACATAGTTCCTGTCACTGTGTCTGTGACTGTGTCTGTGTTTGTGTCTGTGTCTGTGTCTGTGGGTGAGTGAGAGAGACTGCTGGTGGTGCTGGAGAAGGTGGGTGGACAACATAGTTCCTGTCACTGTGTCTGTGACTGTGTCTGTGTCTGTGTCTGTGTTTGTGTCTGTGTCTGTGTCTGTGGGTGAGTGAGAGAGACTGCTGGTGGTGCTGGAGAAGGTGGGTGGACAACATAGTTCCTGTCACTGTGTCTGTCTCTGTGTCTGTTGGTGAGTGAGAGAGACTGTCGGTGGTACTGGAGAAGGTGGGTGGACAACATAGTTCCTCTCACTGTGTCTGTGTTTGTGTCTGTGTCTGTGTCTGTGTCTGTGGGTGAGTGAGAGAGACTGCTGGTGGTGCTGGAGAAGGTGGGTGGACAACATAGTTCCTGTCACTGTGTCTGTCTCTGTGTCTGTTGGTGAGTGAGAGAGACTGCTGGTGGTGCTGGAGAAGGTGGGTGGACAACATAGTTCCTGTCACTGTGTCTGTGTCTGTGTCTGTGTTTGTGTCTGTGTCTGTGTCTGTGTCTGTGTCTGTGGGTGAGTGAGAGAGACTGCTGGTGGTGCTGGAGAAGGTGGGTGGACAACATAGTTCCTGTCACTGTGTCTGTGTCTGTGTTTGTGTCTGTGTCTGTGTCTGTGTCTGTGGGTGAGTGAGAGAGACTGCTGGTGGTGCTGGAGAAGGTGGGTGGACAACATAGTTCCTGTCACTGTGTCTGTGACTGTGTCTGTGTCTGTGTTTGTGTCTGTGTCTGTGTCTGTGGGTGAGTGAGAGAGACTGCTGGTGGTGCTGGAGAAGGTGGGTGGACAACATAGTTCCTGTCACTGTGTCTGTGTCTGTGTCTGTGTCTGTTTCTGTGTTTGTGTCTGTGTCTGTGTCTGTGGGTGAGAGAGAGAGACTGCTGGTGGTGCTGGAGAAGGTGGGTGGACAACATAGTTCCTCTCATTGTGTCTGTGTCTGTGTCTGTGTATGTGGGTGAGTGAGAGAGACTGCCGGTGGTACTGGAGAAGGTGGGTGGACTCTCATAGTTCCTCTCACTGTGTCTGTGACTGTGTCTGTGTCTGTGTCTGTGTCTGTGGGTGAGTGAGAGAGACTGCCGGTGGTGCTGGAGAAGGTGGGTGGACAACATTGTTCGCTTCATTGGACAGACCATGTGTCTGTGTTTGTGTCTGTGTCTAGTTTTGTGTCTGTGTCTGTGTGAGTGGGTGAGTGAGTGAGAGGGACTGCCGGTGGTCCGGGAAAAGGTTGGTGGACAACATAGTTCCTCACATTGTACAGACCACGTGTCTCTATCTGTGTTTGTGTCTGTGTCTGTGTCTGTGTGTGTGGATGAGTGAGAGAAACTGTGTGTGTAACTGAGTGAGAGTCTTGCATAAACTTGTTTGAAATTACTGGAATTGGGTGTTGTATTATTTTACAGACTAGCAGGCTGTACAGCAAATTCAGTCCTTGTTTTTTTCTGACTTGTCCCTCCAGTGCTGATTGTTGACATCACATCCCCTCTCTGGAAATTTTATGTCTGGTTTTCCTGGTTTCTGAACCCTAATCTTCCCCTGCGTTGCAGATATTCCATGCAGTTGTGTTCAACCTGTTCGGGCAGACAAAGTCGACGAGGAGTCGGGCTGTAAAGAATGTGCGGCAGCATGCATGCTCTGTGTTGGTGAAGATCTGCAAGCAGTACCCAGACCTCCTGTTTGTAAGTCAATGATGCACTGTCATTAGGCAACCAACATGTAAAGATAGTACTTGGATGTACTCACTGTCACTCTCAGTCTCACTGTCACTAGGCAACCAAGGTGGGGATGAGTTTGTTACAATGGCTGTATGTAAAGATAGTACTTGGATGTACTCACTGTCACTAGGCAACCAAGGTGGGGATGAGTTGGTCACAATGGCTGTGTGTAAAGATAGTACTTGGATGTACTCACTGTCACTCTCAGTCTCACTGTCACAAGGCAACCAAGGTGGGGATGAGTTTGTTACAATGGCTGTATGTAAAGATAGTACTTGGATGTACTCACTGTCACTCTCAGTCTCACTGTCACAAGGCAACCAAGGTGGGGATGAGTTGGTTACAATGGCTGTATGTAAAGATAGGACTTGGATGTACTCACTGTCACTCTCTCACACTCTCTCTCTTAAGCTCAATCTCACTCTCACTCTCCCCAGTAAGACAGTATCCATAGTATCTGTGTTTATCTCCCCAGCCTGTGTTTGACCGGCTGTATGATCACATCAAACATATCAGCAAGGACCCCGAGCAGTTGTCCCAGATGGAGAAGTGTATACTCACAGAAGCCCTCATACTCATCAGGTGAGAATAGTCTCTGAACAAATACTCGTCCATCTTAGACATGTTAGACAAGACTTAATTTTTTCTTGGTTTACAGATATTTTCAAATTTTCAAGGTGAAGAAAGACAATTCAGAGTCTGAAAATGTTGCCTCAGGGGTGATTTTAGTTCAGCTTGTCACCTCAGTTAAACCATCTCATTTAGTGTCAAATGCAGTTTGGTGAGCTCAACAAGCATCTCTGATTGTAATGCAAGGGTGATAACATTGAATGTGTTTACATTGTCTGCAAGTAGTGAAGATGTCCATGAAACAGTTCGCTAGCCGTTCTGATGAAGACAAAGGTTAACGGGTGAAAATTATGCAAGTTAGATAAACTCATTGTCGACTGGCCTCTCGGGGTAGATATATGATGTTCCCTGTGTGGGAGCCTGTGTACATTGTCTCGCACACAGGGAACATCACACTATATACTCATTGTCTACAACTAATAATATTGCCCGAGTCGTTTGACAAAACAAGTTGAGAGCAATCAAATGAAACATTTCTGTATGAGACAGCAGCCATAAGTCTGCAGCCTTAGGTGGCTGTAAGTATCATTGTAACCAATTCAATGTCATCTTTGTTTTTAGCAATCAGTTCAAAGATTTCGACAAGCAGTCGTCATTTATAGAAGAAGTTCTGTCTCCTGTCAAAGACTTGTGGGTTTCACCAGAATTCACAGAGTAAGTGTCAGATAAAGCTGCTTTCCAAAATGTCTAATGGTGTGATGGCAATATGGGTTATGTGCCTCAGATGCTTGTGTTCACAGGTACTTTACTTTGAAGCACATGCAGATATGCTACTCAACATTTGCTAAGGACCAACATAGACATCTTTAAAGGTGTGGTCCTGAACAAATGTTGAGTAGTATAGCAAGGGCTTGTACCCTTGTCCTGAATTTCAGTTTGAAGACGTTCCTCGAGTACTGTGATGTGTATTATATTCTGGCATCTGTCCCTCAGTCTTCAAGTTCAACTTGCCTATTTCAGGGTTCACACAAGGAATTTTCTGACTGCCCATAACGCACAATCTTAAAATGCCCATTGTTTTTGAAAATGTGGGCCTTTTTCCAAATTTAGGAGCTAAAAGCACAAGGCCCCACCCTAGAATTATCCCTGCTACAGTGGTCCCTCGCTACAACGCTACCTATGGGGTCCAAATAATTGGTGGGCGTTATAGACGATGAGCCGTTTAACCAAGGCTGAGGCGAGGGAGCGCGTTCGGCCAGTCTCACGATCTTCGCCTTGTCTCACACATTGCAATGATACAAGTTCTAAGATCAAAGGATGTATAGTGTGAAAAGTTAACTAGTAGAACAATCGTATTTCCGGGACTTGCCGCGGATGTTTTCAAACAGATTATTAGAACTCCATTCAGTGATAAACGGTTGATTATGCAATGAGAAGCGTTATGTGCAAATGAACAACGAACAACAATACAATTATGTCTGTGTAAAACTCTCAGTATTAAAAGTGTACATAAATTTTGGGAGCCATGCGTTAACGCGCGTAGTAACCGAGGTAGCCCTTTATCGAAGAGCACAATAGCGAGGGATCACTGTATTTATCTACCAGTGGCTGTCTCTGGTTTGAGACAGTGTCTGTCTCTGGTTTGAGGCAGTTTGAGCTGTGTTATATGAGTGTATTTGTTTCTTGTTCTCTCTCTCTGTATTCCACATGTTACTTTCAGAGCATTCAGCAGTCCAGCCAAGTTCATGTCCTACGTTGGTCTAGATCAGCCCCCGGTGGAGCCCAGTTCAGCAGACACTTGTGGTATTAACAGGTCACATGTAAGTTGTGGTATTAACAGGTTACATGTAAGTTGTGGTATAAACAAGTCACATGTAAGTTGTGGTATGAACAGGTAATATGTAAGTTGTGGTATTAACAGGTCACATGTAAGTTGTGGTATGAACAGGTAATATGTAAGTTGTGGTATTAACAGGTCACATGTAAGTTGTGGTATGAACAGGTAATATGTAAGTTGTGGTATTAACAGGTCACATGTAATTTGTGGTATGAACAGGTAATATGTAAGTTGTGGTATTAACAGGTCACATGTAAATTGTGATATGCACAGGTAACATGTAAGTTGTGGTATTAACAGGTCACATGTAAATTGTGGTATGAACAGGTCACATGTTAGTTGTGGTATTAACAGGTCACATGTAAGTTGTGGTATAAACAAGTCACATGTAAGTTGTGGTATGAACAGGTCACATGTTAGTTGTGGTATTAACAGGTCACATGTAAGTTGTGGTATAAACAAGTCACATGTAAGTTGTGGTATGAACAGGTCACATGCAAATCATTGATATTTTTTTAATGCTAAATACACCACTATTTGAACCTAGGTAGTTTTGTGTCTATCATGTCACTTTTGGCCTTCCACCCACATGAAGACGACATGCTGAAATAGTGCAAATAGCGGGTTTAATTACATTAAGTAATACGTTACCACTGTTATACCGAGGCTGTTGTCTCCCACAACTGCTGCTATAGCGAACTCTACCACAGAGATCTCAATTACCTCATGCAGCACGTGCGTAGCCACCTAGCTGCCATGTGACACCCTTCACTCTTGTCTCCTTCGTCTGCTTAGCAAGACGTGTTTTCTCCTGCTGAAGCGTTCCTTGAAGATTTGGTGATATTTATTATAGTTTATTCTCTAATAAACTGTGCTTTTATGGGGCGTTGCGGTAGCTACGCTTGGTTATAATTTTCCCGCCCTTTTTTCTATATACTTGCGGGGTTCACGTATGCACGTTGTGTTTTACGTTTCCCCTGTTCTTGTATGTTTTGGGGGTTAACATAACTTATTTCTTTAATAAAAGTTATATGTGTATGTTATATGTTCACATTGCTCGTTTATTTTCTTGTGAAAATGCTCGTTTGTGAATCGTTGTGGTGCGTGCGTTGTAACCATGTTTTGTTCTTTGTTTATAGCAAACAATCAATGTCTGACATGGATATGTCCCCAGTATCCACCCCCTCTACCCCTGCTCCTCGGAGTTGTGGGGTGTGCAGAAAGTTTTTGTCATCCCGGGATCCCCACAATCGTTGCCCGCGGTGCAGGGTTCCTTGCGGGGACACCCGGTGTACCCTGTGCGAAGGCCTGGGGCCTGCGGAGTTTGAGCGGTACCGGCTGTACGTACAGTCCGTCTCCACCCCTGTGGTGGCCGGTTCGTCCGGTCGGGGTCCCCGTGCGGGTACCACCTCCTCGGCTGCGGCGGATCCCCTTGCGGCCCTCGGGCTGTCTGGGGATTCCGTCGCCGCATTATTGTCGAAACTTGTGGACTCCAAGCTGGCGGCCTTATCGCAAGATGGCCTCTTTGGTGGCCGCGGGTTCGGACGCGGGGTCCACCGGTACGGCGGCGGCTGCCGTGGTTACCGGTCCTTCCCCTGAACCGTTGCTTCCGCTATCTGTTAAGGACCGCGTTGCCATGGTGTATGACCTCTTCGAGGACATGCCAAAGCCCCTGCCGATACCGCGGGGAATCCACGGTTCCGTGGGTTCCTCCGAGGTATACGACGAGACGTCCGACAAGGCTTTCCCGGCATCAACCTTGCTGCGCGGGATTAAGCCTTCTTTGGAGAAGGCCTTCACGGCTGCCTCCAGTCGGGGTCTCCCGTTACCTCCCCCGTCGTGGAGAAAAGGGTCTTTCCCAGTACATGACCTTGCCTTTCCCGAGGCTGGTCCTTCTGCGGAAGCCAATGTGGAGCGTTTGGGGGTCCGTGCCCCACCGGTTGCCATGGTACCACAAGGTACCTTGCAACAGCTGGACACCCTCGCTCGACACTCCATGCTGGCAATGTCTCACGGAGACACATACCTGGCTGCAGCGGCCAGTCTGGTCGAAGGTTCTCCCACGGACCGAGACCAGCACATTTACAACTGCTTGCTCGGTTTGATGATTCACAACTTGAAATCGTTCAACGAGTTCTACCTGCGCAAACCGCCCAAGTTCAGAATGTTGAGCTTGACGGACCTGAAAGCACTGATCATGCCGGCCGACTGGCTAGCTTCGATCGACCTGAAGGATGCTTATCTGCATGTTCTGATTCACTCGGATCATCACAAGTATCTCAGGTTTGTCTTTCAAGGCAGGCACTACGAGTGGGTTGTACTCCCATTCGGTCTTTCATCCGCTCCCTGGCTGTTCACCCGGTTAACCACCCCCATAGTGGGGTTCCTCCACCGGAGGGGTGTCCGGTACTTCGCGTACCTGGACGACTCGCTAGTAGCAAATCGAATGACGGACACCCTGTCACGCCATCTCGTTTTCGCACGTCGGCTCTTGGAGCAATTGGGGTGGATTGTCAATCTCCCCAAGAGCGAGTTAACCCCTTCTCAGAACTTGCAGTTCATCGGAGGTCGGTTCAACACGGTGTCCCATCGCCTCTTTGTCCCCCCAGACCGGTGGCACAAAATTCAGGCGATGATTGCCAAAGTCTTAGCGGTGCAACAGACTGTTCACTTTTGGGAACAGCTGTTAGGGCTACTTGTATCAGCCCAGGACTGCACCGAACGGGGTCGTCTCCAACTCCGCCCGGTGCAACTGTTTTTAATCCAGTTGTTAGCAACGGAGGTGAACAGTGCGACCGTCGCCCTCCCTGATCGGCCCCACGACCGCATCTGGAGTGGTGGACGCTCCCTTACAATGTCTTATCAGGAGTCTCTATGTGGCCCTACCGGGCCACGTTGAACCTGTATACAGACGCCTCTCTAGTGGGCTGGGGCGCCCATCTAGAGGGGGAGGTGAGCTCGGGGCTGTGGTGCGTAGACGAACTAGGTCTTCACATCAATTGTCTCGAGTTCAAGGCAGTGATCAACGCAGTCAATCACTGGAAGCATCGTCTCGTCTACGCCCGGCTCATGCTGGCGACCGACAACACGACGGTAGTGTCCTATGTGAACAAACTGGGGGGAACCCACAGTCACTCGCTACTCGATCTCACGTTCGAGTTTTACGCTCTGGTGGACAGTGTCCCGTGCCAGATACGCGCCCGTCACATCCCAGGTGTGCGGAACGTACTGGCCGATGCTCTCTCGAGGCCTCAGGATCCGAGCCCCACAGAGTGGATGCTGAACCCAGTAGTGTTTCAGTGGCTGTGCGAACGTTTGGGTCGTCCGATGGTCGACCTGTTCGCAACACGGTTCAACAATCAACTCCCGTTGTTTGTATCACCAGTCCCGGACCCGAGCGCCATCGATCACGATGCTCTCACGTTAGACTGGACGGGCTTGGACGCTTATGCTTACCCGCCGACAGCGTTGATACCACACATTCTAAGCCGGCTTCGAGGAGTTCGCTGTCGAATGTTACTGATCGCGCCCATGTGGCCGAACAGATCGTGGTACCCCGACTTGCTGACCCAGGTCACGCAGTCGCCACTCCCACTGCCTGTGAGACCGGATCTCTTGATCCACCCTCACACCCGTCAGCTTCATCCAAACGCAGGGCATTTCAATCTGCACGCGTGGATGTTGTCACCGAGCGTCTGAGGAGTAAAGGTTTTTCTCGCCGGGCGTCTCGGGCATACGTTAGTATGCATCGTGATTCTACCCAGAAGGTGTATAATGCACGTTGGGTTATTTTCACCAAGTGGTGTTGTAAACATCACATTCATTCGCCAGATAAGGTATCTGTGCAGGATATTGCTCGTTTCATGTCTCACTTGCGAGAGACCCGGAAACTCTCCGGGGGTTCCATTGCCAACTATGTCTCGTCCGTTGCTACGGTACGGGACGTTGCTATGGGTACCAGTCTCTCCAAAGAGCCGGTGATACGGGGTATTATCAAGGGTTTCAAACAGCACTATCTTAAGAAGGGCCGCCTTCGGGCACCGGCCTGGGATCTTTCCCTAGTGTTGCAATCACTTACGGAAGCTCCGTATGAACCCTTGCATAGTGCTTCGTTCCGGCATGTGACTTGGAAAACAGCATTTCTCCTCTCCTTTGCCACGGCGGCACGTGTATCCGAAATTCATGCACTCGATGTCGCCAAGGTACGATTCGATAGGGGTGACGAAGGAGCGGTCCGCCTGGGCCTGCTCATGGGCTTCGTCGCCAAGAATCAGAGAGTCGGGCAAACGGAGAGAGAATTCACTGTAAGATCCCTCAAAGAAATCTTACATCCTGCTGATACTGAGGACAGAGCGCTGTGTCCGGTTAGGGCCCTTAAGTATTATCTTAAGGCTTCGAATGAACGTAGACAAGGGCGTGACCGTCTGTTCATATCGTGTAACCCTAATCGCACGGTTGACATAACTCGCAACTCGATTGCGTTGTGGCTTCGTTCTGTCATCAATCTGGCGTACCGGTCTCGGGGGTTACCGGTAGCGGGGTCAAACCCGCACGAGATCAGGGCGCTAGCGGCAACATTTGCCCTACACTCGAATATCTCTGTTCACAGAATATTACGAGGTTGTTACTGGCGTTTTGCCAATCATTACCTCAGAAAGGTTTCTGATGAAGACGTGGAGGGGGTGCACCGTCTTGGGCCACTGATCGCGGCACAAGCGGTCATCTAGGGGGGGTGTCCAGCGCAATTCCAAACTCCGCAGTCGTCAGTCCTTGCACGGTGGTCAATCTGGGTCGTCTCCAATGTTCCCACGCCGTGGGGGTCCTGCAAACCAGCGCACTCACACCACAGGTGAGGTGGCTTTTTGTGTGTTTTGTCCTTATTTGTATTTTGACAATTATGCATTTAATTGTCTGTCGTGTATTCCAACCTTGCGATACATGCTTACGAATACTGGAATTAGGTCACGCGCCTAATGCATACTTTAAGTAGGCTTGCTCTGGGATATACGGTCTGAAGGAAATTAATTTCCCTCTTTTCGACTGTTTAACCTGATCTAAGATTTAGCTCACGCGGATACAGTGTTCTCATCCGCTGCGGCGATGAAATACCTATCCAGTGGGGCCGTTTGGAGTCACCAATCGTTTTGGCATTGACGATTGAGCCTTACGGTATGCGCTTGACAGTGCTTTGGTATTCCTATAGGGTAACGCCTAGCTAGGTGCATGCGCATCGAGTGCTTCCGCCTTGGTGTTTACTTCCGCTGGTCGGAAGGAACGCTAGCAGTCAGGATTCGGGTTGTAGGTGCTCCCCACCGCCTACTGTGGTAGTCAGCCTCGGTATAACAGTGGTAACGTATTACTTAATGTAATTTGTAGAATTTTCCTATTCGGAATATTCTATAAGTAATACGTTACCACTGGGCTGCTGCCCGCCCGTCCGTCCCCCGAGCACTTGCTCTCGCAGGAGACAAGAGTGAAGGGTGTCACATGGCAGCTAGGTGGCTACGCACGTGCTGCATGAGGTAATTGAGATCTCTGTGGTAGATTTCGCTATAGCAGCAGTTGTGGGAGACAACAGCCTCGGTATAACAGTGGTAACGTATTACTTATAGAATATTCCGAATAGGAAAATTCTACAAAACTTTACCAACTCATTTCTACCTTGCTCCAGTTCTTGAAGTCCTCAAGCTGAGACACCCAGGCATGGAATGGCTTGTGAGTCCCACGACAACTGAAATACTGTACCCACAATGCCATTTTAGAAGTGGTCAAATGTAACAGATGTCATATTTTGGATAACACTTTCTTAGTAAAGAATCGCTCTTCACGCCGAAGACCCGGGTTTGATTCCCGACTTGGGTACAATGTGTGAAGCCTATTTCTGGTGTTCCCTGCCGTGATATTGCTGGAATATTAATAAAAGTGACGTAAAACCAGACTCCCTCACTCTTGGTAAAGTACAGATACTAGTACTTTTGGGGGGTTGAGACCCATTCAGGATTCGTTGCCACGTACACTGCCAGAGTGAGGCACCTAAATACTAACTGTGCTACTGTTCACAGCAGCAGTACAACCGACTCACTTTTACTGGGGATCCTGAGCAAGATGTGCATGATATTTCTCTTGGACCTTTATAACTTTGTTGAGGTTACAAGAACATGTTGTTTGTTATTGCCTTTTTCTACAGTTGTCTATGAAGTGTGATGTAGATGTATCTGTATTGCAGATAAGTTACTGTATCAACACCATCCTGGCTGTGATGAAGAGAACAAAGTGGCCGGATGACATGCAGGTAGGAATGCATCCCAGCTTCACCACCTGATGGGGTAGCTTAGTGAAGACCTGGGTTTGGATCCCCACATGATCCACGTAAGGCCCAATTTTAATGGTGTCTGTCTATCGGCCTTAATAGGGCTGGAATATTACTAAAGCAGTGTACAACCACACTCTCCCACTCCTGCATGACTTTTCAATTTTGAATAATTTTTTAATGTGAAGTTTACATGATATATGGCCTTTTCATTGGACGAAAGGTCCATTGACATTCCCAGTGTATGATGACACAATTTGACGTTAATATGCTTTCCCGAGACTGTTCTTGAAATGACGTAAACACTGACGTACTACTTTCACATTCCTGGGGGAACCCCTGGGAATTCCCTGGGACAAATACATACAGAACTGTGGTTTCTGATCATTTAGACCCTTTAATCCTGAACTCAGCGTTTCAGTATACATTGAGAAATGTCAGAGAGTTTGACAGCATGAATGTTCACAAATATTCTCACTGCAACCCATCCTAGTTAACAAAATGAAGAAATGCACATCCAAACTATCGTAGTATTGACTCAATCAGTGTCTAGACTGACAGTGACAGCTTACAGAAATCTATGAATTTACCAAAAAGAAGGACTGGTTGGCTCTCTAACGCACGCACGCATACAGGGACAGACAGACAGACACTTCTTTTCAGCTGTGTCCAAGTATGGGAGTTATTATCATTGTAGCGCTAAGATCGCTTTGTGAAACGGCCTACTTGTTTTACATCACCAGGCAGAAAATAAAACACATATTTTCAAGTATTGGTTTTTGACAAATTTGTCCTGAAAAGATGTGAATTTAAGCAAAATAATGGTCGCACTGGTGTGCTTTATTCCAGGCGGTGCCAAGGTATAAAACTGTGTTTCTTACCCAAACAGACATATTTAATTAAAGTACAAACTTATCCCTATTGATCCAAACCAAAACTTCACTCATCTCCAGGTCGCTCTGAATGGGGGCTTCGCCAACGGTAATCAGAGCAACGGTGGCCCCATCCTCAGGAACCCTGCCACACCCCACATCAGTCAGCTGCTGGAGAACCTCATGTCCCTCATCAAGTAGGTGTGGCTGTGTTTACAGATAAAACACTCCTCCTTGGTTTTGGTAAAAAATGTAAAACTGCAAACTCGAGGCATCACATTTTCAACCAAAACTGCGAAGAACTGTTTTAATTTTAAAAGCTATGTCGAATTTGTGATAAATAACTGCAAAAAACACTCACCGCATTTGTTCCTTTGAAATGAGTGAGTGAGTGAGTGAATATGGTTTTACGCCACTTTTAGCAATATTCCAGCAATATCACGACGGGGGACACCAGAAATGGGCTTCACACATTGTACCATTGTGGGGAATCGAACCCGGGCTTCGGCGTGACGAGCGAACGCTTTAACCACTAGGCTACCCGACCGCCCCTCCTTTGAAATGCATGTTGACAGTCAGCGAGTTCCGTATCTGATCTGCACATGTGCACTCGGTCTGTGTGAATTACCATGTTTGGTAATAACAAACAATGTGCCGGGTTCTTATCATTACGGTGCAAACTTTATGGGGATTGTGTCTTGTTTGTAATTTCTGTGGCTATTTCTATCTAAAGTGTGTACATATTCCGGATAGGTAATGTACTAACTCTTTTTGTGTTCAACTTTTATATTGGTCAGCGGTGGCAGCCAGATGGTTTGATTGTGTACTCTGAGCTTACAACTTGAATGGGGTCTTTAGTAAGTTTGTCAGCCAATTTATTAGTATAAGGAGGAAAGGCTTTCAAAACTGACGCCCGCTATCCCACTGGCAACATTTAGAATTGTTTAAATTTTGGTTTATTACTCACAGAAAAGGAGCCATAATAACATGGAATTAAGAATCATGATACATTTTGGACAATTGTTGCATAAAATAATGATCTGATTAATGTTAAAAGATGGACGTTTATGCATGGGATGTAACTGCTGTTGGCATTTACAGAAGATTGTATTAGTATTCATGTTCCAGTTAAGTTTTTTGTCTATAATAGTTCCTAGGTACTTGTATTCTGGCAAAATTGCAACATGTTTTTTCGTTGATTGATAGTTGCTTAGTAACAGATGCCTCTGAAGTCTTTCTTTTTTGTAAAGTTTAAAAAAAGGGAATTGTCGCCAATGTTGTCTCCATATGTCTACAGTCGTTATTTAGTAAGCACAATATTGCATCAACAACTCCATATTTTGATAAAAAAGTATGTCCATTACTGTTTGAGAATTTTCAGTATGATGAATTCCAATGATTTCCTGGCAATGCACATTAAAGCTACAGGAGGGTAATCATTACGTACCGTTGGTTTAGTGTCATTGGAACTGGCATACTTTCAATGTTTTCTCGTGTCTTGGGACAATATGAGTGGTAAGAGATAGTTTGATTTTCCACATGGGTACAATGTGTGCAGCCCAACATTTGAGGGGATCTGCTGTTATATTGGTGGAATATTTCTGTGTGATCTACTTCCCAATTCATTCACCCTCACCTTTTTCTAGGACCCTGAGTCAGCTGTGGCTGCCGGAATTCCTCAAGCTGAGACACCCTGACTTTGCAATGGCTTATGATTTACAAGACAATGAGAAACTGCAAATACTAGGTGAGTAGAATATTCACTGTAGTAACCTTCACAAAAACAGGGGGGGATTCATGTTGTCTTGAAAATAACTGTTTCTGTTGTAGGTAATCTAGTACTGAAATTTAGTTCCTTATGACGCACACACGCACACCTGGATGCACGCGCGTGCATGCATGTGTGAATCCAGTGTGTGTGCATGCATCATGAGGCACTTAATATCAGTATGCACACCTTTTACCAGTCGCAGATGAAACATGTACATTCAGCCGTACTTGGTGTAGAGCTTGACACTAAGAGTAATTAATTAAGTCTAACGGGATATATCCTCTGCTGTTTACAATGGGTGGTTTTGTTTCTACTGTGCTGCCTGTGTTTCCAGGTATCCCCCCGCCATGCAATGACAGCACAGAGACAACCACATCCAAACACCCGCTGGAGAGGATGCAGAACTTCCTGTCCATCATCTATGAAAACTGGTGAGACGACATAACCCAGGGAGAGAAGTAGCCCTGTAACATGTGTCATCCGTGTGTCTTGTGATCTACAGGGGACGCAGGTGCCCTTGTTGTCTTCTAGTTTGTGGTGTAGTTTTATTCCTATAGCCCAAAAAGGTAAAAATACCTCATGCTTATCATTAGAGCAAATGAAGGGAATTAGGTGACATGGTGACCTGCTTGTCTAAGGCACCACAATTCACTGTGTATAGTACGTAGTTATGTACTACGCAAAAGAAGTCAAGGAACAGCCTATCTTTCATATGACTGTAGTTAATCTGTCATGGCTGATGGGTATTGCAGCACATAGCTTTCCACTTCTCTTGATTGATTGATTGGTTGGTTGCTTGGTTGCTTGGTTGGTTGCTTGGTTGGTTGCTTGGTTGGTTGGAGTGTGTGACCTGACTGATTGTCGTTCCCCTTGGTATGGATTGTTACTCATGATATCATCCACTGATTTGCCCGACCCTCACAAGATTGTTCACAGGCTCGATACAGATGCAATATTGCTGACTACGACTTTACTGGTTGATCTTTGTTTTTATCAAGTCCAGTGTTTTGTGTGCTGTGCTCTTCACTGATCAATGCAAGGATGTAATGGCAACTTCACAAAACTCTACTCCATAGATCAAAATACTCATCATAGAGCACGAAGCTGTTTCTGAGATACAGCTGTAATTATTAGACGCTGACATAAAACCATTCCATGTATTCTGACAATGTTCCATCTGTGTTTGACTCCAGCTTTCACATCCTGGGCAATGCTGGTCAGTGTCTGGGCTATGAGTTCTACACGGCGCCAGGACTCGTGGAGTATGTCCTCAAGTCGGTCATCCAGCAGCTTCACCACATCCCCGACTACAGACTCCGGCCCATCATCCATATCCTTGCCCTGGTGCTGATTCCGGGGTAGACTTGCACCCCAGGAACCTATGCTTATCATAAGAAGCAACTGCATTGATCAGCTGGGTAGATTCGGTGACTTGGTTGATTGCGTGACATCATACTCCGATGGCATGGGATGTTGTTCATGATATCAATCACTGGTTTGTCTTGCCCATTTTTTTTACAGGCCTCCATAATAATGCTGACTGTGTTTAAAAATAAACAGACCTTCCCCCTGTACTCACACCCTGCTCAAGATTCACATTTGGAGGACATTTTCCTATTTTTCCTGCTTGAGACATTTTGAAATGTGTCTTTCTGTTTAACTTTGAAGTTAATACTAGCAATGTTCACAGCCTAGTATATGTTACCTGGCTCTGGACCTTGTTCCTCAGACATGCAGTGCCTGAATCTCTGCCGTGGGCAGAGTCTGACATACCGTATTCGATGTAATAAGCGCCCAGGGCACTCTCAAAATTAGAAATAGGGGGCTCTTATTAGAATATTATTTTGGTGGGGAAAAAACAGAGTTGAAAGATAAATTTCATGGTTGATGCTGACAGCCTGAAATGTTTATATACGACAGATATAATTCTCCAGAATTTAAATGCCCATAATTAAGGGTGCATATAACACACGAGTGCGTATTATACGCGAATAAATGTATTTTGTACATTGACCAATCGGAAGGGGTGCAATTGGGATTGTTCACTAGCCAATTTATTAGCAAATATCGCTGTGGGCGTTTATTTGAGTTGGGCGCTTATTATGTGGAATACGGTATATGTTGACTGGAGTAGAAGAGCTGCCCCTGTACAACATGCTGGTAAACACACAGAGCCTGGAGTCATACCCTGGGGCATAGCTGGCCCTGTCGTCTATGATGTTGCAATTAACTGTGCAGAGTTGCATCCCTTTGGGGTCCGACCTGTGAAGATTCCGGAGTAGAATAGGTCTTCAGCAACCCATGCTTGCCGTAAAAGGTGACTTTGCTTGTCATAAAAGGTGACTAACGGAATCGGGTGGTCAGTCTCATTGACTTGGTTGATACATGTCATCGATCCCAATTACGTGGATCGATGCTCATGATATCAATCACTGGATTGTCTGGTCCAGACTCGATTATTTACAGACCGCCGTCATATAGCTGGAATATTGCTGAGTGCGGCGTAAAACAACAAACCAAAGAACCCTTTGGGGTCAGAGAAAACAATGAAAACTTTGGAGCTTTCCTCCTTCATTAAGGTGATATGTTGTGATACATGACTGAAATACTGTTACAAGCAGCAAACCAACTGACTCAGTGAAATTCCAGGTACTGCTCAAAGTGGAGTTGATCCTTGCTCAGTCATTGTAGATTAGTATCAGTGGGTAATAGTGGAACTGGAAGCCATGTGGATGAATGTCTGCCAGTGATGACCATTTCCTTAACCTTTGTAAGTGTGTTCATGAAGCCGTTTGTCCAGAACTGCCCCAAGGAGTGTCAGACAACAGCACTGCTGCCCATCCTGTCCACCCTCTGCCCCTACATGCTACAGGTAACACCAGCGTCACGTGACCCACGAAGATCAGGGGTAGAATAGGTCTTCACCAACCCATTCTTACCATAAGAAGGCGTCTATGCTTGTCGTAAAGGCCAATTAATGGGATCGGGCGGTCAGGCTCGCTGACTTGGTTGATGTGTGTCATTGTATTCCAATTGCGTGGATTAATGTTCATGATATCAATCACTGGATTGTCTTGTCCAGACACGATTATTTACAGACCGCTGTCATGTAGCTGGAATATTGCTGAGTGCGGTGTTTATATGCTAGGTAAACAATAAAGAAACAAAGAAACCAGCATCATGTGGAAATTAAAATGGATATTATTCATCTCGTGTCAACCCCGTTACAGATTCCGGGTTGGAACTGGTCCCGAGCCACCCATTCTGTTTGTAAGAGGAGACGGAATGGACAGAGTGGTCAGTCTTGGTTTGGTGATTTGTTTGGTTGTGTTTCGTCGTACCCTGATGGTGTTGGACATTGCTCATGATCTCAATCACTTCATTGTCTGATCCAGACAATTATTTACAGGCCGCTGTCATACAGTTGAAATATTGCTGAATGAGGCATTAAACAACTAGCAAACAAATGTGTCTCGTCGTGTGTGTTAAGCTGTGGGACGCTATGCTCACTGTGACTACTAGCACAAGAAATATACTAATGTTAGAGTAATCTCTGCCTCTACAATACCATAGCCCCATTCTCCTATCAAGGAGAATCCACAAGAGTAAACATTTGGTACATGAATCTGTGTATTGTTGACAGGACTTATTTCTCTTAGCGCTTTTACGCGGAATAGGGTTATTGTAGTCTGGAGGTATGTTTACTAAAAATTCATTTACTTATCAATTGTTTCTTCAGAGGCTGAGTGTCAAGTGGAACCAAATTAATCTCCGATATGAGAAGGCAGAAAATGGGTAAGTTTGTGTTTTATTAGTTTTAGTTTATCAGTTTCAGTTTATGATCATGATGATATTGAAAGGATATAATGGAAATATTTCAGAAATTATTTCGCAAAGTTTCAAAGTAAAAATCCTTTCACTGCGAAATCCTTTATTTTCAAAATTGTTAAGCACAAGTGGATAAGGAGTCTTATTAAGTTATAACAGTGACTATATGATAACCTGTATGTGATAACCCCAAGCACATTTGATTATCACATTCAGAAAGTGACCAGTAATGTTAAATGCTACTAGATGTTGATAGTAACTTGATGCAGCTTATAACAAGATATGGCTAGATGATAAATACTAGTTGATGTTGGATGTTGTTTATTACTAGATGCTGCTGGATACTAGATGTTGCTTGATGCTACTAGTTAGATGATGTCACATCCTGCTTAGTTTTGAGGTGATACTAGTTACTAGATACAGCTTTTTGCTAGATGCTGATTGTTACTAGATATGGCTAGATATTAAATGCTACTTGTTTGAGGATGATGCTAGGTACTAGATGCTGCTGGATAATAAATGGTTTTTGATGCTAAATGTTTCTTGATGCTTGATTCTACTTGTTTCTGATCGTTTGTTGTTAAATGGTGCAGTCTGCAATATTACAGCTGTACGACAGTGGTCTGTAAAAAATTGCATCTGAACCAGACAATCCAGTGATTGACATAATGAGCATCGATCCACACAACTGGGATACGATGACATGCATCAACCAAGCCAGCTAGCCTGACTCCCTATCCATTTCGTTGCCCCTTACTACCAGTATAGGTTGCTTGGGACCTATAGTCTGACCCGGAATCCACATGTTACTAGGTGATGGTGGATACTAGATGCTGCATGCTGCTGGATCTTACTAGTTATTGGATGCTGCTGGATGTGACAAGTTTATTAATTGCTGCTACTTACATGCTACTAGATGCGGCTTGTTACTAGATGAAGCTAGATGCTGGTTGTTACCAGATGGTATACTAGATTCTAGATGATGTTAGATACTTAATGCTTCTAGGTACTGAATGATTTCTCCTTGTGTTGCAGTGGTGAGAAGGAGCAGGAGGAGGCGGAGGTGGTGGAGGACCAGCTCGCCAGGCAGCTGTCTCGGGAATATATGGAGCTGCTTGGTAAACACTAGACCTGAACCCCAACAATGTAGATTGTTGCTTATGTTATCAGCCACTAGTTTGTCTGGCCCACATTCAATTATTTACAAGTTTGATGATTTTTTATAAAGTAACATTCACTGTCTCACTTTGCTGTAAACAACAAAGTAGTCTGCCTGCTCCAGATTCCGACATTGCAATTCCTCCCTCTTGATGCAGGGTGTGTGTGCTACTCTCGGAAGTCCAACATGGAGTCGTCAGATGATGTGGCCATGGAGGACACGGACAACAGCGCAGCTCAGTCTAGTCAGCCCAGCAAGGACGACAGTCTCAGTGAACTCGGACAGCAGTGTATGAAAACTGAGGTAGGTCAGCTTCTCGGAGCAGATGATGCTGTGTTACAGAGCTGGTCCCTCCCTACAGGTCGTATGTATTTCAACCGTTAATTTATCTCACATCCAAACATCTTGGCGACTACCATTATTTACGTATACAGTGTTTTCCTTCATTGTGTATTTGGGTCCTTGGTGAAATTATGATGGCTACTGAAATATATAATCTTTGAGGCATGATCCATCTTGCTGTTTCGAAAATGTATGCCCAGTTTCTCCCTAGATAATGTAGGAATGTTATTCCCTAGGTAATGTAGGAGTGTTCTTTCCCCTCCATCTTGCTGTGTACAGTTATTCCCTAGATAATGTAGGAGTGTTCTTTCCCTGTTACCCTGCTGTGTACAGTTATTCCCTAGATAATGTAGGTGTGTTCTTTCCCCTCCACCTTGCTGTGTACAGTTACTCCCTAGATAATGTAGGTGTGTTCTTTCCCCTCCACCTTGCTGTGTACAGTTATTCCCTAGATAATGTAGGAGTGGTCTTTCCCCTCCATCTTGCTGTGTACAGTTATTCCCTAGATAATGTAGGAGTGGTCTTTCCCCTCCATCTTGCTGTGTACAGTTATTCCCTAGATAATGTGGGAGTGGTCTTTCCCCTCCATCCTGCTGTGTATAGTTATTCCCTAGATAAAGAAGTGCTACTGTTTCAGAGCCTGTTCCCCTCCATCCTGCTGTGTACAGTTATTCCCTAGATAATGTAGGTGTGTTCTTTCCCCTCCATCTTGCTGTGTACAGTTATTCCCTAGATAAAGAAGTGCTACTGTTTCAGAGCCTGTTCCCCTCCATCCTGCTGTGTACAGTTATTCCCTAGATAATGTAGGTGTGTTCTTTCCCCTCCATCTTGCTGTGTACAGTTATTCCCTAGATAAAGAAGTGCTACTGTTTCAGAGCCTGTTCCCCTCCATCCTGCTGTGTGTGTACAGTGGACTCTCCTGGAATGATACGACGGCCTGTAACAAATGTGTCAACCTTGCCTGGCCGCTAGTCAAACAGGTGAAGTACTTGTATAGCCCAGATGTACAGTACTCCTTCAGTACCGAAGAAAATGTGATATAATCGGCAATATTGCTAACTGCTATACCCAACACTCATTAACTATTGCACATAACTAGTGCCTATCACAAACTGTTGAATCATGAATGCTTGATAATACTGTCTTTGCTAACTGTCAACTATGTACAGTAAACTATGTTTATAACAAACACAGTTATAACAAACTGACTGATATAACAAACTGCTTTGTCGGTCCCACCCATTTGCTGTATATTCTATCATATAAAATTGATGGTTATAACGAACATGCTTATAACAAAATAACGGATATACAGTGATCCCTCGATACAATGCTACCTTCGGGGTCCAAATTATTGATGAGCATTATAGATTATCAGCGGTTTAACGAAGGTTGAGTCGTAGGTGGTAGATGACCAACAAAACAGTATAAATGCTCTGCCTACCTAACACGATCTACCTTGCACATTTCAGGGTTTCAAAAAAGATTAGAATAGAAGTTATTTATGATTCATAGTGAGGAAAAAGATTTATAAGATGTATATCGAATTCACATTGTAGCCCCGTGTGTACCCGTGTGTTAATGTTAATCTGAGTTGCTCATGAGTCACCAATCAGCCTAAAAATATCTAAGGCCACGCGGGGCTATTCAGAGCAGTAATAAACAATTGAAGGCAAGTGATTCACTGGATTAAGTACTGACACCTTGTCCTCAATTTACACCCTCATTTAACAATAGTAAAACAGTGATTAGGCTAAGATTTTTTAATTGGATAAATTCTGTCTTTCATATGCGATGACTAGAGTGAGGAAATTCATTTGAAATGTTTTTAATGAACTACGGTTTAAACAAACTAAAATTAGTAGTCTCTTTGAGTTCTTTATAACTGTAGTTTATTGTATCTTGTATTTGTGGCATATTTGTAAATATATGTCCTTAAAGAGACATGTCATGTGTTTCCTACAATAGTTGTGTATCACTTTCACGTACAGCTTACTTGTTGCTTGTGTTGCAGCTGCAGTCAGAAGATGTGATGACCCACGAGGCAGCATCCCACGTGTTCATGTCGGTGCTCAACGCCCTGCAGGTGCACGGCCAACATGAGGGCTCCCAGGCCATGTTGCTGGGTCTGGGGCTACAGCTGTATGAGGCACTGGTGAGTTGCTGGGTCTGGGGCTACAGCTGTATGAGGCACTGGTGAGTTGCTGGGTCTGGGGCTACAGCTGTATGAGGCACTGGTGAGTTGCTGGGTCTGGGGCTACAGCTGTAGGAGGCACTGGTGAGTTGCTGGGTCTGGGGCTACAGCTGCAGGAGGCACTGGTGAGTTGCTGGCCTACAGCTGTATGGGGCACTGGTGAGTTGCTGGGTCTGGGGCTACAGCTGTAGGAGGCACTGGTGAGTTGCTGGGTCTGGGGCTACAGCTGTATGAGGCACTGGTGAGTAGCTGGGCCTGGGGCTACAGCTGTATGAGGCACTGGTGAGTTGCTTGGCCTGGGGCTACAGCTGTATGAGGCACTGGTGAGTTGCTTGGCCTGGGGCTACAGCTGTATGAGGTGCTGGTGAGTAGCTGGGCCTGGGGCTACAGCTGTATGAGGCACTGGTGAGTTGCTTGGCCTGGGGCTACAGCTGTATGAGGCACTGGTGAGTTGCTTGGCCTGGGGCTACAGCTGTATGAGGTGCTGGTGAGTTGCTTGGCCTGGGGCTTCAGCTCTATGAGGTGCTGGTGAGTTGCTTGGCCTGGGGCTACAGCTGTATGAGGTGCTGGTGAGTTGCTTGGCCTGGGGCTTCAGCTCTATGAGGTGCTGGTGAGTTGCTTGGCCTGGGGCTTCAGCTCTATGAGGTGCTGGTGAGTTGCTGCACCTGGGGCTATAGCTGTATGAGGTGCTGGTGAGTAGCTGGGCCTGGGGCTACAGCTGTATGAGGTGCTGGTGAGTTGCTTGGCCTGGGGCTACAGCTGTATGAGGTGCTGGTGAGTTGCTTGGCCTGGGGCTTCAGCTCTATGAGGTGCTGGTGAGTTGCTGCATCTGGGGCTATAGCTGTATGATGTGCTGGTGAGTTGCTGGGGCTGGAACTACAGCACTGATCCTGTCACCATTGGTCATTGCTCTGTCAACTACTGGTTTGGTATTCTTTTGAAATGTTAATGTTAGATGGGATGAATTATTTAATGTCATAAAATAACTTTTTCAACACTAAAATCAGTAATATGTTTGAATACATTGTATATGATTCTTAATTTTGAAATCTACAAATTTCAGAGGCCATCGTTTCCAGACCTTGCCAAGATACTTCTTCAGATAACAGATGTGACACATCAACAGGTCCAGGTGAGCTTTATGATAACAGATTGTCTCCAGGATCCCTGATTGGTCCTAAGACAAAACTTTATGGGACATAGATGACCAGAAGCTGCTGGGCATGGACAATCCTGTTATGGGTGTCCCAGTCATCTGAGCTGCTCCAATTTACTGTACAGAGTTGTGCCCCTTAGCCGTGCCAGAATCCTGTGATAGTTTATTTTCTTCAACGTTGTCTGTGTAATGTCACTGTGCATTTTAAAAATGATAACTGGTAGATAGAAATGATTACTTTTTTTGTATTCTTTGAATCTTAAATGACCAATTCTACAAATTTCCTCTGTGTCTATATATTGAAATTTACAAAAAGAAGAACCAGGGATATATACCGAGGTGTGCTAAAACTCAATTTGGCAGCATATAGGGTGCATTTTGTATTTGTGTCACATTGTTTAGATAAAACTATGGCCAAACACCACTTTTTGGTTCGTGTGATGCCATGAACAACTGATGCCAAGAGAAGTAACTGGAAACTTACTTGTTCAAGGGTACCTGGGTCAGGTAATAATAGTACTGTGGGTACCGGGTATCGATGTTCTATCCGTTCTAGTCCTAATTTACGTTTCCTATGTTTTCAGTCTTTTGATGACAAAATCCTCCAGTCCAGTCCACAGAAACAACACTCTGAGAAGAAAAAGAAGGAAGCTTTCAAGAAACTCGTGTCTGGAGTAATAGGGGTGAGTTGCAGCCTCCCTGTACAGTCTGCATACAGCTGAGTAGTTTGTCATGCTACTAGTGCTGCACCATGTTTGTCATGCTACTAGTGCTGCACTATGTTTGTCATGTTTGTGCTTCACTACATGATTGTCATGCTACTAGTGCTGCTCTATGTTTGTCATGTTTGTGCTTCACTACATGAATGTCATGCTTTGTCATGCTACTAGTGCTGCTCTATGTTTGTCATGTTTGTGCTTCACTACATGATTGTCATGCTACTAGTGCTGCACGATGTTTGTCATGCTACTAGTGCTGCTCTATGTTTGTCATGTTTGTGCTTCACTACATGAATGTCATGCTTTGTCATGCTACTAGTGCTGCTCTATGTTTGTGCTTCACTACATGATTGTCATGCTACTAGTGCTGCACGATGTTTGTCATGCTACTAGTGCTGCTCTATGTTTGTCATGTTTGTGCTTCACTACATGTTTGTCATGCTGTTTGTCATGCTAATACTGCTGCTCTATGTTTGTCATGTTTGTGCTTCACTACATTATTGTCATGCCGTTTGTCATGCTACTAGTGCTGCTCTATGTTTGTGCTTCACTACATGATTGTCATGCTACTAGTGCTTCACTACATGTTTGTCATGCTACTAGTGCTGCTCTATGTTTGTCATGTTTGTGCTTCACTACATGATTGTCATGCTACTAATGCTGCACTATGTTTGTCATATTTGTGCTTCACTACATGTTTGTCATGCTACTAGTGCTGCACTATGTTTGTCATGTTTGTGCTTCACTACATGTTTGTCATGCTACTAGTGCTGCTCTATGTTTGTCATGTTTGTGCTTCACTACATGTTTGTCATGTTTGTGCTTCACTACATGATTGTCATGCTACTAGTGCTGCAAGGTGTTTTTCATGCTACTAGTGCTGCTCTATGTTTGTCATGTTTGTGCTTCACTACATGATTGTCATGCTGTTTGTCATGCTACTAGTGCTGCTCTATGTTTGTCATGTTTGTGCTTCACTAAATGATTGTCATGCTGTTTGCCATGCTAATACTGCTGCTCTATGTTTGTCATGTTTGTGCTTCACTACATGATTGTCATGCCGTTTGTCATGCTACTAGTGCTGCTCTATGTTTGTGCTTCACTAAATGATTGTCATGCTACTAGTGCTTCACTACATGTTTGTCATGCTACTAGTGCTGCTCTATGTTTGTCATGTTTGTGCTTCACTACATGATTGTCATGCTACTAGTGCTGCACTATGTTTGTCATGTTTGTGCTTCACTACATGATTGTCATGCTACTAGTGCTTCACTACATGTTTGTCATGCTACTAGTGCTGCACTATGTTTGTCATATTTGTGCTTCACTACATGTTTGTCATGTTTGTGCTGCACTATGTTTGTCATGTTTGTGCTTCACTACATGATTGTCATGCTACTAGTGCTGCACTATGTTTGTCATGTTTGTGCTTCACTACATGTTTGTCATGCTACTAGTGCTGCTCTATGTTTGTGCTGCACTACATGATTGTCATGCTACTAGTGCTGCACGATGTTTGTCATGCTACTAGTGCTGCTCTATGTTTGTGCTTCACTACATGATTGTCATGCTACTAGTGCTTCACTACATGTTTGTCATGCTACTAGTGCTGCTCTATGTTTGTCATGTTTGTGCTTCACTACATGATTGTCATGCTACTAGTGCTGCACTATGTTTGTCATGTTTGTGCTTCACTACATGATTGTCATGCTACTAGTGCTTCACTACATGTTTGTCATGCTACTAGTGCCTAACTATGTTTGTCATATTTGTGCTTCACTACATGTTTGTCATGCTACTAGTGCTGCACTATGTTTGTCATGTTTGTGCTTCACTACATGATTGTCATGCTACTAGTGCTGCACTATGTTTGTCATGTTTGTGCTTCACTACATGTTTGTCATGCTACTAGTGCTGCTCTATGTTTGTCATGTTTGTGCTGCACTACATGATTGTCATGCTACTAGTGCTGCTCTATGTTTGTCATGTTTGTGCTGCACTACATGATTGTCATGCTACTAGTGCTGCACTATGTTTGTCATGTTTGTGCTTCACTACATGATTGTCATGCACACTTACATTTATGTATGTTGATTATTAATATTATTTCCAAGTCAATGTTTTTATCTTTTCTACCATTATTTTCCAGAAAAATATTGGTCAGCAGTTTAAGCGTGAAGTCCACTACCAGAATCTGCCGCCCATGTTCCGTCACCGGCCCAAACACCCGTCGGTCGATGATGTGGAGAAATCCGACATTGGATTGTGCCAGTTGTTTAAACCTGACCCTCCCCTCAGGAAATGATGATAGCGCTGTGATTTCGAAAGTCTGATGTTGGATAAAAATCATAATTCCTTAATTTTGGGGAGTGTTTCCAGGTCTTCCAATCAACTGTTCAGGGATTTTACAGCTTATGTCAACAAAACTGTTAAAATACTCATATTTACTCCAAAAAATGAAGGCCATCACTATTGGCAGTATTTTTAGGTAGAACAAAATAAGATCAAGTAAAAAAAGATCTTCCAGTTTATAATCTGTTCTTGTTGTTATCAAGTTACTTCACAACTTCTATGCAATTGGTGCAATTTTGGTTTGTGTGTTTTTCTTTCTGAAATGTCTTTGTAGATTCAGAGGGTCTGTGGGGTATGTCTCAAAACTTAAGGAATTAGGTTTCTTATCCAACATTGAACTTTTGATTTGCTCCCTAACAATGAAATGAACAACAGATGATTCTTGAAATGAAAGCTGGAAATGTGTCAAGACAAATGTTTTAATGGATGTTGCCTAAGGTGTGATTTGTCACCGACGATAAATTCATCTTGCCAAAACTACACTTCATCCCAAGTGTCTCGTTCACCACTGATGCTTGACATTGTCTGCAAGGAACTGTCCACAAATGAGACTGCAAGCAAAATGTGCAAGAATATTATGGATGTTTTATTTGCGGGAACTGTTTGTTGACCAGGGCTGGATAATAAGCTACTTGCCCTTTGTGTGAATGGTGTGCCGTCTTTATACATTTTGTATGTTTGGTAATAATGTTCATTGAAGTTGTGTCATCTTTTTAACCTCTGTAAATGTGTCGATGTAATTGAGATCAACAACCTTGATTTAAAATCAGTCCCATTCCAGCTTGTTATTTAATTTGTCCATAGTTGGCCATTTCACAATACAGTATTAAGTCTGTTTTACCATATAGGAGTTCTGTAAAATAGCATTGTCAGCACTGCAGAGGTTTGTACACACTACAATCATTTATCTTATGTGAATACAAACATCTGATATTTAGTGTAGTGATGGTTCTTGTCTGTTTTAAGCAAGCTAAGGAACTGAGGCCGTTTCTAACTCGTGAATGTCAAGTGAGCCCTACTCCGTGCATTAACTTTGTGTATTACCCATAAGGACAGAATTATCATTTGTAATAACTTTACAATATTTACACATGTGCATTTTAGCAATTCCCAATGCCGATTGGTCAATTGGAGCTATAATACATTACAGTTATTGTTAAGACAAATATAATGTGACATCATCCATCATGTGATGTCATCTTAATTAAGCTTGCCTTCAGTGACGTATGACTGTAGAGTTGACTTTTTCATACATTTTTCTTCATTTTCTCTTAAAATGATAAGTAATATATAGAATAACCTACTCGAAACTCAGGATTACAGATTATCTGTCGTTCTTGAATGAATACTGTAAGTAAGTTGTCAAAGGCTCGAGATTCAATCATTGAGAACAGACAATCCATAATTCCTTGTAGCTCTTGGTTATAATCTAAGCATAACTTACCATAACACTGAAGCAATTTGTGTAGAGAACATGGCTACATGTTGTCCTCGCTGTCAGGTGAGAAACAGTGCAGTGTGTGTGCTGTGTAATCTGAGCACTTCCTGGTTTTCCTCTTGTTAGAATCAGACCTTGGCTTGATTTTGTGGGTGGGGGGCCCAGTTGTCTAAGGCGCCGCAATTCGCTGTGCAGAATTGCGTCCCTTGGGCACGCCAGAAACCTATGATTGTGGGTTCAAATCCTGGTTCACCCCGATGTTTCTAGGTTTGTCAGCACCATACCAGTGTACGTGGGTTTCACCGAAGTGGTAAACGTCTGAGACCTGCATCACTTCGGGCTTTCCTCCTACATTAAGCTGACACGCCGTGTTATAACTGGAATACTGTTAAAAGCGGCGTTAACTCACTCACTTGATTTCATGTTACCGATAGCAACGACACTGCAAAGCAGACGTATGTATTCACAGGTGATGGAGGAATGTAGTGTACACAGAACTGTGTAGTGTTGACTATGGCAATGTACATGACTTATGTTTATAGCAGGAATGTTTGGTGGATCAAGGCTTTAGTTGTTATTCCACATAGATCCATAGTCCCTGTGTCGGACAGCAAACCCTGATTCCTGTACAGAGAGAAGATTAGTACCTTATGTGTGCAGCATACTGATTATATGAAAGGAGAGTTGGAATTTTAAGCTCACATGACTGAAAATGATGTTATTTGTTTTTCCCTGCCTGGTACATGGTATGAAGGGGATAAAAAAAGGACTGGTCGGCTTGGAGTTAGAAAACTGTGTCCGAATAGGGTATCCATGTTTAACTGCCACATGGTATCTCAGAGCAATATAAAAGTGGCAATAGTCTGGACTCATACAACCAGAAAACACACACTAACACACTAACACACACACTAACACACACACTAACACACACACACACGTCGCTATATAAGAGCAATAATCTTGGACGCAACGTTAAACCCAATTTCACCTCACCTCATTACAACTAAGTGTTGGTTTTAGCGGCACTAGAGGGAGAGCTTGGGAAATTCTTGAATTCTGACTCTGGTTTCGTAAAATCTACATGCTGCACACAATCTCTTATGATTGCAACACAGAGGACTATCAATGTTCCTTGACAAAGGTGACCCAAGACCTGGTTTGGACCCTTTATCTTTAAAACATGTGTCTTTTCGACTCCTTGAGTAAACACACATTATCCCAAAGTCATGTATTCCAAGTATCCAAAGGAAGAGGTAGTACCTTCCAGGGAAGTAAGTGTGATCAAGGGGTGATAAAGACAACAACAGGAGGGTCGGATTTGATCACGGTTTACCTCTCTAGTCCTGGACTTGATGCCTGGACTACAGTCTACGACTGACATTAGGATGTGCGAGTGGTACAATGTCAGCACTGGAAGGGCCTTGTATCCTTTGCTGTTGTTTCTCAAGTAATGTTCGTGTTGCCACGAGGGGGCACAGGTAGCCCAGTCGTTTAAGGCGCCGTGATTCTCTGTGCAGAGTTGCCTCCCTTGGGCACGCCAGAAACCTATGATTGTGGGTTCGAATCCCGGTTTGCCCCGATTATGTTTCTAGGTTTGTCAGCACCATAGCCGTGCTCGTGGATTTCACCGAAGTGGTAAACGTGCATCACTGCATCACTTCGGGCTTTCCTCCCACATTAAGCTGACATGCCGCGATATAACTGGAATACTGTTAAAAGTGGCGTTAAACCCAACTCACTCACTCACTCACTCATGTTGCCACTTCTTCCCACTCTTCAGTATGCCTTAATAATGTTTTATAGACTTCAGCTGCAAGACCTAGGTCTGAGTCCAGACTTAACTTTCCTTCTTTACTTTAAATTGGGGACTAAGAATCGGATACCATTTCCAGGAACTGCGTATGCCCAAATAAGTCGCAAGAATATTGCCTGGTTGTTTACTCGTAAGTCAATTTTGATGTTTTTCTCACAATTCTGTAACTATCTAGAATTTGCTTATTTTACCAAATAACTCTGGGACTAATTCTAGAATTATATGCCTATAATGCATTGGTGCTTCATTTATTGGTGTGTGGCACTTCTAAGGCATGACAGAGTTGTGTCCCTTAGACGTTACATCAACTTATGATTGTGTTTGAATCCCAGATTCACCTTCATTGTGTTTCTAGGTTTGTCAGCACCATGACCATGCTTGTGGGTTTCTCCAAAGTGGTAAACATCCAAGACCTACATTACTTTGTTTTCATCCCACATCAAGCTGACACACAGTGACAGAACTGAAATACTGTTCAATACTCGAAATAGTCTATGCTGTCATTCATTATTGTTGTGTAAACGTGAATGTTTGAATGAAGTATTAACAAATAGGTAAAACAGATGATGGATGCTGTGGTTAATAATTCTATTTATTGTTGTGCTACGTTTATCTCGGAGATAAGAACTGAATCTCTGAGATGTGAAGTTAAGCTCTTGAGATGTGAATTATAGCTCTTGAGATGTGAAGTTATGCTCTTGAAATGTGAAGTTTGTCTATGAAATTTATCTCTGAGATAACAGACATACAAAGTTAATACTTGGTTGATTGTGTGTTATACACTGATGGCATCCATCTTTGCTCATAACATCAATCACTGGTTTCACTGGTGCCAACTCTGCCATACCATAACTGGGCTTTTGTAGAGTGTGGGTCATACGCCAAATATAAAAAGTTGTGAATTAAAGAAATATTTTTTGACGAAATAGGATGTCCTGTTCAGACATTTTCAAATGCATTGTAGATATTCATTCAAGGTATAAATGTGTATTTAGAGAAAGTTGGTAGCTGCCTGCTTTATAGCAGCATTGACCTGATCATACTGTTGATGCAATGAATTTATGATAAAGTGTTTACTTATGTGAAGTGTGACATCATTTATGTGTTACTTGAATGTCACCGACAGAGGACCAGACACAGTACATTATTGGGATATAAAGGTGAAGTTGCAAAAACAAAGGGCAGGGGGGTAGCCTAGCGGTTAAAGCGTTCGCTCCTCATGCCGAAGACCCGGGTTCGATTCCCCACATACGTACAATGTGTGAAGCATATTTCTGGTGTCCCTCGCTGTGATGTTGCTGGAATATTGCTAAAAGCGGCATTAAATCATCATAGAACAAGTATTTGTCACAGAGTGACGAAATATCCCCCGCCTGTACACCATAGTACCAAATATGAAGACAATCCAGCGATTAGTTCTTGAGATATTGTGGCAACACCGTTTTCCAACTCCAAAAACAGATTTGCCTGCTGTGACCTTGAAAATGGGGTCAAGGTCACCAAATCTGACAGGTGTATGCGGTGTCTGTATATACACTATAGTTCCAAATATGAAGACAATCCAGCGATTAGTTCTTGAGATATCGCAGCAACACCGTTTTCTAACTCCAAAAGCAGATTTGCCTGCTGTGACCTTGACAATGGGGTCAAGGTCACCAAAACCGACTGGTGTCTGCGGTGTCTGTATATACACCATAGTTCCAAATATGAAGACAATCCAGTGTTTAGTTCTTGAGATATCGCGGCAACACCGTTTTCCAACTCCAAAAGCAGATTTGCCTGCTGTGACCTTTAAAATGGGATCAAGGTCACCAAAACCGACTGGTGTCTGCGGAGTCTGTATATACACCATAGTTCCAAATATGAAGACAATCCAGTGTTTAGTTCTTGAGATATCGCGGCAACACCGTTTTCCAACTCTAAAAGCAGATTTGTCTGCTGTGACCTTGAAAATGGGATCAAGGTCACCAAAACCGACTGGTGTCTGCGGAGTCTGTATATACACCATAGTTCCAAATATGAAGACAATCCAGTGTTTAGTTCTTGAGATATCGCGGCAACAAACAGGTGGGACGTACGGACGGACGGACGGACGGACGGTCGTGAATACTATATCCCCCGCTTCGCGCTTTCGCGCGGCGGGGGATAACAAAGGGCAAGGTGAAGCCAAAAATTGTTCCTTTTTAGATACTGAATGTCAAATGAGCATTGTCACATGCTATGTGTCGGGCATGCTCTGTCTGGCTCATCTCCTTCTAAAACGACAGGACCAATGAAGCTGAAACTTCACTTACTTGTTCCTGCCAATGATGACACCTGTTTTGATCTGATTTTCAATATGGCTGCCCCAGCAGCCAGGAATTATTTTCCTGCTTTATGACTTGACCACACAGGTGACATCCAGGGAAAGTAACACCTGTTTTGATCTGATTTTCAATATGGCTGCCCCAGCATCCAGGAATTATTTTCCTGCTTTATGACTTGACCACACAGGTGACATCCAGGGAAAGTAACACCACGGTCCGAAGTGCTGAATGAGGATTGTGGTCACAATGGCTGATGATGACTTCAACTTGGGCAAATCCATCGTGGCTAACCATCACTTGTCCCATGAACCATGTATTGTCTTGTCATGCTATTCTTTCCTCCCGCATCAAACAGACATGCCATGATTTAACTGAAATACTTCAAAGCAGTATTGAACCCTGCCTCAGTGGGTGCCAATATGGCTGTAATACATCTGACTGGGACACACACCCCTTTCACTCCACCATGTAGTTGACATACCATATGAGTAGGTTTACCTGTGAGGTACAACATGTCCCCAACAACATATGCTGGCCAACAAGGCCACTGAATGGACCAGGGGGTCAGCCTCTGTGACATGGATGATTGCATGTCATCATACACCAGTGGCATGGCGCATTACTAAGAAAGTGTTATCCCAAATATAACATTTGTTACATTTGACTACTTTCTAAATGGCATTGTGTATTCACAGCGTTTGGCCATGGGAGCCGTGCCAATTTACACTTGTCAGAGGGGTACTCAAAGTACTTGATCTAGACTACCAGTTGTCAGACTTTCCTTTTGTGGAAGCCTCGGTGGCTGAGTGGGTTAGATCGCTGGCGATTAGGTGCCTCACTCTGGCAAGTGTGGGTTCGAATCCCGGACGGGACTCAACCTAAAAAAAGTACGAGAATCTGTACTTTACTAAGAAAGTGTTATCCCAAATATAACATTTGTTACATTGCTCATGCACTGCACGTGCATTACACAGGCTTCTAGAATGTTGCTGAGTGTGACACTCTAAACAACAAAGAAAGCAAATTCAGCATGGCACACCAAGGGAGTGAGTCTAGATTAACCCTGCTTTGACCCTTACTTCAGTTACATCACTGCATGTCAGCTTGATGTAAAAGGAAAGCCAAAACTAATGCAGGTCTTTAAAGTTTACCACTTTGGTAAAACGTACAAACATAATCAAGTTAAATCTGGGATTCGAACCCATGACCAAAGGTGTCTGCAACACCAAAGGGACAGACCATCACAGCGGTGCCTTAGACGATTCAACCACCAATGCTATCCCAGCACTGCGATGGCCATGTAGGAATCAAGCCCTGGTTTTGAGCATGCGTAACACTCCACTATCCCACTCAAGGAACGAGAAGTGGAACCGATTTTTCCAGTCAAGCTAAAAGAAAACAACAGCACAGAGTTTGTAACAGGCTTTATATCTGTATGACCATGACTTCAACATGACAGCAAACTGCTTTCAGGAGACCTTCCGTAACAGCTTCCTTCCAGATAGTGTACTTAACAGTTCTTACACTCTTGGCTATTAATATTGTTCCCTTTATGGGACAACACAAGGCTGACAGTAAGTGGTGGGGGAAACATTTATAAACATAGTCAATGGTATAAAACATTTATAAACCAGGATGAGTCAGATGTCTGGATAGACAATTTGTTTTCTTTTCTGGTTCTCTTCTCACTGAAGCTAATCTGATAGTTTGATTTTATCAATATTACTGTTTCTGGTTCATTGTTCAACAAACTGAGACACTCGGCATCAGCTCAACACAAGAGGAAGATTTGAGGTCCATCAATACTGTAAGCAAATCCCATTCAGATCAGAGCAAAATATGAAAATACAACGCTGAGGCCTGCATTTATAATTACTCATCATGTTTGATGTGACATCACTTATCAATTGAACCTGTCTCCATGTGGAGTTACCAAACTTAAGGACTGCTTAGTGGTCACAACATTGATCTTATTGTCTCTAAAAAATCTTTCACCAAAAACAAGTGTTATTGTAAATTCGTAATGATCAATTTGTTACATGTGTCTATAGCAGGGTGTACAGGTTATTATGAGATGAACATTCGTACACCACAAGACCTGTTAACTCATTAAGTCCTGTTCACCCCACAAATAACAGATGTAACTCATAGTATTCATGATATCTTGTAAACTGTAATAATCTTTTGATTCTTCAGAACCAATCCCAATATTTGTCATCTTTTACCCCTAACGTTGACACCCAACAGCTGTTATGTAACACTTTGTTGCTGCATTGTTGGGAAGGACAGAGGGACAACATGGTATGCATCTTCCCGAGGCAAGCACATCCACTAGCCTGAATCAAAGCCTAGATTCTAGTGGAAACAAGACTTTGATAAAAAGGCTCATGGACGCTCTTGTCTCTGGAAGATGCATGGTATGAGTCTAGATGTTTCTTCAGTTGATGAGCAGAAGCAATAGCTAAAAGCCATGTTACAACAATTGAATAACAAAATATACACGGACAGGCTTGTACAAACTGTAGATACTCGCTCTAATATTTATATATACACACGATACAAAGCTCAGGTAAACACATAACATACATATATATGGCATATAATAACTACAGGACGTATAATTTACATCAGTGTTTACAATGCTTGCATATTGGGTTAATCTGACCAATAACATTGGAAGGATTCAATCTTAGCGTCGATCTTAAGTATTGTATTATTATTATTAAACAAATATCTTTATTGCACATAATTCATCAAACATTGTGAACGGTTCTTTTCAAGATCTCATTCTCAAATCGATGTCACATTTACATGGCTAGGTGACCTAGTTTTCTAAGATTCTGCAATATGCTTTTCAGAGTTGTGTCCCTTTGTAGTGTCAGGAAGTGCTTATTATGGGTTCATGACCTGATTATGATTCTTGTTTCATCTGCAATACCCAAGCTGCTCGTGGATTTCACCAAAGTTGTAAGGTCAAAGACATGCAACATTTCTGTCTGTTCTCCACATGAAGCTGACATGCTGGGATTTAACTGGAATACTGTTCAAAGTAACACTCACTCCAGGGAGGAGAATCTTCCATGCATCAGCGTATTTGTGTGAATTTAAGTGACCACAAATTTGTCCGAATCTGATGGCTTCCCCCATAAACACCCCCAAATTATGGACCAAGCTCTCTTGCAAAGAAGTTTCAGCTGAAAAGAAAAATAAGCATCCTCATCCCTGTCACTCTGACCATGTGACAGCAACTCCACATTGAAGTAGACATACAGAGAAAAAGACCAAGAAAGGAACTCAAGAGCCAAGAACATGAGGATCAATCATCTGATAAAGTACAACAATAGTGGAAACTAACCAATATGTCTTCTTGTCCACAAAACTGTCAATATTCTGCCAACCAATTTAGCATGATACTAAAAGCCTGGTTGGCCTTATCCCTTTTAGGCGACCAGTCACCTGTTACAACACATTCACTTAATTTAACAGGAAGTAAATAACTTCTCATAGAAACAATTTGATCAAATTACTGAAAACAGTAATATAACAGTAACCTATTAGACAGATGTGTGTGTTCTACATGAACTTCATCATTTAGTGAAATGAAGCTTGGCAAGATATGTTTTGATTAATACTGAAATTGGATATCAATTTACAAAGAAGATATGTAATCATATTATCTTATCTCCACGTCAGAGTGTTGAGATCTGATCGGTTCATGTGATCTTGATAAAATACTATATATCCAGTGTGGGAGAGGAATAAATTGCTGAGCGGGAGGATAAATCTCATACCCTACCATTGAAATCAGGCTGCACATGGATTTCTGAGTGGGAGAATAAATCCCTTATACCCCGCTCCGATGCCCCTAACTGCACGTTGATACTGAGTCAATGGAGTCACATGACATAGCACATGTTAACCACAGTTCAACAGATATTTTCTGTCAAATTTCAATTTGTATTAATTTTTTTACATTGGCAGATTGAAACATGTCAGCGAGATAAATTTGTTGCAGTATTATTCTGGTACATGTGGTTTTATGCGTCCCTCATTAGGTTTTTTTCAGCTCCTGGAATTAAACCTAACGTCTGATGCATGAAACCACATATACCCCTTGTGATACTGCTTCAACTCATACTAATTACAATGTTCAACACAAACAGTAACTATCCATAGATAAATATAATCACAGAAAGACATATCTGAAAAGCATTAATTTCATATTTTTGGAGCCATCAAAACTGATGAAATTATGAAAAATTGATTAGAGTGGTAATTTGAAATACCTTGTATACCAGAATCATAACTGACCAAAAAATGTCACTGTCATGGTTAAACAATACCAAGGAATAACTTCAAATTAAATAGAATATATATTCTAGTTTTCTGGCACCACGTAATGTACAGCTATTCAACATAAGACATAAAGGAGTAAAACTACACACCGGTTGCTGGCTAATAAATAACACAAGACTGACTTTGTTTAGCCTGAGAGTGAGATTGCACTGCTGACAATGTCCTAGAGAAAATGTACCAATATTAGTGAAATAGATGCCACTTCATTTACAAGTTGAAGTGGGAATCTGTCATATTTTGGAAGAGATTTTCTCAAGAAATACAACATGGCTGACTTTACTGTACAAACCATAAAATCCTGTTCTCTATGTCTTTCAAAAATACAAAACATCCTGGTGGAAAATGTCTCTTTGTGATTTTTATTGACTAGTACTATATTTAAGAAGAAACCCTTGGGAGAAGAGTATTGTGATGGATGACAATTTCATCCATTATTGCACATGTATTACTGGGATATCAATAATATAATCCATTGCATCTTCCAACATGTCCTTCTGTTGTACATAGTGAGATGTATCACAACCTGTGTAATAAACAAAGCTGGAACTAAATACATACATCTTCTACTTTGATTACATACCTCTCTGTGACAAGATCTCACAAACCCTTATATTAATAAAAGAATTTGTTCTCAGGCAATGACTTTGAAAATAGTGTGGTGGGGGGCAGTTTCTTTTTTTGCTTGTTCAAAATAGTATGTAACCAAATAAACAGTTGTGTACAATCAGCCTTGGGAAAGGGCCTTTCTACATAAACAAGCATACAAACTCCTATTGCCACCATGACCATAACACGAGATGCGCAGTAAGCAATGCACATGTAAAGGGAAGTAAATGCGTGCTATATTGGATCGCATTGTTTTTAAGTAATAAGATATTTTAGGGGTTTTTTTAAATCGCAATAAAAACGAAATGTGCTTTATGATGATGGCAGGCGGTGCCTAAGAACCATGACTATTAATGTTTTTAGCTCAATAGATCACATGGTTTTCTAAAATGATTCTCACTACATTCTTAGTTTAGTCACCAGGTTTTCACCATTCCTTTTCCACCTCTGTTCCTGATTCAGGAATTTCACTTTGAACAAAAATAACCCCCACAAAATATGTTCCCTCAGTTGCAAACCATTTTGAGTGTAGATTCTATGCCGTTCAGAAAAGGAAGGTTGCCACAACCTAGTGCAGCCATTATTATTCTCCATTCAGAACTGTTTATGTTTGTTTACCAGATACAGAAATCAGATGTGCTGTTCCGAATGTTTATCTGATTTTCAGATTAGAAAGTAACCTATGACAGATTTGTGAGAAGTTGATGGAGACAATAATGACACTCATATCAAAACAAAAAACTAGGACAGGACATTCACATGTTTTGGTCATCTCACGACATGACTGTAGTAACTACAGGAGAACCTGATATTCAAAGTGGTTAGGTGACCCTTCTCAAATCTTGATTCAAAACTCCTTGTTCTTTGACAAATGAATATTGGGTACATAGATTGTCCATATACATCTAACAGTCAGTCTCCGAGGTCAATGTATCTGGACGCAAGGGGTCAGGCCTAACAACCTTCCACTGTATTTGTGTACCCAAACAACAAATAGACAGGTGCTACAAGCCCACAGAAAATAGGGCCAAAATTTCAAGCTTGAGAACAACCAGAAAACTTCAGGATGACTCTACAATCCTCACCACGTGAAATAGAATCATGAAATATGATTATTAATTAACAGAGACAGTTGTGCTAATACTTATAAAGCAAAAACAAGCTATTCCGGCAATAGTCCTCATAATCTCGAACAAGGTCAATAGCGTTGCACCTGCATAACCAGCATGAACTGAAAGAAAGAAATGTAGAGATGTTGTCTTTAGCACTATTTTACATAGTTCGAAATGTGAGCAGTGCCAAATATAACCGCTCGCAGTCACCTGACTGCCGATCCTGACGCGGATTATAACCATGTGATCAAAACTCAATGAAGATGTTTATTGTTTACAAAAAGGATATTTCTAATAAATGCACTTTGCAATTTGTATCCTTACTATAAATAAGTTACCTTATCAGCAGAATGGCTTGTTTTCACTTTATAAACAATAGCACACATGCAGCTATCTTCGTTAATTAATAACCGTGGTATTTTGTGATTCTATTTCAAGTGGCGAGGACTCTAGTCAAAATGTTTTCCCTAAAATAATACCACAACAACCAATCATATGACTTCTTATTCACTGCACTGGTTTACATCTATCACATGTGTTTCTCATCAGCTACATATCTTAGTGTCTCAACAGATCTTTCTGAAAATAATTCTGTCAAAGTAAACTTTTCACCAAACTGTATATAACATTCATTTGTACTCTTTCCAATTTTTCACTAATCATTCCATAAATCAAGTAATTAAGTGTCTGACTTTGAGATATTTGATGAGGAAGAATATGTCAGTGTGAAATCAGCAATAGCTGGAAGCACTTGTACAATCTCTAACAAATCAGTCAAGTGTAGGATAATATCTGTCATGATGTTTTCAAACACCATCACCATCCTGGTGCTGGTTCACATCTCTCCTCACAGTAAAACACAGTAATACTAATATTGATTAAAGAAAAGGTGACTTGAATATTTAACCTTCATCTATTCACTATAGTTCTATGGTAAGGATGCCTTAGGCGTGTCTGATACCTAGGATTGTGGGTTCGAATCCCTCATTCACCCTGCTTATGTTTCCAGGTTTGTCAGCACCAACCTATGCTGGTGGGTTTCACTAAAGTGGTAAATGTCTAAGACTCGCATCACTTGGCTCTTTCCTCCCCATCTTCCTGAGGCAAAGGAGTCACCTGACAAGTCAAGTTTCAACCCTTGCTGAACTAGGATTCAATTATAGAGTTATATTTTGGCTGGACTAACAAGTCTATGCATAGTCCAATTAAAATCCTGTAACGAAATGGACAACCGGTTCATAAAGAACATTGCAACTGCCAGGCCAAATTCGTTTGATTGCAGGATTTGCAGAGCATGTCTATCGTCAACTGGGCATCGAACGATATTTTCCAAATCTTTTCACGTTTTTATTCAAGGTGCTCAAGTGATTTGATGCATATTTCGCTAGGTAAAACCTGTCTTATTACAATAAAGATGTTATTAGGGATGAAATTGTCTTGACTGGGCGCCGCCATTTTGTTTGAAGCAAGTGCAAGAAATATGAGAGGTGGAATCTGATTGGTCAGTAGGGGGATATATTAGGGCCATTACTTATAATAGCCACTGGTTGCACTACAACCGAGCCCAGAAAATCCAGCCTAGTTCAGCAAGGGTGGAATCTGGACTTTCAAAGTCAGTTAACTCCCTTGCCTCAGGAAGATGTTTCCTCCCACACCAAGCTGACATGTCGGGATGTAACTAAAATACTGTAATAATGCACTTACTGTCCAGGGCAAGAGAGGTAACTAGAATCTTTTCAAAAGATCAAAATCTGCTGGACATATCTGTTGATAGCTACCACATACCTACAAACACAACATCTTTCTTTAACAGATAACAGATATGGTCTTCTTTATAAAGATAACCTCCAACATACTTGTGTCATTAGGCTGAAGTTGAAACAATGTTTAATATCTGTAACACTCCTACTTTCTCCACTGTGACTTTTACCATATCATTCTCCTGTAAAACAGTCCGAGTCTGTTGCTCTTCCTCATGATAGGACTACGAAGGTGAATGTCTGTGTTAACACAGGAGTCGTATGGAGCCGTTGTCTGCTCCCAGCAGCAGTGATCGGTTGAGAGGTAGAGTTGCCATAGATGTAAGGACACCTTTGAATGTGTCAGAACGTAACTTGGTGCTTGTGAAGGATGCCTGTAAAAGAAATGATCAAATCTGTTACTGATTGGGTGGACAAACTGTCTGTTGAAGGACTTTGCTTCAGGGGTTAATTTTGGGTTGAGTGAGTGAGTGAGTGAGTTGGGTTTAACGCCGCTTTTAACAGTATTCCAGTTATATCGCGGCGTGTCAGCTAAATGTGGGAGGAAAGCCCGAAGTGATGCAGGTCTCAGACGTTTACCACTTCGGCGAAACCCACGAGCACGGGTATGGTGCTGACAAACCTAGAAACATAATCGGGGCAACCGGGAATCGAACCCACAATAATAGGTTTCTGGCGTGCCCAAGGGACGCAACTCTGCACAGCGAATCGCGGCCCCTTAGACGACTGGGCCACCTGTGCCCCCAGTTTTGGGTTGAGATAATAATAAGGGGTTCATACAAAATTTCAGTAACGAAAGCCAAGGCTCCCTTCCAAAGCAGAAGCAGCCGATTATTGGAAGGGGATAACTCTGTGGATACTGACGACAAATAAATCATTTACAAAATGTTATCTACAAAGATTTTAAGAGAAACATTAAAAGATATTTTGTTGTTTACAGTGTTTGGGGATTGTTTTGGAAGACAGACAAACAGACAGAGCGATGGACAGACAGACAGACAAACAATTTTCAGAGTAAAAGGTCTTGTGGCCCAGTGTATATTGAACAATAATACCACTAGCACACATGGACCAACATTTACAGTAATAAGACCAGACAACCCAGTGATTGATACCATGAGTATCGATCCACGCAATTGGGATACGATGATATGCATCAACAAAGGCAGCGGGCCTGACCACTAGATCCCATTAGTTGCCTCTTACGACAAGCATGGGTTGCTGAAGACCTATTCTAACCTAGACCTTCACGGGTCAGACGAGGAAATGATCAGGGGTACTCACACTGTCATCCACAGAGGTATGTACCCCTATTCTGTTGGCTGTGGTGGCACTGAGCACCTGGTTCTTGTAGAAACACACACAGTGGACTGGCTCCGACGGACCTGGGAAGGTGGAGATGTACATATGCATGCATTGAATACACAATACACATTGTATGCAAACTGAAACGTTACTTGCAGAATGCATGAAAGAATACTCTGAGGCTGAGCTGAAAATAACTACCAGTCTTTGTATAGGACTATGACAATGATGTTGGTGAATCACACATTTTAAAAATCTTTGCTAGAGAAAAAAATGAGAGAGAAAATTATTACAAACAAGGGTGATTTTTGCTGGAGATGCTGTGTTTACTGGACAGTGTGATGTTTAATAGAGCTGGTGGTGACTTGAGACAGTAATGGTGGTGTTTAATGGTGAGTGTGATGTTTACTTGTGAGGGGGTGGTGTTACCGGTGATGATGATATTAACTTGAAATGGTGAGGGTGGTGTTTACTGGTGAGGGTGATATTAACTTGAAATGGTGAGGGTAGTGTTTACTGGTGATGGTGATATTAACTTGAAATGGTGAGGGTAGTGTTTACTGGTGATGGTGATATTAACTTGAAATGGTGAGGGTAGTGTTTACTGGTGATGGTGATATTAACTTGAAATGGTGAGGCTGGTGTTTACTGGTAATGGTGACATTAACTTGAGTTGGTGAGGCTGGTGTTTACTGGTGATGGTGACATTAACTTGAGTTGGTGAGGGTCATGTTTACTGGTGATGGTGACATTAACTTGAGTTGGTGAGGGTAGTGTTTACTGGTGATGGTGACATTAACTTGAGTTGGTGAGGGTGGTGTTTACTGGTGAGGGTGATATTAACTTGAGTTGGTGAGGCTGGTGTTTACTGGTGAGGGTGATATTAACTTGAGTTGGTGAGGGTAGTGTTTACTGGTGATGGTGATATTAACTTGAGTTGGTGAGGGTGGTGTTTACTGGTGATGGTGATATTAACTTGAGTTGGTGAGGGTGGTGTTTACTGGTGATGGTGATATTAACTTGAGTTGGTGAGGGTGGTGTTTACTGGTGAGGGTGATATTAACTTGAGTTTGTGAGGGTGGTGATTACTGGTGATGGTGACATTAACTTGAGTTGGTGAGGGGGGTGTTTACTGGTGAGGGTGATATTAACTTGAGTTTGTGAGGGTGGTGTTTACTTGTGAGGGGGTTGATGTTACTGGTGAGGGTGATATTAACTTGAGTTGGTGAGGGTGGTGTTTACTGGTGAGGGTTGTACCTTTAAGAGCACACAGCTCTCTCCCATCCTCAATATTCCACACCTTCATGGTCTGGTCAAATGATGAAGACACTAACTTGTTCTTGCTGTAGGCTTTGATCTGAAATACAATCCAAGACTGAAAGGTCACAGTCTGTCACATTCACGGGCATTGAACTGTATGTTTGTTTGTTTGCCTGTTTAACACCACACTCAGCAATATTCCAGCGATATGATGGCAGTTTGAACTGGAGACCTGTAGCCATGATGTGTTATCCATGTAGCATAGTACCGCTGCTGACATCCAGAAGGGAGATAACTCCTGCAGAGCAGCCAACACATAATACACCCACCTGTAATATTTCCCCATCATGAGCCTTCCAGGACCCCATGAGGATACCGCTGCTGACATCCAGAAGGGAGATAACTCCTGCAGAGAAGCCAACACATAATACACCCACCTGTAATATTTCCCCATCATGAGCCTTCCAGGACCCCATGAGTATACCGCTGCTGACATCCAGAAGGGAGATAACTCCTGTAGAGCAGCCAACACATGATACACCCACCTGTAATATTTCACCATCATGAGCCTTCCAGGACCCCATGAGGATACCGCTGCTGACATCCAGAAGGGAGATAACTCCTGTAGAGCAGTCAACACATAATACACCCACCTGTAATATTTCCCCATCATGAGCCTTCCAAGACCCCATGAGGATACCGCTGCTGACATCCAGAAGGGAGATAACTCCTGCAGAGAAGCCAACACATAATACACCCACCTGTAATATTTCCCCATCATGAGCCTTCCAGGACCCCATGAGGATACCGCTGCTGACATCCAGAAGGGAGATAACTCCTGCAGAGAAGCCAACACATAATACACCCACCTGTAATATTTCCCCATCATGAGCCTTCCAGGACCCCATGAGGATACCGCTGCTGACATCCAGAAGGGAGATAACTCCTGCAGAGCAGCCAATACATAATACACCCACCTGTAATATTTCCCCATCATGAGCCTTCCAGGACCCCATGAGGATACCGCTGCTGATATCCAGAAGGGAGATAACTCCCGTTGAGAAACCAACAGCTACCCAGCTGCCATCATGACTGACAGTCAAACAGCGGATCAAGCCTGGAACAGGCAACAATGGAGACAACTTGTCAAGTGTATCAAGGACTGAAGGAAAACTTTTTATGGGTGTCTTACAGGGACATATATTTATCATCCAAAACTGGTTCCCACAGGAGATATCGCTTGGGTGAGATCACCCAACTCTGTTCTATCCCCCAGTATCTATTCACCTGATGAAGGAGTAAGTATATACTCCGAAATGTTGTGTTCCTCATAACAAAGAAGTGGCATCCAAAAATTCTCTTCTTTATGTTTATTACTTCTAAATGCCTTTCAAAGACTATCAAAGATTTTATTTACAACATTAATGCGATTTTCATTTTTTTGCTTCTAATCACATATTTGTTAGAACTTACTGTTACATGCTCTCTGGCCTGGGAACAACAATATCGTAATGTTTTTAATCATTAACATGATCAAAGTGGATGTTTCTACTTGAGAAAATAACATTAACTGGTCTCCACACAATTGGGGATAACATTACCAAACTGAACTGTTCTACCAATAATTATTCTCAAAGACATGCTCATCTACACAACCACAAGCACATACTATCATATCAAGCCTCTAGCACTCACCGGTTGATCCAACTGAGCACTTAAACTCGTGTGCATATTTTGATACTCTGAGATCAAGGAACCTGTTGAAAAAAATAAAGAATCGCTCAAGTACAAATAAAACCAGAAAAGATATTCTTGCTATCAAAACAATAAACATTGTGTTGCTTAATTTCCTTCTCATGTCCAAGTACCGTACCTGAGTGTGGCCTCCGTGGTTGCCGTGACAACAAGGGTGCTGGGCGCTGGGAGGGCAGTGAGGGCCACAACAGGGGCGTATTTGGAGGACTCTAGTTGGACTATATTCACACCAGTGAATGGATCCCATATCTGAAACAAAGCTGCATGTATTAGTATTCACCCTATGACAACTGTATGAGTGGTTTCGTATTCACCCTATGACATCTGTATGAGTGGTTTCGTATTCACCCTATGACAACTGTATGACTGGTTTCGTATTCACCCCATGACAACTGTATGAGTGGTTTCGTATTCACCCTATGACATCTGTATGAGTGGTTTCGTATTCACCCTATGACAACTGTATGAGTGGTTTCGTATTCACCCTGTGACAACTGTATGAGTGGTTTCGTATTCACTTGTATCAACTGTAGCCATGGTTAATGGAGCAACCATTTGATTTTAAGGGGGAGGAATGGAATTTTGGTTTGAGATCAGCCTCTGTTTTTATTTTGTTATAAGTACTCAATTATAAAGAGAAACAGGTGCTCAGTTATCTAATTTTATTGGGGTGGGGAGGAGAAGGGGGAGGGGGCCACATGTGAAGAAAATATGACACAGCAAAAGAGATGGTGACAACTACATGGAGGGTAGAGGGGAGTGTGGAAACAATACATAGTTCTAGTTTCTTAAATACAAAAAGCTTCAACATTATTTAGGGACTGGTAATTTATTATAGCTAGGGAGGGTTTCCTGAAAGAGTGTTACATAAAAAGGAGTGGTCCGTTCTAAGGTTATTCTCGTGGATCCCCATCAACCCTCATCTATGACCAGACCCTAATACATGTACATAGATACAGCTAAGATTCAAGTTGTGTAACATAAAACACTTTCTTTTACATTTTGTAAATCCAGTGAACTCACATGTACAGAACTATCACAGGAGGCCACTTGTCTGACGCTGTCCAAGTAGGCCACAGAAAATACAGACTTCTTATGTTGGCTGTAGCTCCACTGGAAAGACATTCTGAAACAGGCAGAAGTGGTACTTTCTCAGAGTTATATTAACACTATTATTTATGAAAATGAGTTAACCCTTTCACAGGGAGTGAACTTATGATTCTAGTAAAGCAGGTCAGAGATACCAACAAAGTATGATGGACAGGGAGAATTTGGAAGTACATCCTGCAGCTAAGGGACACAACTCTGCACACCATCTACAGTATATTGATGGCAACACGGGACGACAGGTTCATACCGTGTCAGACATAGGCATGCAGACAACAAGTCCTTCTTTCTCGGGTGATTCAGCTATTGTCTTACCTGTGAAAGAACGACTCTTTTTGTTCATACTTATTTTAAAAGCATTTTTTTGTTAAAAAGTATAAAACATTGTCAATTGGGGAAAACTGGTAAAGTAAAGAAGTGTAAGCCTTTCCTCCCACTGTGAGCTACTTTGAATTGTTTTTCTTTTTTCATTCATTAAAATTATCACAGAAAATAAGTACTGTTCACAAATTATACATTTTCATTGCACAGTTTAAACTTTCAGATAAATTGATCTGTTAAAAATGAACTAAAACTGAAAAGTCGTATGAAGACTCACTTCCCTGATCCATCCCCGGAGCTAGTGAGTGACCAAAGCTTCACTGTCTTGTCCTTGCTGGCGCTGATGAAGCAGTTCTCATTGTCCATCACAAACAGAGACCGGATGCTGTTTGTGTGGCCTGTAAATGTGTTAAGAAACAGATTTACCTGGAATGTTCTTGTTTTGAGTTTTGTAAACATTCAGTGATCAGCTGGAAAGCAAAGAAACTGGACTACCCAGGTTTCTTGGTAACCATGGTAACAGGCCACTATGAACATTGATGAACAGTTAAGTCACATTTAAACACATAATACCGATCATGGCTTTTAGGGCAGCCAAAATATTTTTGTAGTATGATCGAATCATCAGAATATTGATGATACACTCTACCCATTCTGTTGATCTTAAACAAGTCTGCGTACATTGCAAGCCAATATTTTTGCAACTGAACCACCCAGCTGCTCCAGACAAAGAACAAACACAAAAAACATGGTTTCCTTGCCTTGAAATGTCTGCAATTTGATCTGTTTAAAGTTGAAGATTGTGTCTCGCTCATGCAACCCTGTGAGAATAAAACAATGAAAAGTCAGGACAAAGACAATGCATCTAAGGCTAAGGGTCCTTCTCATGTGCTTCTTCTTAATGACTGATAGTAAATAGTCTATTAAGTAGTGTACCATCGGCATGACAAATGTAATATCTATCATTACAGGTTTTCTTAGTCAGTGTACCAAGAAGCAGAAGCCAAAAAATAAAAAAATAAAAAATGTCTGTTGAACTGAGGTCCATTTCCTAAAACATCTTTTGAAAAAAATGTAACAAAAATTAAAACAAAGAAATGTTAAAAATAACTTTGCCAAATAAACATGATAAAACAAACCATATTTAATGATGGTTATTGTTTAATTTTGCAAAAGTGAGAGTAGGCGTATTGTTACAATGTTTTGACCTCATCATGAGGGTTTTAGTAAGATTGCATCAAAGATGAAGGGATGCATCACTGACCCAGTTCATGTTCCCAGTAGGCCAGCCAGTTGCCTCTCAGGTGCCTCTGTCGGCTGTGTTCCATCTCCTCACTACAAACACACAGGTAGGGGAGTTACGAGATGGGTCATGATATGTACAGCTCTGATGGGTAGAAATAAAGTAACTTGAGTACCTGGTTCTCAAAACCTGACCCAGACTTGAGTACCCAATTTTTCAAAATTTCAACGTGTTTTTTTTATATTTCAAGTTGGCCCAAAGGGGTTATATGCCACAAAATCAATACTTTGTATTTCTTTCTAAGCACCATGACAAAGTCAAAAGGCGTCCAGGCACTTATTTCAGCCAGTGTTAGAAATTGTCACTAGTCCTATAGTCCTTGCCAAACTGCCCAATAGTTGAGTTATCATAAGGACTAGTAGAAATTTGCCCTTTATAAGTATACACATTACAATTATAAGGGCTGGTGGACTAAAGCTGTTAGTTTCTATCACTGTTAGCCATTCTTAAAACTTATGTATCATGGTAGTTGTCCCAAACTTGCAAGTGAAAAATAAGACAAAAAGCCAATTGACATCTATTTGAGCATGTTTGATAATTTTCATTCCAATATTTCAAATGTTTTTACATTTCAATTGGGCCCTTAATGATTCCACATCTTCTATGTTTGTGAAAAATGCAAGTGTCCCTTCAACAGAGGCAGTTGCCTCTAGAGCTTGTCACATCCCCTTATACCTTCAAAGGAAGGCTTCAACAAAGGCAGTTGTCTCTAGAGCTTGTCACATCCCCTTATACTTTCAAAGGAAGACTTCGACAGAGGCAGTTGCCTCTAGAGCTTGTCACATCCCGTTATACCTTCAAAGGAAGGCTTCAACAGAGGCAGTTGCCTCTAGAGCTTGTCACATCCCGTTATACCTTCAAAGGAAGGCTTCAACAGAGGCAGTTGCCTCTAGAGCTTGTCACATCCCCTTATCCCTTCAAAGGAAGGCTTCAACAGAGGCAGTTGCCTCTAGAGCTTGTCACATCCCGTTATACCTTCAAAGGAAGGCTTCAACAAAGGCAGTTGTCTCTAGAGCTTGTCACATCCCCTTATACTTTCAAAGGAAGACTTCGACAGAGGCAGTTGCCTCTAGAGCTTGTCACATCCCGTTATACCTTCAAAGGAAGGCTTCAACAGAGGCAGTTGCCTCTAGAGCTTGTCACATCCCGTTATACCTTCAAAGGAAGGCTTCAACAGAGGCAGTTGCCTCTAGAGCTTGTCACATCCCCTTATCCCTTCAAAGGAAGGCTTCAACAGAGGCAGCTGCCTCTAGAGCTTGTCACATCCACTTATACCTTCAAAGGAAGACTTCGACAGAGGCAGTTGCCTCTAGGGCTTGTCACATCCCCTTATACCTTCAAAGGAAGGCTTAACAGAGGCAGCTGCCTCTAGAGCTTGTCACATCCACTTATACCTTCAAAGAAAGGCTTTAACAGAGGCAGTTGCCTCTAGAGCTTGTCACATCCCCTTATACCTTCAAAGGAAGGCTTCAACAGAGGCAGTTGCCTCTAGAGCTTGTCACATCCCCTTATACCTTCAAAGGAAGGCTTCGACAGAGGCAGTTGCTCCTAGAGCTTGTCACATCCCCTTATACCTTCAAAGGAAGGCTTCGACAGAGGCAGTTGCCTCTAGAGCTTGTCACATCCCCTTATACCTTCAAAGGAAGACTTCAACAGAGGCAGTTGCCTCTAGAGCTTGTCACATTCCCTTATACCTTCATCCTCCCCATCCCTAAGTTCACCTTGTACACGAATCAGTCAACAACTAGGACAACAAATACTGACCATCTAAGCTCATCTGGATGTATGCGGAGGATGCCGGATGCTCGATATCCGCGACCAAACTGGTTGAGCTCAGGACTGGTCTCCCTGACCTCATGACTGAGTTGTATTCGGTTACCGATCATCTGCACATTGCTGCCTATAGCACCAGTCACTGACGTGTCGTCACACTCCATACCCTCCGACACTGAAACCAAAGTCATACGTTTCAATGCCTTCCCCTGTCTTTTCATATCCATCTTAAGTCAATAACTACCGATGGCTTGATAAAGACCCCTCATCTTACATCACATTAAAATACTGGCTTCTGATTGGTTAAGGAGCGAGCAATTATTTTCCATGGAGCCAGCTTTTTTCACAAGCTGGGTACAAATTTCAAGTAGCCTGCAGAGAAGTAAATCGGAACACATCTTAGGTAACATGCTTATCACGTACAACTTGCTGAGTTTCTGAAAAGAACAGATGTTTATACGAATGCATGGGGTAAAGGGAAGTAACTCAGCTCATTTGCATCATTGCTGCAAGTGTTCCAAACTCAGTGAAACGGCGGACAAATTTTCCAGATATGTGTTGAGTTATCATGAATGTTTATCATGACTGACCTGACTCAGTGTCAGCAATGTCCTCCTGCATCTCTGCCCTGTGTGTAATGTGTGATGTGTGTTTGATGTGTGTGTGATGTGTGTGTGATTTGTGATGTGTGTTGAGACTGACCTGACTTGGTGTCAGCAGTGTTCTCCTGCATCTCCGCCATCTGATCCATCACTGTGTGTTTGATGAGTGATTTGTGTGTGTGTGTGATGTATGTTCTGTGTGTGTGATGTGTGTATTCTGGGTGTGATGTGTGATGAGTGATGTGTGATGTGTGTTGAGACTGACCTGACTTGGTGTCAGCAGTGTTCTCCTGCATCTCCGCCCTCTGATCCATCACTGTGTGTTTGATATGTGATGTGTGTGTGTGTGATGTGTGTATTCTGTGTGTGTTCTGTGTGATGTGTTCTGGGTGTGATGTGTGATGTGTGATGAGTGATCTGTGATGTGTATTGAGACTGACCTGACATAAAGTCAGCAGTGTTCTCCTGCATCTCCGCCCTCTGATCCATGACTCTGTGTGTTCTGTGTGTGTGATGTGTGATGTGTGATGTGTGATGTGTGATGTTTAATCTGTGTGTTCTGTGTGATGTGTGATATGTGTTGACACTGACCTGATTTAGTGACGGCAGTGTTCTCCTGCATCTCCGCCCTCTGATCCATCACTATGTGTTTGATGAGTGATGTGTGTGTGTGATGTATGTTCTGTGTGTGTGTGATGTGTGTATTCTGTGTGTGTTCTGTGTGTGTTCTGTGTTCTGTGTGATGTGTGTTGACACTGACCTGATTTAGTGACGGCAGTGTTCTCCTGCATCACCGCCATCTGATCCATCACTGTGTGTTTGGTATGTGATGTGTGTGTGTGTGTGTGTGTGTGTGTGATGTATGTTCTGTGTGTGTGATGTGTGTATTCTGGGTGTGATGTGTGATGAGTGATCTGTGATGTGTGTTGAGACTGACCTGATTTAGTGACGGCAGTGTTCTCCTGCATCTCCGCCCTCTGATCCATCACTGTGTGTTTGATATGTGATGTGTGTATTCTGTGTGTGTTCTGTGTGATGTGTGATGGGTGTTGACACTGACCTGATTTAGTGACGGCAGTGTTCTCCTGCATCTCCACCCTCTGTGACTGTGTGTAATGTGTGATGAGTTCTGTGTGATGTGTGTGTTCTGTGTGATGTGTGTGTTCTGTGTGATGTGTGTGTCCTGTATGTGTGATTTGTGATGTGTGTTGAGACTGACCTGATTTAGTGACGGCAGTGTTCTCCTGCATCTCCGCCATCTGATCCATCACTGTGTCCTGCTGGGAGCATAACTGTCGGATAAGGTCATCGTTGGGCAAGTGTTCCTCCATGTGTATACTGCAACACAACACAACACTACAGCTGTCTCAAGTCTACAGTCTATCCACAATGGCATTGCTAGATCAAGCAGGAACATCAACATTGAGTTTTACTGACAACCAAACAAGAAATATCAAGAGTATTTGGAGCATCCAAATATATGGCTCTTAGGCCCTTAATAGTATTATTGAGTGCTTGCGTGTCATTTCCAGGCCGAGACAGAGCCCTATGACATACAAGACGTCAATGACTTAGTGACAGAGCTGGGATCGAAGGCGAACACCCCCAGGAGACGTAATGATAGTCACGTTAACTGATAACCAAACAAGAAATATCAAGAGTATTTGGAGCATCCAAATATATGGCTCTTATGCCCTTAATAGTATTATTGAGTACTTCCAGTACAGCAAGATTTGCTTATTCCTGTCTCCGTACCTACCTGCCAAATATCCTGCACAGTGGTATGTAGGCCGCCAGTGCCAACTCAGGGGTGAAGACAGCAGCTAGCTCCTGCAGCCCTCCCTCCTTGGTCGACGGCTTGTAGTCCACAACATCATCTACAGTCAACCACACTATTATCTTCACCATATCCGGGAATTATGCATGTCATAACTCAACATAAACAAGAGATGATTGGACAGACACAAGAGTATTCAGAAATAATAAAACGTAATTTATCAATATTAATTAACCTCATTTTCCTGACATTTTCACAAGAGGTACCTCAATACCAAAACATAGTGCCACAGCACTGTAGCTCACCTGGCTATGTAGTCAACAGTCTAAACTGCCAACAAAGAAAGCCACTTAACAAAGGATGGGTGAGACATATGTGAAGATACAAAACATAGCATTCAACAAAAACATGTTCTGAGTGAAGAAGATGTTGTTCAATGCCGCAGTCAGCAATATTTCAGTCATATCATGGCCTGTGAATAGTCAAATGCCATGAAGAACAGTGTATGAATATACTATAGCACTTAACAAAGGTTGGGTGAGCTAAAAACACATATGAAGATCCAAAAATATAGTATAGAATTTTTATCATATTTCCAGATTGTTGTAAAACTTCAACAAAATGAAGCCCTGAGGGAAGAAAATGTTTAATGCTGCAGTCAGCAATTTTTTTAGTTATATCAGGGCCTGTGAATAGTCAAATGCCATGAAGACCAGTGTTTAAATAATAATGAGCAACAATCAATGAAATGACACACAGTCAGCCATGTGATACATTGTAACCATGTGATTCTCAGAAGTCAATTCTTATGGCAAACACAGGGCTCTGGTGATTATGGGGAACGTTCATGCAATGGTATGTCTACAGACCTTTGTCATCAATGGCCCCCAGTGATGTGAGGCTGTGGAACTTGTTGGATGGCGCCTTCTTGCTCAGTTTGGACATGTAGCCACTGAACCCGCTGGCGCTGATGGGTGTGCCGATCTTGTACTCCTGGGACGAGGGGTCCATCTTGATGTTCAGGTAGGATTCCTCGGACGTCTCACTGCCACCCAGGGTTATCCCTGCGACACAGACAGACCAGTAGCACACATACCATCCATCAGTAGAAATGAAACCATTTACTGGAACTCTTCAGGAACTGACCACTTGTTGTCCATGGTCCCGTTTCACAAAACTATCTTACCGCCATGACTGTCATTAACGTTTGGGAGCAACAATTGCCCTAGCACACATACCATCCATCAGTAGAAATGAAACTATTTACTCCTCAGGAACTGACCACTTGTTGTCCGTGGTCCGTTTCACAAAACGATCTTACCGCCATGACTGTCGTTAAAGTTTGGGAGCTACAATTGCCCTAGTGCCGCCATCCCTTTGTGGAACGGGGCCCTGGAGGAGGGAGGGGTTGGGGACTAGGATTTCCATGAAGAAAATAATTTGTTAATACTGGAAACTAAGACTTGGGTTTCACAAAAAAATATTAATTGTACACTGTTTTCCTGACAAGAAAGATGTGTTGTGGGCTCAAATTATGACAATATATGTTTTTAATACCATCGCCCTACCGCCAACCCATGTAATTATATTCTACTTAATGTTGAAATTCTGTCACATGGATATCATGGTTCACCCATCAACTCCAACATAGCAACATGATCACGAGATTGGCAGAGTTAAAATTTTCTTAAAGTAATACAAAACTAATGTTTCACGACTGGTAGACCATGACTACAACAATGAACTGACCAGTGGGAGAGAGAGAGCCGCTCTTGTATATCTGACCATTGGGCGGCGAGGACGAATTCCCGTGGATGACTGAAAAGGCTTCAAACAACTTGAGCATGGAAGATGAGAGATGCTTGCGTGTCATTTCCAGGCCGAGACGGAGCCCTATGACATACAGGACGTCAATGACTTTGTGACAGAGGATGGATCGAGCGCGCACACCCCCAGGAAACGTAATGGTAGGTGACGTTACCAGCTTGATCACAGGAAGCAGGGAATCCATCACAATTGTGTCCTGGAGGAGGAAACAAGTTCAGATGAAACAAGAAGACGTCATCAATATCCCCTGACCTTTTACAAATGTTTTAAATATGTGCACAATATCCCAAAAAGTCATACATCTCTTCTTACCCTAAAAAGGTTCATCCTAAAGCTTTTAAGTACAACTGACATGATTGATAACAAAAACCGACCCGTGAAGATTCCAGGGTAGAATAGGTCTTCAGCAACCCATGCTTGCCGTAAAAGTCGACTATGCTTGTCGTTAAAGGCAACTAACGGGATCGGGTGGTCAGGCTCGCTGACTTGGTTGATGCATGTCATCGATTCCAATTGCATGGATCGATGATCATGATGTCAATCACTGGATTGTCTGGTCCAGATAATTTACAGACCACCGTAGCTGGAATATTGCTGAGTGCGGCGTAAAACAACGACCCCCCCAACCCCCCAAAAAGATAACTAAACCAGGAGTCCCCACGGGGGCCCATTTAGAATTAAGCCGGTCTCTGAGCAAGGTAACTCACGTCTAGATTGTCCATAAGAGACTTGACTGAGAGGAAAGGGATGATGTATCGGAGCAGGACCACCCCACCAAACAATCCTGACTCCGACCGCTGGGTGAGCCTCCTCTGAGCTACGGCCACCTGCAAGCATTACACAACACCTTCTACATCATCCGGCTCTTCATCAGTAACACTGTTATGTTGTATGAATCTGTACACAAAATTCAATATACCGGTACATCAAACTTGACAAAGACATGTCAACATTTTAATGACATGTAAATGTTTGCTGATCTGACAGTTACCTTAATAACAAAGTTAGAAAGATTTCCAGTTTAATAACATCATTTCTGGTTTGGGAAAAAAACACTTAATGCAGTGCATTTAAAGTCAACTTCTCTAGCTACCTCAGTAACAAAGTTTTGAGAATGTCTGTTTTAATAACCTCACTTCTGGTTTGAGAAAACACATCCTCAATGCAGTGCAACTTTGAAACAGAAATCCTATGCCTGTAGCTACCTTGATAACAAAAAAGCATATCTTGTTTAATGAGTGAGTGAGTTGAGTTTAACGCCGCTTTTAACATTATTCCAGTTATATCGCGGTGTGTCAGCCTAATGTCGGAGGAAAGCCCAACGTTTACCACTTCGGTGAAACCCACGAGCACGGGTATGGTGCTGACAAACCTAGAAACATAATTGGGGTGAACCGGGATTTGAACCAACAATATAGGTTTCTGGCGTGTCCAGGGGACGCGACTCTGCACAGTGAATCGCGGCGCCTTAGTCAACTGGGCCACCCGTGACCCTCTTGTTTAATGACCTTGACCTTCTGTCTCAACTATGAACTGCCACGAGATCTTATATAGAGTTACATTAAATTCAAAACAAAAATGTTCCAATGAAAAAATCAAGGTATTATGTACAATACCTACTATATACTGAGTAACCTTGACCTTCAAGGTCATCCAGTCACATGTGACAACATGTGACTGGTGATGAAGAAGGTGGTGTTACAAATATAGAGTGAAATGAAACTATTTACAATTCATTTCGTGTGTGACCTTCAAAGTGACCTTGACATTTGACACAGGTCATGAGTAACTGAATGCATGTCTACTGACCATATCCACAATGGTAGGGAGGTACTGTACGAGGATGACGTGTTCCCCGTACACCAACGTGACGTAGCCAAGACACTCCAGCACCTTGAGAGCATGGGAGTCACCTGTCACCAGACGGGACGACTGCAGGTTCTTTTGAGCTGTGGGAGAAAACAAGAACGTTTCGTTACAACGGTGTTCAGCTTCATGAAATACACCATATAACTAGTCCTACCAACATTTATGCTTTATGTGAATCACATCCGTCAACAGCAAATCTAAACTGAGGCATGGATAGTTTGTTTAATTTTTCTTATAAAGAATTACAAAAGATACTCTCATAATAAAGCTAGGACCAGTGATCTATCTATGCTTCCAAACAATGTCCCATGGCAGGAAAATTGGGTGAAAAACAAATCGATATTTAAAAAAAAATTGAGATATTTATTAAAGTTCTTATTTTTCTAATTTCAAGGGTATTGTAACATTGCATTCAAAGCAATAATGTTAAACCAAGCATTAAAGCCTCTTCCTATATATTGGTCCTGTTATCAGTGAAATACAAGTCACCTTGACCAAGGCATAACATTAGTTACAGCAATAACAGGATGAATTGGGAAATGTTTCATTCCAATTTGAAAATTTTGACTGACAATTGCTGCAGACTTGGGGCCAAAAATAGGCCTCTGAGCAGGTTTAGATAAATCCCTGAGAACTGAGTGAAATAATGACTGTACCTGGATCCGTATACTCATCCAGCTGCTCGAGTCCCAGGAAGCAGAGCGCCAACATCCGGACCAGGTTCCGGGACAAGAACTTGGCTGTGAGGACAGGCCCTAGCTTGTTGGACAGCCACTTGACACTCTCTGCCGATATGTCACGGATGTTGACGATTTCTGCCGGACTCGCCACAGAAAGGTTTGCTAAAATATCTTCAGTCTCACTCCGAACCATCTGATCCGAGACATCTATTGTGAGATCCGTCTGATCACTTGCATCATCATCTTGCCTCCTGTCATAGGCAGAGTCTATAGAATCCTCACCATTCCCTGAATCAAACTTGGACCCATTTGGCACATCATCTGTGTCCAGGATTGGACTGAAGCTCTCAAACACCGGAGCATTGTCTTCCACATTCTCTCCCACCGACCATGCATCACTTTCAGTGGTTGAAGAAGTCTTTTCCCTTGCTCTGTCAAGAAGATTGTATGCACTGTTTATGGATGTCCTATCACAAGTGTCTATCCCCATCCCATTGCTTTCCCCGTCCCCGCTCTCATCACTCAGGCTTGACACCTGGCCTATACTGACAGAGTCCGTGGACAATTTCTTCTTTGACTCCTCTGTACCACAGTCATCTTCATTTAACAAAATATTATCTGGGAACTCCTCTTCAATGTCGTCAACATCTCCCTGAGTACTTTCATCCCTACCAACATCCCATGACTGACTGCTCTCATCATCCAGGTAACCCTCTCCTGAAAGCCCATTGGTGGTTGCCACATTGTCTGACTTCTGATTGGTCCCTTCCGACCACACTGCTGTTCTTTCAGACAGCTCAGCCTCCCTCTGCATCTCTTCAATCAGCTCCTCCTGATAGTATTTACTGGGCAGAGGGAAGTCTTTGTACCCCGCGACAGCCTCTACCAACAAGGTAGAGAAATTGGACAGAAACGTCTTCAAACCTAACCTCACCATCAGCTGCATTAGGAAGTTTCGATGATACAGCTTCACATGTTTGGCAGTCGAGTTCTCTCCTGTGTACAAACTTGTAAGATATGGCAGGAACCTTTTGGCCGTGTCCAGCGGGCCTAGTTCCTTACTGATCACCCCGAAGAAGGACCATGCTGCTTGGACCGTGGTGGTTTCCTGTTGGAACAGCTCTTCAATGTATGGCAGCAGGAGCTCGAGCCCCTCCTTGCCAAGCTTGCCCTGGTACTTGAGGAGGAACTGCTCCAACACTGGGACCTTCTCTCTCTCCTTGTGCTTCAGCAAACTGGCCTTCTCCGACGGCAGCTTGTTACTGAACTGGATGTGGTCAGCTTCAGCATCCTTCTGCTTAAGTTGACACAGACACTTGTACAGCTCGCTGAAGTAGGTAGGGAAGGGGAGCAGCCCAGTGTAGGACTGCAGGAGAAGAGCGGGCGTGGGTGGGGGGAGTCCGTTCTTGGTGACAGACGGGAACTTGAAGGTGGACTCTCCCTGGTGGAAAGGGTGTGGCTTCTTCTGTACCCGGTGGATCAGGTTGTGAACTGCTTTATGGAGGGGTCTGAAACAAGGAGATGTAAAATACCAGGTAGACATGGACATGGGTTTTTGGTCTGTGTGCTATCTCATGGGTTACTAGCATCACATTGGTTCGCACAAGTCAGAACAGGATACTCAGAACAGAATACTTTTAACACAATTCCATCTAAATCTGATATCATATACACATATACAACATAAAGGAGTCTACATTAGCAGTCACACACTTGGATTCCTATGTCAGGCTGTATCATGTAAGTTTCCCTGCGATAGTGAGTGAGTCGGCTGGATTTAATGATACTTTGAGTGAGTGAGTGAGTGAGTGAGTTGGGTTTAACGCCGCTTTTAACAGTATTCCAGTTATATCACGGCGTGTCAGCCCAATGTGGGAGGAAAGCCCGAAGTGATGCAGGTCTCAGATGTTTACCACTTCGGTGAAACCCACAAGCACGGGTATGGTGCTGACAAACCTAGAAACATAATCGGGGCAAACCGGGATTTGAACCCACAATCATAGGTTTCTGGCGCGCCCAAGGGACGCAACTCTGCACAGTTAATCGCAGTGCCTTAAAGGACCCCAAAGTGATGCAGGTCTCAGACATTTACCACTTTGAGGAAACCCACAAGCACAGGTATGGTGCTGACAAACCGAGAAACAGAATTGGAGTGAACCGAGATTCAAACCCAGGATTATAGGTTTCTGGTGTACCCAAGGGACGTACTCTGCACAGTTACGACTTGGCCACCTGTGCCCCCTACAGCATGCAATATACACCATAGCTACCATTAGGAATCTGTGCTACCAAAGTTCAATCAGACATCACCCTATTGCATTATTTCAAAGGATGTCACTAGTTTCTCACCTTGGCAACTCAGAAAAATCGGAAGCAGCAAGTTGCATAATTTTGTCATATCTCCGAGTGAGAGAGACATAGGTGTCTTTCATCCTGAGACGAGATGACAGAAACATCTCGCACATGAGACATGAGAACTTCACCATGTCCTCAGACACAATACAAGGCAGCTCAGTGTCCTTGGCACCTGGTTCCTGTAACCATGACAACAGTCAATTACCAACCAATCAAATTCACAAAATATCCAAGTCCAAGCATCTTTTATAGATTTCACCACAAGACATATTTAAGTCAAACGGCCATAACAGATTGAAAAAAAATCAGTGTTCTTTAACTTTAAGGAGTATATTTAGATTATTTTAAAACTGACAACACGGGTGGTGGGATACTGACTGACCTTAATGTTGCCTGTATCTGAGATCTGCTGAAGGGTTCTGTTACAGAATGCCAGCTGTGCCTCCATGTAGTCGAGTTCAGCGTGGGGGCAGAAGTCACGGGGCAGCTGTATGCAGGCAGCTTCTGGCCGCAGCTGGTCCAGCATGTCGAAACTCCCCATAGAGCTGAAAAAGCGCACATTGTATACACAATACAAAGATTTATTTTGAAAGGAAACTCCAAATTTAATGATATCAGTTATCAGTTGTTTGTTTTCTGATGTTGCTGTCAGCAATATTGCAGCTATATGACAACAGTCTGTAAATAGCTGAGTCAAGACCAGACAATTCAATGATTGATATAATGAGTATCAATCCCCGCAAGTGGAATATGAGGACATACAATCAAGTCACCGAGGCTGACCACCCGATCCATTTAGTCGCCTCTAACAACCAGCATGAGTTACTGGGGACCTAGATCCTTACCCAGAATCCCCTGGGTATTCAAAATGTTCAGGAATGCTTTTGTGGTCTGGTGGATAGAACGGAAGGTCAGGGGTTCGATCCCCGGCTGTGTCATACTCAAAGAAGTTAAAAGATGGTACTCTGTCTGGCACTCGGCATTACGGGGCAAAACAAGGACTGGCTGCCTCAGAGTCAGTATACCGTGTCTTTGTGGGATATTCATGTTAAACTGCAGCATGGTATCTCAGTGGGCTAGCACTATAAATCAGCATCATACATGCATGCACATTGCTATATAAGTGCAATATCCTTGAATGCAACGTTAAACCCCATTTCACCTCACCTCAAAATGATCGGAGCATACATGTTTAAAACAAAAGAGGAATTCAAAATATTATGAAATTGTATTTATGTGTTAATTGTACAGGTGTTAGATTCAACTGTAATCAGTGATGTATTGTCATAGCATATACATTAATTTCATGGAGTTCAGAGCAGAGAGTCCTTACCTGAATTCATTTGTACTAATGCTAATTCTAAGATGCTTCACTAAAAGATCAAAGGCACCTAAGGTCCTATAAAGTACACTTTTTGAGTTTTGTCACATCCTGCTGAGTTCATGCTGCTGTTCAAATTACCTCCCCCCATGATCTAACATATCCTTAATAACCTTGTTCTATCATTCCTGTCAATGAAGATGGCACATTCATATCAATACTACCGACCAGTAAAATAATTTAATAGAAATATGGCTTGTGCCATACTGTCAAGATAGGCTGACACACAATCAACAAAGTCAATACCCTATTCGACGCAATAAGCGCCCAGGGTGCTCTCAAAATTAGAAATAGGGGGCTCTTTTTAGAATATGATTTTGGTAAAAAAAAAACGCTCAAAGATCGTAAATTTTGGGGTTTATGCTGACATCCTGAAATGTTTATATACGACAGATATATTTTTCCAGGATTTAATAGACCATAATTAAGGGTGCATATAACACACAAGTGGGTATTATACACGAATAAATAAGTCTTGTGTACATTGATCAATCAGAAGGGGTGCTAATTGGGATTGTTCACTAGCCAATATAGTAGCAAATATCGCCGTGGGTGCTTATTAGAGTGGGGCGCTTATTACGTCGAATACAGTAAGCCTAACCACCTGATCCATTTATTCGCCTGTTCACTGGAGACCTATTTCAAACCCAAAATCGCCACAAGGTGACAAAAAAGGTAAAAATATAATTCCACTGACACATTTATGTGACATGATAATATAGCTCTGGAAGCCTTCCATAATGCTCAATGATCACCTTCAAACATGTGATCTTGTGTTACAAAACTATTTCATTTCAAATGTGTTTCAGCATGTTCCATAGCAGTATACAAACTATGACGGCCATGATGATACATAGCAGTATACAAACTATGACGGCCATGATGATACATAGCAGAATACAAACTATGACGGCCATGATGATACATAGCAGTATACAAACTATGACGGCCATGATGATACATAGCAGTATACAAACTATGATGGCCATGATGATACATAGCAGTATACAAACTATGACGGCCATGATGATACATAGCAGTATACAAACTATGACGGCCATGATGATACATAGCAGTATACAAACTATGACGGCCATGATGATACATAGCAGTATACAAACTATGACGGCCATGATGATACATAGCAGTATACAAACTATGACGGCCATGATGATACATAGCAGTATACAAACTATGACGGCCATGATGATACATAGCAGTATACAAACTATGACGGCCATGATGATACACAGCAGTATACAAACTATGACGGCCATGATGATACATAGCAATATACAAACTATGATGGCCATGATGATACATAGCAGAATACAAACTATGACGGCCATGGTGATACATAGCAGAATACAAACTATGACGGCCATGATGATACATAGCAGTATACAAACTATGACGGCCATGATGATACATAGCAGTATACAAACTATGACGGCCATGATGATACATAGCAGTATACAAACTATGACGGCCATGATGATACATAGCAGTATACAAACTATGACGGCCATGATGATACATAGCAGTATACAAACTATGACGGCCATGATGATACATAGCAGTATACAAACTATGACGGCCATGATGATACATAGCAGTATACAAACTATGACGGCCATGATGATACATAGCAGTATACAAACTATGACGGCCATGATGATACATAGCAGTATACAAACTATGACGGCCATGATGATACATAGCAGTATACAAACTATGACGGCCATGATGATACATGCAGAAACAAACTATGACGGCCATGATGATACATAGCAGAATACAAACTATGACGGCCATGATGATACATAGCAGTATACAAACTATGACGGCCATGATGATACATAGCAGTATACAAACTATGACGGCCATGATGATACATAGCAGTATACAAACTATGACGGCCATGATGATACATAGCAGTATATGACGGCCATGATGATACATAGCAGTATACAAACTATGACGGCCATGATGATACATAGCAGTATACAAACTATGACGGCCATGATGATACATAGCAGTATACAAACTATGACGGCCATGATGATACATAGCAGTATACAAACTATGACGGCCATGATGATACATAGCAGTATACAAACTATGACGGCCATGATGATACACAGCAATATACAAACTATGACGGCCATGATGATACATGCAGAATACAAACTAAGACGGCCATGATGATACATAGCAGTATACAAACTATGACGGCCATGATGATACATAGCAGTATACAAACTATGACGGCCATGATGATACATAGCAGTATACAAATTATGACGGCCATGATGATACATAGCAGTATACAAACTATGACGGCCATGATGATACATAGCAGTATACAAACTATGACGGCCATGATGATACACAGCAGTATACAAACTATGACGGCCATGATGATACATAGCAGTATACAAATTATGACGGCCATGATGATACATGCAGAAACAAACCTTCATCACGATGACACATAAGATACATATTTGTCATTTTACTGTTATGAGATGTAACCTTACCTTGGCTCATGAAGACCTGCTGCTTCATTTGGATCTGAGAAGAACCCTTGACCAATAATCATCTGAAAGTACCAGCAAACATGGTGAAATATGGACATGTCTTTGATAATGTTGGTCTCAAGTCTCTGTCATATTCAATAAAAGACCACCCCCACCCATCAGTAATGAAGGTAGGAATTAAAATTTGGCCTCTGTCTTTAATAATTCTTTTAACTGCCTGGCGTAACACCACTACATTCAGAATACCATCCAAATGAACATAGAAAGTCTGATTCACCTGAGGATATACCTCCGATGGCCAGACAAGCCTAGTTTTGTATCTTACCAGTTCATGGATAAAACGATAAAACTCAAGTTAACGAATTCAATTTCCAAACAGTTATTTTGACATAAAATGCAATTTAAATGCCAATGTTGGTCTGGATACAATGCCACATATTTTTTAGATAATTGTGACCAACCATGAGATGAGGGATGTAATTGATGAAAAATATCTTTTTGACTTTTCAAAATATTTTAAAACTAAAGCATCTTTGGGACACAAAAAATGGAACTCACAAGCTTCAATACATATTTATTATTTAGAGATACATGATATCACATATGGCTATCTTCACTGAAGTAAGTTGACGTCAAACGTCTTTATGATGTCATAGCACAATTGTATCCTAGCACCCATAAAATCCCTTTTCTCCTGGTGGGTCACAGTTTTCATTCAAAACCTAAAATAAGCAAGAAATATTTACACACTGGATTGTCAATCCAGGACTGGTCATCACAGTTGATTTATTGTAAGCGCAAGATGAGACTAACCTGAGACTGGATCATGTTCCGTGTGACCTTGGGAGGGTGTTTCTGGAAGACTGTTGCCAGGGGCAACCTGTGGGGGTGTGGTTGACTGAACAGCTGCACCACTCCGTGGTTGGACATGCTCCGATGCTGGTCCACCAGCTGCAGGTACACGTTCTTAGCCTTCACTGACGCAGCGCCACTCAACTGTAGCACGGAAACAATATGTATTGTGCGGGGAATACAACCACTTTCTGATCTAACTGTCCTGTTTATTCTTAATACAGGATATTCACCTTCCCAAAACCCACAAGCATGATCAGGGGGCGGTCGGGTAGCCTAGTGGTTAAAGCGTTCGCTCTTCATGCCGAAGACCCGGGTTCGATTCCTGACATGGGTACAATGTGCATGATGTGTGAAGCCGATTTCTGGTGTCCCCCGCCGTGATATTGCTGGAATATTGCAAAAAGCGGCGTAAAACCATACTCACTCACTCACAAGCATGATCACCTCATTATCATATGTCATTATCAGATGTATTGTCAAATTTGTATTCTCATCTCTCGCAAACAGTACCTAAACATTTCAAGTTTTCCTGGAATATGCACATAAATATATTACATCACAAGCTCAGTGATTAAGTCAGTCAGTCAACATAGTTCCAAAGGAAGAGATGAAATTTATGTTTTTCATACAGTGGCGTAACCACCATAAAGACAAAACTACAATTCACACCACATATTTTTTCAACTGTCATTTATCGCCTATCAAGTATCATGGCAATCCATCATCCACCTGCAAGAAATGTCGCCTTTACAGTATCAAAGAGAATCTTAACCATAAACTGTGTCTACTTTGTCAATAACCTTTTATCACATTTCTTTAGTGTGCCTGTCCTGTCGTTCAGTCTATATACACCCACAGTGACAAGCTAAAGCAAGGTAAATCGTCTGCCCAAACCAACCCCAAGCCGCAGAGATGTACAAGCACAGATAAAGGAACCAGATCCCGCTTACACTAAGTTTGCCTACACTTGTCAAAGGCCACAGCTACACTGATATTTGTATCGTAAGACTATTATTTTGATCATGATAACAATTATTAAAGTATTTTGCCTATATCCCCAATGGTCAATTCTGACTCAACTGTCGAAAGCTGAACTATGTAAAGCTGTAAACTATGCAAGCAGTACCGACCTGACCTTTCATATTTGCATACATATCAATACATGACCAAAACAAATAACATTTTGTAACTGTTGGCTTTATCCTGACGAGAAACCTACTCATCATTACTATTATTATCTATATTTCAACCTACCAAAGCTAAATGTTCACTTTTCGTCTTTTTATTTATTTCTAGTCCATCAAGAGAGAGCAGGGAGGAAAAAGAAATAAATATAAAATTTATTTTACTTAATCTTCTTATTCTTGCTTTTAGTGACACAAGTGTTTTACGCTAGGGACTGACCTTATAACCAAATGTAAGATCAACCCAATGATGAAGATCCTCTGACACCTTCTCACTCTCTAGCGCTGATATGTGTTTGATGATAAAGTCCTGTGTCGACGAGCTCCAGTGTGGGATCTCGAGGTCTGGGAGATCCTCATGGATTGATGCAAACAGAGTTGGATCGGTGTAAAACTCTGGGATGCATTCATCAGGCGTCCACTCTTGCAGCCTCTGAAGGCTACTGGGGTACTCATGGGGCACCCACTTGGTTCTCACATGAGCACACAGGATAGTCTTGGAAGTCCGCCTGGCCTTGTAGACATAGTATGTGATGTCTGACAACACATCGGACACATGGTGTGGCACCTGATCCCCGTCATCAGACAAAGCTGGCATCATGTTGTAAGTGAAGTCAAGCTGACTGTCGCCTTTGTTGAGGCGGAACTTTGACATGGATAGATCTCTGAACCCTCCATTAGAACTAGTAAAGTCCATTATCCAGGGTAAGACCGGGTGGTTATTTGGGTCCCCCATTTTTCTTCCTGCTAAATGATTCAGTATCATCAAATATTTGAAGTTGGTGATCCTTCTGTTTGTCCAATCGTCAACAATCCTGGGTAGGTCGTTCACCTCATACTGTCTGTACTGACACGAGGAGAGGAATGCGCTGGCTTCTGTCCAGTACCTCTCTCCCTCGGGGCACAATGGTGCCCCTTGCTGATCAATAGGACTATGCAAGGATGATAGCTGCTGTAGCCCTGAGGTTTGAATCACATCACAACCAGGAGAACCATACTGCTTGGACATCTTGCTTCCATTCTTCTTTCCTTTCTCAATCTTTGGTGTACTGCTCCCTAACAATTTTTCAGTCAAACTGGAACTGAATATAGATGACTTCGACACAGTCGCTAAGGTTTTTGATTCAGATATTGTCTCCACAACATCTTCCTGTCTACCACCTCGTAGATATGATGATCGTAAGGAATGAATCTGAGGTGCTGTCACATACAGCCAGAACTTACTGTCAAGTAAAATATTTTGCATGGCGATGTCCCCAACTGAGAGCCCCTTCTCATGGAAGGCTTTCATTGTCTGTAGAATCTGGTACAAGAGGAACAGGGTCAGCATGTGTGAGGAGTTGAATATGGCTGGGCTGTAGGATATGATGTTGCACAGGGTGAAGGGGATGAACGGATGGATGAGGAACATGTGTTCCGAGGACTCCAGGAACACGGTGATTGGGAGGACGTTGTGATCGGTCAGTTTGTCGTCTCTGTCTGTGTCTCCAGTGCCCGGTGTTGATGACGGGTTGTCAAGGTCTATATAGACATTAGGCTTGAATCTCCACATGTACTGCTTCAGCAAGGAAGAAAACTGAAAATGTGAATGACAAAGGTTATTGCCTGCATGACGTTTGATTAATGTCAGGGATCTACTATCAACATGACATTATCATGAGACAGAAACAAAAATTACAAGCACCAGCGATTCTTTTGGTCTTAAATGACATCTAACATATTACCATCATTAATGACAACCATCATATTATCATCATAAATGACATCTATCACATATTAAAAAAATGACATATCATATCATCATTAATGACATCTATCATATTACCATCATTAATGACATATTACCCTCATAATTAAGATTTTTCATATCATATATTGAAGTTGTGTTTGTTGACGTTCATCAGCTGATGAAGACTGTGCCTCACGTTGGTTGATTGGTTGGTTTGTTGTTTAATGCCACACACCAGCTATATGACGGCGGTTTGTAAATAATCGAGTCTGGACCAGACGCAATTGGGATCGATGACATGCTTCAACCAAGTCAGCGAGCCTGGCCACCCGATCCCCTTAGTCGCCTCTTACAACAAGCATGGTCGCCTTTTACGGCAAGCATGGGTTGGTTATAGACCTATTATACCACGGATCTTCACGGGTCGTACCTTACGTAAGCAAATTTACCATGAAATGCTCCAGTGATAAACTTGCTTACATTAGGCACTGTCTTCATCAGCTGATGAACATCAACAAATACAACTTCAATCCATATATTGATATATACATAAATCATGACAAAACAATCCCTATAAACACCAAACTTTAATTATTTAAAGTGAACTAACTACCCGGTATATTAATGCGGAGAGTTAATGCTTGGTTTTACAAAAGTCATAAAATGATGGCTATGGCAATGTCATTCAATTGAAATAAAAGTTGCACCCAGTAAAGCTAGAATTGGATAGAAATCCATACAAGGGTGAATCTGAAAATGGAATTATATAAACGTTCTGTGAACATTGGGTGTGTGTTTGAGTCATACCAAGGCTAGATGAGCGGACGATGACGGGGATTACCGCTTGAGGGGGGCACAGTTGGAATTCCAAATGCATATTGGCCTACATGACAGTTTGGAGCTTAGTGATTTCTTTTGATAAGTACGGCAAACAAACCATTTTCTATTTTGCACCAGAATGCAAAATGTTCACAGGCCATGTATAAACAATTTAGACAACTTAAGCATCTTACACTTTCTGTTGCTGTCATGTCCATCTGTAGTTTAGGCCCTCGGAACTTCTTGTAGGAATCCAGCCAAATGTTCCTGACATTCTCTTGTGATACATTTGACAAATGTTCAAAGAGAGATTTGGCAACTGAAGTAGGGTAGAGTGGACCATCCCTGAGTCTGAAAAGATCAGAGGAGTTTTACACAATATGTGTTGTTTGTGTTGTTTCTGTGCTGTTCAAAGCTCCGCTCAGCATATATATGAGGTCAGCCTGTAAATACTCAAGTCTTAACCAGACAATCCAGTGACTGACAATTAACCAAATCACCAAGCCTGACCACCCAATCTATTTAGTACCCTCTTAATATGACAAGCATAGGTTCCTGGAGACAGATTCTATTTGTCGTAATAACCACAGGCATTTAAAACATTCAAAGTATATGAGAATCATGAATGTCAGCCATTTATCAAGCAAATCATGAACAAGTGACACAGACTTAACATAAAAGATGAAAATAGGGAAAAAAGACAAAGAGTGAAAGACAAACAAACATGTTGAAAGTATTTGAACACATTTCATATAACCCTGATAAAATTGGCCCTCTTGATTCTGCACTCAGTATGTAGGAAGTATTTTGGTTTCATAATGTTCACTGTTCATATGTTTCATAATGTTGCAAAGCTATTATCAAATAAACAATTAATTGTGACTAATAAACAAGGAAGCTGGATCATTACTCAACTTGAACTGTGCCATGTATACACAACATAGAACACTTTAGAAGATCATCTTGAGTGGTTTACCTGGAAACCCTTTCCTGTGTTTTTCTGATTATTTTGATTGTTATTTTCTTCCAAGGTTTTGAGAACTTGATGCACGAAGCAGCCAAATACTGTTCCGCTTCAGCCTGACCCAGAACATCCAGCCCCTGTAGGGAGGGGACCTTGCCATGGTTCAGGTGCTTCAGCCAATCATGGGACACCTGAACAACAGGAAAACAAACGTGATGATGATGATGATGAGGAGGAGGAGGAGAAGGAGGAGGAAGAGGAGTGAGCAGAATTTGATGTCACTTTGAACAGTATTTCATAAAGTCTGCCGCACGTTTTGTTTTTATTTCCATTTTCAAAAAAATATATAAATCCTCATACTTAAACACAATGCACAAAAAAAAATAGAAAATGGAAACAAAAATGAAACATGCAATGAACTTTATGATGACGTGGGCAGTGCCTGAGAACCAAGACTATTATTTTTTTTAGCCATATATGATCACATGTCAGTTCAATGTGGGAGGAAAGCCTTTCATGACGTACAGGTCTTTGACATTTACAACTTCAGAGAAAACCCATGACCATGAGTATGATGTTGACAAACCAAGTACCGTATTCAGGGCAAATCTGGGATTCAAACCTAGGATCATAGGATTCCGGCACACAGAATGGGAGCCAAGACAAGATAGATAGCCTTTTTATCACATTAGAAAAATTAAATCCCAAAGTACTTCATGTCTTACTCTTAACTAAGTTTAACCATGCCTGGACCAAAGCAAACCAGTGGTTGATATCATGCCCATGGCTGATTGTTTATCAGTGCTGATTGAGTAGACAACCTGGACTCCACATTCGTGATACTGACTTGCGTTGCTAAATATAGTTCAGAAATCCCATAAATGGGGATTCCCCTATTCTAAGACCATCCGAATTCTCCCTCCATAAATACTTGATAAATCATGACCGCATATATGATATACTAGACAAATTACTAAGTCCATGTCTGGTTGTTCTAAAGATATTTATTCTCTATATCATTATTATTATGTCACCATGATTACATATTACTTGGTTTAAATCACACTGATTTTCCTTATTTGTGTTACAGATAATTATATATCTTTATATATCACATATACTTTTTGAATCTTTTATAAGTAATCCTTTTCTCATGTACACTTCTATGACGTCATCATAGCCAACAATATTTTTTGTACACCATTAGCACCTCTATACAGTTAACCAAAAACATATGTTCCATAATGTCTTCGCTACAATACAATACATATCATCATAAGCTATAACCATAACACAGTTGAAAAATTAGGAAACTAATTCCAAACCAAAACTGTTGGAAATGCACACTAAACTGTCAACTTCAACTGTCTACTGTGGGTTAGGTAAACATGTAGACAAGGTTCTCATTGTCAAAGGCTCTGTGCACAAACCTTACTGTTTAATCAGCGCAGAGCTGTTAGGCTTATAGCATACACCATTTGACAATTGAGAACCATGTCTGGTAAACACTGTAAGGAATAACTTCTGTTTATAACAAATTACACATTAGTGTTGACCAGGAGACATTTAAGGGTTACATATTTTGTATATCTTATCAATGTCTATCTCAAAATGATGTACTGTGTCCTTTTGTGTAAGTAGCATACTTTACAGGATATTTTTCTTATCTACTGTAAACAATGTGCCTATTAATTTGTTGGCACGCTGTTTAGTGTGTACCATATTAACTCTGCACTGAGAATAAAATCTCACACAGTGAAGGTGTGTACTATCCTGAGAGTAATAAAAGTCAACATGCCAAAGTGATCTAAAGGAAATGTAATTTTACATGGGGTCATCATCTAAAGAGCTGTGCAGGTGAAACAATTAGCATGTTTTTGCTTGTCCCATAGACGGATTCTTGCAATTGAATTGAACTATATTTAACCTATCTGAATAGAACCTGTTTCAAAATCTGACAGTATCTTTAAATAGGGCTTACTTATGTAAACAGTATTTCTTCAATGAAAAATAAAATATAGAGATATATGTTGAACAATCAAGGTCTCCTGATCTAAACACGACACAGACGTGCTAGAATTGTTACGAGTGTGTAATTGAAACATGTTCAAAGTGGAAACATGTTCAGTCTAGCAAAAAACTCCACTCACAATGCAGACGACTCGAGTTTTGGATAGACATCCAATATGATGTCGAGGAAGTGACAGTCTTTCCGACACCACAGAGAGCAAATCCATGTTTCAAATATGTCCCCTGTCTACACAGAAGACATGTGCTAATCAGTTTACATGGTAAAATCGCTTATATCATCCTCTGACAGCTACTATAGATAAGGTGGGTGGCAAATCTGAACTAATGTCGATGATCTCGGGCAGGTAACTCGCAATTCTTTGTTTTTCTAAGGGAGATAATGGTGTCTATGAGAGACAGATAACAACCACTAAAATCATCATATCGTTTTCCGCTGCCACTTCGAATGGCTCATAGCAGAGACCATATAATATGGTCTCTGCTCATAGCTATTTTTTATTCAGTTGAAGTAGATATATCGTTCTCTGTTTGTATTAATCTGTATGAAATGACTTGCCTTTTGATAACATTGTCACATTGTCAACGTTGCGTTGCACACCACTTTCCTATCGTTGTTTGACAATGTGACAATACTGGTGAAAGCGGTCTGATCGAAGGACAATATAAGTCTGATTACGCCAGACTCTTGTCCATTGTATCATGACATTCAAGTTATGTTTCTATCATATTATATACAATTATAACATCTACAAAATAATGAAGTTCACACTAAAATCTGTTATATAAAACATTCGATCTTTTGGCGATTATCGTACGGCAGGTGACATCATATATTACCACAGGCTCAGGGTGCTGTGAGTGGGTTCTCACGCAGAACGAGTTGTTGTCGCATTCGGTACAACAGATATTTATACCCCAAATATCTTTCGGTCAGGTGAAATGTGTCCTAACCAAACTCGGAATACATACAATCAGTCTTGGAAATGTATGCTTGGCACGAACGAATTTTTAAGCGTCCATTCGACAAAAGGAAAGGCACACGGGGTACATATCTGATAGTGGCCTAAACGGCAGCTGATTGATCAGACAGTTCGATCATCAGGCTTAGGAAGTAATGTCCCGGGTTCGATTCCCAAACCTGTATGAAAACTGCTGCAAATCCGTTATAAGCATAAACTAGATAAATTAGATAGCAATTCTGTCACTAGCATATAGACTAACATCTAGTCTCTGAAATGAACATATCATACAGAAAAAAAACCCAGTTGTTCAGTTATCTTAATAAAAATATAGTAAAAGGAGCCCAGTGACTCTCTTCATTTTCAGATACTGCAGTGATCTAGACTTGCCAAACATTATAGACTTGCATGGGCTGTATTTGATATATTTGTATTAGGGTCTGTGAGACAGACTAACTAGCATACACCTCCTTATTTTCCCTTTAACAGTAAACCCAACAGTTAGGCCGTTATCACCAATGATAAAGTATCCTGTTTAATGACTATGTCCTCAACGTAGTATCAGTAACAGACGCCCTCGGCGTGTTTGTTTCTAAAATGATATTTATCCGCCGACCTTCAAACGAGCTTTGTGCCACGACAGTCGTAAATCTATAAGATATAGGGGTTATAGGATGAGTAAGGGACTAATAAATTGATGGTTTCAGAATGAGGATAAGTTACTGTTTTACTATAGATCCAATGGTTAGTTGAGAGACTCGGCCTCTATTTGTCCAGTTTTGACCCAGTGTAAAAGTACACTCATAGTCCGTTAGGAACCTTGTCCTGCCCTTGACTTCGAGTCCCTTACTGTGACTGAGAGAATGATTCCGATGATGATAGTGTGTACATGGTGCAGAAAGGGACACCGATAGACATTAGTTCCCAGCCTTCGACATTGAGTCTTTAGGATAAGTAGTCCTGGTCCCGAGGTTATAAATATTGCACCTTGGGTATCATTGTCCGAACTTCTAATTCTATAGGATACGATGTCCGGCGGACCGCTGGACCGTAGCATCAACGACACCGGCGTCAATTGGATTATCCCAGCAATATATAATAACGAAAAAAATGTAACTGTGCTTCATAAAAAGTTCAATACAAATACATTTATTTTGAAATTATAAGGGGCATATTTCAATACATATTCATATAGACATTTCCTCGACTTTAGGTCATGATTCATTATTTGCAAGCGCATGTGAGTGAGTGAGTTTGGTTTAACACCGCTTTTAACATTATTCCAGTTATATCACGGCGTGTCAGCTTAATGTGGGAGGAAAGCCCGAAGTGATGCAGGTCTAAGACGTTTACCACTTCGGTGAAACCCACGAGCACGGGTATGGTGCTGACAAACCTAGAAACATAATTGGGGCGAACCGGGATTCGAACCCACAATCATAGGTTTCTGGCGTGACCAAGGGACGCAAATCTGCACAGCGATTCGCGGCGCCTTAGACGAGAGGGCCACCCGTGCCCCCTGCCCGCGCATGTTCATGCACGGCGCACAATTTGGATGTTTGCGTGTGTTGGGAGCATGGCATTCACACACGTGTCTTTTTTTCAATGTGAACGGCACGCCAAAAATGTCAGCTATCAGGTGCTCATGAAAACAACTCTTGTTTACCCGTAAATAATACTTATGCGATGCCACGGCTTGCTGACAATCAACGTCTACGCGCCGTTTCCAGACATTTTCAATTATTGCTCATCGAAACACAGTATCATCTCTTTGGAGACGTTATCTACAGCAGGGCAACAACTATGATCGTCTGGGCCGTTCGTGCATTTGTGACGTCACGACAACGAAACAACCATATTCGGTTGGTGCAGCTACGGAGTCGTTACCAAACTGCCATATAACAGAGCTCGGACAGTTCCTGGAATTAGACCAGTTAGCACAGCGTACAAGGAGCACAGCATCAGGCCCCGACGTCCAACGATACGCCCAATTTTGCTTCCATGCCACCATCAGGTATGGGTAGTTTAGTGTAGACAGCATCTGTTCACAGATGAGTCCAGGTTTGGACAGCTCTGATGGTCGTGCAAGGGTCAACAGACGTCCAGGACAACGTTTCAGTGACGCTTGTGTTACAATACGTCGTCATCATTGTTTATGATAATTTGAATAGCTTACGCTACCGGGATGACACCGTTCAAGATCATGTTCTACACTTTGTGCAAATGTAGGGAAATAAAGTCACGTTGCAGAAGGATAATACTTGCCCACGTATTGCGCGTGTTGTATCTTTGAGGGAGCATGCTATTGATGTACTACCATGGCCTGCCCGCCCACGTGTTGCACGTGGTGTATCTTTTTGAGGGAGCATGCTATTGCTGTACTACCATGGTCTGCCCGCCCACGTGTTGCACGTGTTGTATCTTTTTGAGGGAGCATGCTATTGCTGTACTACCATGGTCTGCCCGCCCACGTGTTGCACGTGTTGTATCTTTTTGAGGGAGCATGCTATTGCTGTACTACCATGGTCTGCCCGCCCACGTGTTGCACGTGTTGTATCTTTTTGAGGGAGCATGCTATTGCTGTACTACCATGGCCTGCCCGCCCACGTGTTGCACGTGTTGTATCGTTTTAAGGGAGCATGCTATTGCTGTACTACCATGGTCTGCCCGCCCACGTGTTGCACGTGTTGTATCTTTTTGAGGGAGAATGCGATTGCTGTACTATCTTTTTGAGGGAGCATGCTATTGCTGTACCACCATAGCCTGCCCGCCCACGTGTTGCACGTGTTGTATCTTTTTGAGGGAGCATGCTATTGCTGTACTACCATGGTCTGCCCGCCCACGTGTTGCACGTGTTGTATCTTTTTGAGGGAGCATGCTATTGCTGTACTACCATGGTCTGCCCGCCCACGTGTTGCACGTGTTGTATCTTTTTGAGGGAGCATGCTATTGCTGTACTACCATGGCCTGCCCGCCCACGTGTTGCACGTGTTGTATCGTTTTAAGGGAGCATGCTATTGCTGTACTACCATGGTCTGCCCGCCCACGTGTTGCACGTGTTGTATCTTTTTGAGGGAGAATGCGATTGCTGTACTATCTTTTTGAGGGAGCATGCTATTGCTGTACCACCATAGCCTGCCCGCCCACGTGTTGTATCTTTCTGTAGGAGTATGACATTCCTATACTCACCATAGCCAACTGTTTCTCCAGACCTCTCCCCCATAGAACATGTCTGAGATGAGAGAAAGCGACGCTTACGACAAGGACCAGAACCAGCCTGTAACGCTACCACGGTCGGCTAATCCTTGTTTGAAATTTGGAATAAATATCCATCAGGCTATTTTCATCTGGTGTCTTCAATGCGCCGCTGGTGCCTATCCTGTATAAAAAATGGTGGTCACACCCGACACTGACATAGTTCATTGAGTTGTTACACCATCCTTCTTTTAGGGCGTGTCGCACTGTCTCATGTTACAGGTATGGGTTTTGTCAATGAATTCGTCATGATAAAACATTGATCAGACGAATGACCAAAAATGATGTCATATTTACCATTCACCATTTTATATGAAGCACAATTACTTTTTTTCCTTTAGTATATAACGAGGGCCTGTAAATAATAGAGTCTTCACAAGACAAACCAGTGACACCTAATCAAGCAAGTCGCCCACCCATCCTGACCACTGGCTCCATTTAATCACCTTACGATAAGCTAATGCTAGTGGGGCCCAGTTCTAAGCCGTATTCACCATGGATGGCCTCTGTTAGAGGAAATACGGTATTTCACCCGAAAGAGGTGACTCGAAGAAGATAGTGATTACCGATATGTGTTTTTTTTTAAAGTTTATTGATCAGTTGAGGATTTTTTCAGAACCTTCAGCAGCAACGGGTTTGTTTATTACATGTGTTTAAACTGTCTGATCTCACAAATTATGTTTACAGTACAATCTCCGAAATTAACTTTATCAATCATTCCAGAGATGACTTCCGCGTACAAATATTGACACAGCGGTAATAACATGCTGTTTTGTTACCAGCCATGTTGACAAATTATCACATAAAATGCGAGACTTTGTTTTCCGAGAAAAAGATTTCTCTGAAAATATTGTTTACCATTCCGGTTGTTTTTCAAAGACGAGAATAGATCGCTCAAGATTGGATCTGCTTTATATTCGATTCCATGACTCGGTATACATCTCCAGGAAAATACTTTAACGGTATGATTATTCAAGATGAATTTCTTGTTTCGTTTGAAACATCGCATCCGTTGTTCCATGGTTTTATCATTATAGATATATAGTGAATATTGATGGAGGAGTTATATTTTGGGGGATATTCTCTGAGTGCAGAGTGTTTGACGCAGATTTTAGCAATAT